TTCTATTTCTAGTTCTATTTCTAGTTCTATTTCTAGTTCTATTTCTAGTTCTATTTCTAGTTCTATTTCCTTTTCCTTTTCGATCTCGATCTCCATCTCTACTTCCATGTTTTTTTTTCCTTTTCCCTTTCATTTCCTTCTCTATTTCAATCTCGACTTCCTTTTCGATCTCCGTCTCCGTTTTTATCACCATCTCCATCTCGACCTCCATGTCCATGTCCATGCCCATCTCCATATATATGCTCGGCGCGGGAGAGCTATTCCTGGGGCCCTCCTTGGAGCTATAGAGCACTTCCAGGGTATCCGACGCGACTGCGCCGGGCGGGAAGCGTTCGACGTTGGTCGTGTACGTTGGCGATATCCTGCCGCGGCAGATTGGAACGATGCGACACCCCATCAGAAGCGCTTGGCGAGTTTAGGAGAGTACCGCATCGACCGGACCCATACCCATCCGGCACACCGATCCTGAAGCTCCATTTTGGCAGGTTTCGACTGAAAGACATACTGAGATGCGAAGGCGCCGTCCTTCGTCTTCAGGTACTGCCTGGCTAGCTCAGAAGAGCTCTCGAGTCGGCCAATCTTGTTGCTCGCGACGCTGCAGATAGGACCTCGGAGGACCGGCGCCTCAACATACTTCATGAGAGAGGGTCGGATCTGATCCATGTCGATGGAGCGCTCAGGGTGCCTCGCCCGCCATACAAGTCGCTGCCAGTCTACCTTGGGGATCTCCTTCACCTGGTGTTCGTTGACGAGCTCGTTTGGGACAGCAAAAGACAGTACGAGACCCTCCTCGGCAGGGACGCGACGCTGAGAAAAGTTGGCATACTGCTCAGCAATATCGATGTCCTTGGTGAAGTACACCAGATCGCGTCTCGTCTAGTGGAAGTCTGTGAGAGCAGAAAAGAGCTTCGGGAGATGGAGAGATCCATCTTCCTTGAAATCAGAGACCAAGCCCATCATTGCTCCGCCCTTGTGTATCATGGTCTTCCCATAAACCCTGTTTGGCATAGCAGCCACGGTGCCAAGGTCCACGTAAGGAGGCCCATGGTAGTCCAAGAGACGTAGTACGACGTCAGGCGAGGGCATGAGGAGGCAATTCACCTCATAGTCTTTACGGCGAATTCGCCCGTCGAGTCCTTCTAGGAACTGCCAGGAAGTCTGGAAGGTGTCGATGACCCATTCGGATGCAGACTTTGTCGCTCGAATCTCGTCGAAGTCGCTATCGAGGATAGCATCGGTCAAGTCGCTATTGACGCCCATCTTGAACAGGGCCTGCCGCCAATCGTGGGTGAGACACCATGCATCCTCGATATCCGCCATACGTTTGACGTAATACTCTGCATGGGCGATGTCGTCGTCGCCGTATCCCAATTCTCCTGGCGTTTGTTGAAGATCGTGCCAGGTTTCGAAAATTGCGTCTGCAATCTCAGGCCGGAGACCAAGGAACTCGAGTGTCTCCTGCGAATTGAACACCTCTGGGATTTCCACGACGTCATCGGAAGCAGACGTGAACAAGGAGTATGAGGCCCTAGAAATGGCAGAGGAAGCCAGGCTTGGGAGAGGGGGCGTCGGCGTCGGAGCTGCGAACGATCGCAATAGCTTCTGATGCCGCGCTGAGAACGCGCCTCGGGTCTGTGCTTGACATGTTGAGATGGGATATTGTGAGAAGATAAAAGAAATTGGAAGACGAGAAAGGGGAGGTAAATAGGTGAAAGGGGGGAAGCCTGGAAAGTGGAGTGATGTTGAAAGAGAAGGAGGAGGGAGATGTTGAAAGGGAGAAGGAGGCGGCGAGGATGGAATTTATACTTCTAGCAGGAACGATAAGCTCTTGTCTTCATTACGTGGACAGCGCCTGAGCAGTCCACGAGCATTACATGTCTGTACCTGAGCAGTCCATGAGCATTACATGTATGTACCTGAGCGGTCCATGAGTAGTACGTGTATGTACCTGAGCGGTCCATGAGCAAGTTCCCGGGCGGTGTCTGCCTGATAAGTGCCCGAGCGAGGCGGCTGAGGGTTGGTGAGGGGAACTATACGGTCAAACAACATGTGTGGTGGTGAGGACTGGTTTCAAGTGTCTGGGGTCTAAGCTTGAGCGAGTTATGTAGACTATCTCTGCTATCAGGAACCACGTAATATTTCCATGTGTATGATAACCCAGTGGCACGTGGATGTCGGTGGGTGAATAGCGAGTTCCACTTCGTGGGAAGATTGAGTGTGGGTGCCTCTTGCCTCATTATGTTGTGCTGCTGGCTGTAATTAGTGTACTTCAGAACGCTTGGCCGCGATCACCGCGTTGCAATCCCCACGCACTCTCAAGGATCTGGACCACTGCATTGGTGCCACCGGCTTCTTGTGATGTCACCTCCTGCTATATTCACACGAGGCGCTGAGCATAGGGGGGGGGGTAGGCATCGCATTGCCCATAGTTGCCCAGTCATTGCGCAGATGGAGATGGAAATGGAGATGGAATGGAGATGGGGGTGGGAGTAGAGACAAATGCTGTCCAGGCTCGGCTCACCCTTAGCTCAGTCATGCTCTGGATATGGTCACACACGAACATAGAAATTCCCAAGGACAACTTTAGGGGAAAACACAGTGCAAGCTGATCCAGGACAAGACCGGGTTAGGGTTGACCAGTTGGATTTGTGTCAAGGAAACCCGCCTGGGAGACTCTTCTCCTTGGCAAGCTTAAATCAACTCTTCATTATCTGCGCAGCCCCCCGGATTCCGAGACCCTGTGATGATGGACCGTTTTATGAGCTAGGATCAATCGGAGCGGAAGGCCGAGCCGTGTCTTGACTGCGATGACAACCCGGAAGCGGATCATTTTCATCGGGATCCCTCTATCTAGATCCATATTGACGGTAAACCATGTCCGTAGGACCTGAAATGTCCTCCTGCTGCGATTTCGCTTCCTCCATCCGGCTACTTGCCCGGAGCCAAGGTGAATCTATCACAGACCGTAAATTTCTTGACCGAAATGCAATTTGCCCGGAACGGTCGACTGTTGAATTTGTTCTTAGTGGCCGCAATTAAGGTTCCGGTCTGGCCCAGCCGCCAATATAGCCTAGACACCGCTCCCGTATTACAACATCCGGCAAACCACTCAAAGGAGTTGAAATTGATTACTCGCGAAAATGTTGACAGGATTACCCGGAACCAACTGGATTGCTGCTTGCTGCAGTGGCGAGACCCAAGGTTTCTCGTTGTTTATTTATATCTTTACTCAACCGACCAAAAGAAACTGCGGTTAATAACTACCTAACCCATCTCCCCATCCTCTATCCCTCGACTGACCCGAACTACCAAAATCCCACACCATCCAGATCTTCTCCCATCACCCCATTGTCAACATGTACCTCCCAACCCTCCTCTCCCTGGCCTTCGCCACCCTATCCCTAGCATCACCAACACCAGCACCGGTAGACACAGATGCAGACACAGACGCAGACGCAGTAGCCCCCAGCAAGCTCCGCGTAGTCGGCGTCTCCGTCCTAGGTTCTGGCTGCCGCGCCGGCACGGCCGATGTCCGCGTCGTGTCCACCAAAAATACCGCCATCGAGATCGCGCTGTCCGATTACATCGTGCAAACCGGGCCCGACACGATGGCGGCTGATTGGCGCAAGAATTGTAAATTGACGCTGAATTTGGAATATGATGCCGGGTTCCAGTACGTATCTCTCCCCCCATACTCAGGTCATCAAAACATCAAGTTAACTTTCCCCGTCCAGACTATCAACCCTAAAAACAACCACCCAAGGTTTCGCCCACCTCCCCGCGGGCGTCAACGGCCAATGCCGCGACACCATCGACTTCACGGGCGACGACCGCGAGGTGAGCTACGGCATTGCGCTGGACGGGGCGTGCGACGGGGCCTTTTCGCTGTCGGCCAGTCCGGATATTGCGCTGTGGTCGGCGTGTGGCGGGGGCACGGCGATTTTGAATGTGAATACGGAGTGCTGGATCTCGCCGACGGAGAAGAGGGCGCTTATTGCGGTGAGTTTAATCGCTTCTTGAGTTGAATTGTCTGGCTTGGGCTTGGGTTGGGGGTTTTGACTCCTTGAGGGGAAGATGAGTAGAGCTGACAGACGAACAGGTCGATAGTATTAGTAGTAAATTGGTGGTTCGGGTTGCGCTTCAATGGAGGAAGTGCTAACGGGGTGGTCGTGTGGGAACTTCAGGGTCGATGTCGGGTTTTTGTTGGGTTTCTTGGATCTGGGTTGGATGTTTCACGAGTACAGTACTGTACATACCGACTTGATTATCTAGGGGGGTTCAAAAAGTAAACAGTTTCCGTTATAATCACGAGGCAAGAAACACGATAATTAGGAAGAAATGCATTCCATTCAGCGCCGTAGCTAGGTACCTGCCCTTAGCTCCCCGCGAAAAGTGACCGATCTCAGATCTAGGTATCCCCTTCTCGCCCGTATTTCCTGCCCCAAGTTCTCGCCCGGTTGGGAATTGCCGACAATTGACTACATACGGTCTAATTACCGACCATTAGTACCCTTGGTGACAGTCGGACCTGGGACTACTTTCGCCCAAGCCCTACTCTTCTGAAATGCTGCGTGCAGTTCAGGCTCCTTGACAGCCAGCTTGGCTAGAAATTCGTCGGTAATATTCTGTATCGGCACCGGCTTGCTGTCTCCGATGAGCGTCAGTAGCAGGTGCATATACTCCACCGCCAGCAGCTCAATAATTTGATTCGCCTCCGTTTTACGGCCTGCCTTATTTTGTATCGACAGCCAAGTAGCACACTGAATATTCAGCAGCCTCGTCGGCCTCAACACCGCGATCCCATCCTGCACCACAACCCCCCGTTCCGACAACGACTGCCGCACCTCATCCGGCTCCCACAGCTCGATCTCGACCGATTCCTTCATCCCCTCCTTCTTGTAATAAACCCGCCCGCTCTTTGACAGCCTGAAATGGCTGGCCCGAGCCAGCTTCTCGGAGCGCCGCGGTCGGGCACCCTCGGGCACGAGCACGCTGACCCCGCCCACGGTCAGATTCGGCACGCCGTGGAGCACCAGCGCGGCGGAGCCTATGATGGCGTAGGGCCTGTCGCCGAGGGCCTTGGCGATGTCCCAGCTGATGGTATGCACTAGGGCATTGCCGATGCCGGGTTTCCGCACTACCAGGCGGGTGGGAGCCGGGGTGCCAGAGGGACCACCGCCATTTATTGTTAGGTCCCTGGTGGCGTTGACGAGGACCCGCGTAGAATCGGGATCACCACCACCGGTTGTGCTGCCTCCCCTTCCGGGGCCGGGGCGGGCATCGATGATCGTCGGCCGGGGACCGCCGGTTTCGGCCGCGTTTGCCGTTCTTCTGGCTGCGGGCCTGTTGTTGTTGTTGTTGTTACTGGTTGATGAATTTTGGTTGTTCATCTTGTTCGAAGAATTCTCGGCAGTGACTTGAGTTTCAAACAGAAATCGGAGGGCGGAAAGTCGCGGTGTGGGAAGTGCCAGTGACGGATGGCTGAGTGACAAAGTGGCAATACAGTCGAGACTCGAACGATGCTGAGATGTAAGTAGATGCTAGCTATGAAGATAATAATTCGTCTTTCGAACGCCGGTTCTGCAACATGTTATATATTTATCGCTTGAAATAATTTAGAGTAGTTCTCAAAAGGATTGGGAGTTGTAAGACGTTTGTTCCTGCTTGGGTCTGAAGGATCAATAAGTTTCGTAGACTTGCACAAGCCACAATCCCAATCTCCTTCCAAGCGGATGGAATCATTGTGATTCCACAATCTTTTTTCCTCGAAACGGTTAGTTATTTGAATGTTGATTGATCCTAGTGGCGCCTTCATCTTCGTATCCCTTCGGGCCTAAGGAGGCCCGCCCTTCCCAGCCGTATCATGATTTCTTGGCCCTCTGCACGACTGGGTTTAGTTATGGCGGGCAGACCGGGGCAGTGCTGGCCGTACCAAATCCTAGGTATCGGAGGGAGCCCCGCAATGCATTTTCATTTCCCACTGTCTTTGAATGGCCGCGTAGCAAGTAGCGAGTGGTAGTCGTTGAAGGGTGAAGCATCAGCATAATGACATTATCGCCAATGGCGGCTCAATGCGGCACAATGCCCTCATTGCCGTGCAGTCACCGCAGTGAATCCTAGTGTCTTCTTGTAATTACTGTTAAGAAAGACTCTGGAGAGACACTGCACGTAGTCGAGGGTACCACTGCCTTCGGGATGTGGGAGGAGGTCGCCCGTTCGTTATCCACTAGGATTCCAGAGGGAGTGTGTGAGAATAACCTCGGCCTTCTCTTGGGATCTTGACCTCAATCCCGTCGGGATCCCTGTCCCACTTTAACAAAAAAAGCCAATTAGGATGCACAGAGAACGGTACCAGTGCGTTAATGTTGGACGGAAGGAACGGCGGAGGCTAGCTACAAAATATATAGCCAATTGTGAGGTTAGAGAGCCCTTAAACTGTGGAGCTGGCGGACTGGGCTCGAGAGAGTCAGCTCGCCGATTTGGGACCTCCCGCATTCCGCCCTGAGTGTGGAGAGTGAGTGGGTGGTGAAAAAGAATTGGGAAGGATTGAGAGGCAAATGGACAATTCACTCACACGATTGAGAATATGAGTGGGCTGTCAGTCCGTTTCGGATTGCAACATCGGAACATCCACAGCACCCTCCACCCTGGAAGACATGATTTGATTTGTTGGTTAACATAGCTCCCTCCTTCCCTCTTCAGCTGTTCTTTGGGGATGGTTTTAGGGAGGGTTGGTCAACGACGTTGATGACCTTTGCGGTCTTCAATCTTGTTCTTCTTTCGCTTGGGCACTTCTCTTGCAAATTAACGTAATTACCTCTAACGATATCATAATGTTCATCACGAGATTGGGGCTTCGACCTCCCCCACCGTACCACATCTCAAGTTATAATTACAACATTCTAATATCATCTGCCAATCGATACAATGAATAGGGTCGTGGAATGCATACCTACCTGAATTAGCGAATGCAATTAATCTATCACCTTCAGATTAGGGCAGGTGCGGACCTGGATATACATGGACAGTTACACAGTCAAACTTTGCGATGCATACCCGATTCGGGCGCCCTACCTATCCAAGCGCGATGCATACCCAATTCAATTTAGGCGCTCGTGGATCGAGCTTTCTCAACAACTTCCCCTCAAGCAATTTCGCAAAGGAAGCCCGAAATGTTGCAACCGCAAGGTCTTCCCAAAGAACCATCGGAGTCATGAGTCTCATGACAGAGCTGTGGTTAAACAACTGTATATATTGTATCTAATATATAATACCCAACTGTTCCCCGTCCTTCAATTTCTGTCTCTCCCACTTCTCGTTCACCATACCTACCTATCCTCAACCCGACCCACCAATTCCACAGAAACTCCTCGCGACCATGCAACTTTTGACTCTCGTCCTCGTCAGCTTCCCCACGTCTATTATCGCCGCCATAAGCGGCCGTTGCAGCTCCACCTGGCCCGACTGCATATGCCTCGACCGGAATGTTTGCGAATCTAAATGGGGCGGTGCAGCCATGGAAGGTGAGCCAGGCAACTGGCCCTGCCCCAATGATCCGGCGAACGTCTGGGGTTGTATAATTTCCGGGTGTGAAGGCATAAACACCTGGTGTACTTGGACCAATACCTGCAACAATATTCTTCCCAGTAAGTACTCCAATAAGTCGCTATCTTCACCTTCTCTCGTTTTGTAATCTGATAAGTTGTGACCCATAGATCCGGTGTGTCCTGGCGGTAATGATTTTGTTTGTTGCGCCGGATAATGGAGTCAGACTGAACCAGGGTGGGGGACTTCTCAAAGATCTTTGTTTTCTCTTTCTCTCGTTATCTGTCTGTCTCTCTCTCTCTATGGTCAGACAGTGAACGCAAGGGTTTGCTTGTTTGCTATTGAATTTGAAGTTCTGTTACTTCTATGACCTTGCAAAATTGGATCTTGAGTTATACTATAATAGTAGATGAACAGTAGAGGCGAAGACCTTCGGTCTGACCCTCCAGGCAATCAACCACTCTCTTTCCCTTCACTTGCTCGAGCTAGAGGGCTCCATTCCAACAGTCCAGAAGAGTGTCGCGAGTCCTTGCCTGAGATATCGAGACTTGTGTTCTGAGTTATATGCCTCCGGTACTTGTTGGGGTCGTTTACTTAGCCAACCAGATTCCCCTGCTTCTTCGGAGGTTGTTCCAATCCCACGGTCACCATACAACAGAGATGTGTTGCTCTATTGCCTCTTACGTGTTATGTCACTTGCCACGGTGTTCATACCTGGGTAATTGAGTAATAACTCTAGTGTCCTTTGCACATGAGGCTTGGGCTGTATGGAATAACCAGTAACTAAGTGAGCGAGCGCCTTGGTACAATCGTTCCTCGTTATAGTCCCCTATCCCAATCCCAATGCTGAATACTTCCCAATTCCGTACCCCCTTTCTCACCCAATGATTCCATGCGTTGGACCACACAACAACAATAATTACACCCCATGTCTCCCAGCGGCGTCTGCGGCCCAGCGAAAGTTTTATTCCGATTCCAACTCAAAGGCCTCCGTTCGAAAAAAGAGCCCAAATAAAGCCAAAGCTCAACCCCTTACCTCGGCCCCAGCGAGAGAGACTCTGAGACTGAGAGAGAGAACCAAACACATGCAGGTTCAAACCTCGTAACGCTCGCATTCACTCGCCAACAGGCTACAGACATTCTCCTGCAACCTACCTAATGCATACTACGTCCCCCCACACGATACCACAGTACCACCTTCGAGAAGTTCAGACGGAGCTCCCTCCGCAGCCCAATGAGTGGGACACTGACGAGAAGAACAAGGCAGAACTGAACAACTCCAAGCCAAGCCAAGCCAGGGAACGGCACAGATTGCATCTGAGACTGATGGAACTGTAACTGTTGCATACTACAGACAACGGTGTAGAATACCACCTTCTCTTTGGTGTGTGTGTGTGTGTGTGCTTCCTTCTGGTTCGTTTAAGGTTAGTTACTATGTAGCTAGCCCCGTTGCGTTACATCTGTTCTCTTGGTGTTTGTCAGGGGGGTTTCTCGGTCTCGCTACAGGCTGTGCCGCAGGGCGACAGTTGAGATGCAAGTGTTGAGAATGGACCGGCGCGGCACGGCGCGGCGCACAGGCGGGTGAGGTTGCAGAGAGAATTCTGAGGAGAAGAATCTGGTGTTGTGGCGTAGTGGTAGCGGGGGGCTGCGGGAATTATAGCGATTTTGGGATTTTTGAAGGGATGGGTGTAGGAAATTGGGGAGTTGGTGGATGCTTGTGAATGAGATCTATGGAATCAATGTGGGGGGATTCCCCATTAATATCGAGAAACCAAACTGTTCTCGGACAAAAGTAAAAAACGCGCCCCGAGCTGAAATATTGAACTTCGTCGGGATCTCGACAATTGAACCCGAAAGAAACGAAGGGGAAAACAGAAGAAAAACAGGAATTTGGAATATGAGCCGGGTGCAACCGCTACCCGAAGGGAAGGATTCCAGTTGCGCGACGCGCGAGGCAGACGTCGTTGTAACATGGGGTGACATGGGGCGGCATGGGTTAGCACGGAGTGTTGCGATTCGGTGAATTCGGTCCCGAGGCAGCTGTCGGGGGGGCATTCCCGGAGATGGCACGACGGGAACCTAGTTTTGGGGACTTTGGTAAGTTGCGCAGGCCCTTGGGATGTCGGGGAGTCGGGGGGTTAATATCTGTGGCGGTCCTGCGTCGTGTGAGGAAGGGTGAACTTCCGGTGAAGAGAAAGTTGAGAAAGTCGGTGCTGGGTTTCCGGTAAACCGCCGGTTTCAGTCCATCCGTGTGATTCCTTCCGTCCGCCCGTGAGCCGGCTATCATCCTCGCGATCACGGCCCGCTTCTGCAGAGCAGAGAACAGAGAACGGAGAACAGGGAATGTAATGGCCTCGACGGGCTAACACCCACCCGCGGTCACCATGTTCTACGACTACGATGACGAGCAGTATTATGATCTCAACCAGTTCCACCCGGCCCGGGGGCCTCAGACTTACAGCACCCTCGAAGTCGTGTCCCCAAACTCTAATCCCACGCTCGACACCGAGAAGATCCTCACTCTGCACTACGACAAGGAGGTTGTCTCCCCGATCCAGCAGCAGCAGCACTGTCTTCCGCTTCCAGTGCCGCTACTAGATCTATCACCAGAACAACAGCAGCGGCAACAGTCACCAGAACAATATCAAGCACAACCAGGACAGCAACCAGACATCCTCCCCCCGCTACCGACACATTCACCACAACAACACCAACACCGAGCCCAACCCTCCGGCCTACCATACGACCACCCAGACTACTACTCCCCCCACGCCACAACCATCTACAGCGGTGACCACGGCCTCCACGGCGAAAAGATCCCCGCCGAGCGAGTCCCCGGCGGGATGGACGGTATCGGCAAAGGAAAGATCCTCGGCCTTCCCCGACGGACCTTTTTCATCCTCGTCTGGGTGACCACGCTACTGATCGCCATCGCAATCGGTATCGGCGCAGGAGTGGGCGTGGGGTTGAAGTCACACAGTTCCGGTGCCAATAGCAGCGGGAGCAATAATGGTGGTAACAATGGGAATGATGGGGGGTTAGTTGGGGGGGTATCAACGGCTGTTGGCGGTCCGGGGTCGATGCCGGATCAGACGGCGTCACCGGGGTCGGGGTCCCAGACGCAGTTGGGGATGGGGGGGTCGAGTACGGGGTCTAGCGGGTCAGTCAAGACTAAGACTAGGACTCACCAGAAGCCGAGCACCACTTTGACTACCTCCTCCCGTCCCTCATCGTCATCCTCATCCTCACCTCCACCCGAAGAAACAACCACCTCTAACCCCCCACCTCCCCCAACAACAACAACCCCAACAACCACCTCCAACCCCCCTCCCACATCCTCCCCCACGAGCTCCCCAACTCCCACCCCCACAGCCCAAGCAGGCTACACAAACGGCCGGTGCGTCAACAACTGGGGCGGCGACTGCATCTGTCTCGACGCCGACGAGTGCGCAACCCAATGGCAGGGTCAACCCTACCGCGGCACAGTCGACAACCGGCCCTGTCCGGGGAGCAGCACCAACCCGGATCAGACGACAGGAGATACTACGGGGGTGATGGCTTGTGTGGTGCAGCCTTGTGGGGGGAGGGGGAGGCCCGCGCAGTGTTTGTGGGCGGATGCTTGTGGGGGGGATACGGCGGGTATGTCTATGCTTTTCTTGTTGACGATAATTGATATCAGGTTTTGTTTGGGAGCTGACTAACTGACTGATTGACTGATGGGATAGAGACCTCGAGTTCGGCTCCGGCATGCCCTGGTGGGGGCGATTTCGTATGTTGCTCGCATTCCTGGGTTTGAGATATACGAAGTACTAAACGTCGGTAATCAAACAGTCTAGGGGTGGCCCAGGTGGGTGGTGAGACAGACGAACTGAGGAGGGTCATTGTGAAGTCACGCTGCAGCGTATTGTCAGTTCCGATCAACCCAAAACCACCTGTACATATAAAATCTTTGTTTACTTTTATACCAACAACCTCTCCAACAAGACCTTGGACAAGCAAAAAATGGGGCTGTCCGGGGATTGAACCCGGGACCTCTCGCAGCAACAGGCTGACACAACCCAAAGCGAGAATCATACCGCTAGACCAACAGCCCATCCTTGTATCGTGTGCGATATCGGAGGCAATTTCGTTTGTAAGGGGGTCTCGCGCTCTATGAAGGTGTGTCCCGATTTTTGCAAACCCTCTTCAACATTTGTTTGTCCTTTCTTCAACTGTAGCCAGCCATCCGGTATTTGCTTTTGCCTCGCCCTTGTTGCTCTCAACGACCTGTCGGCTATCGGGAGGGTTCAATTGTCGATCGATTGACTGTCGCAAAACAATCGCACCGTCGACGATGGGCGTCACCGTCTCGAGACCAGATCAATTGCCGAGGGATTGATCTCGTTTCTGCGATCGGGACCTCAGCCCTTTCGAAATGGAATTAACAAGTCGACAATTGGGGTGTGACCGTTCCACAGGGTCGGCCAAACCCAACCGGCCCTAGGTAACGGCCAACCTGTCGTGTCAATGCCTCCTCTTCGAGTCGTTGAGATGGCAAAAGTTCAGAGTTTCGTCCAGCAAGAATAATTCCAAAAGAGTGGAGATGCAGACTTTTTCCGAGGCATGGGAACGCACAAACGGAAATCCGACGAATCACTCCGGTATCGGACTCCGCTTCGATGTCACTTGTTTTGCACAGGTTCTCATTCATAGGGTCTTGATAGTTAATTGATGGCAATGACTTTGTCAATGGTTGTTTTGAAGGCGTAAGATGCTGGTTGACTAGAAATCGAGAGCACAAGTCAAACATTCTGCTGGTGGCATTAGATTCTTTGTCAACCACATGCGGGTCTCAGTAATTATCTCGAATTACACCTGCAAATCGAGGACTACTGCCTGTTAATGACGCTAGTAATCAGTTTGACAGACCTATTTTTTGGAATGCAGCTCCCCCAATCCAAGTAATTCAAACGACTACCCTCAACAACCAACACTCCGGTTACACCGGACACCACCGCGGTGAATGTAAGGTGAGCAAGGTGAGGGTGACTCAGACGCACCGCCATAAACCCGCTTTCCGGGCGGCGGGTTCATCAGCGGATTCGGCTCAATGGTCTAGTGGTATGATTCGCGCTTCGGGTGGATAACCCACCGCCTGATAACAGGCAACAAGATGTGCGAGGTCTCGGGTTCGATCCCCGATTGAGCCCCAGCTTGGATCCTTCTTTTAGTATTTTGCTTGTCGAGTTCCGTGTGGTATTTGTGGTGTTGTTGAGTTCATTCATGTTGTTGTACTTTTGCTTTGCGGAGGGGGAGATGCTCGGAACGGTATAGAACTGGCAGGCTGGTAGCTGTGAGGATATTGAACCACCCGATTTCAAATAACAACAGAACCCTTCTTAACAACAGAGACAAGACGTTAAGGCAGCTTGGTATGACTGGGGGTGATGGTACCGACAAGGCCTTGCGCCCATTAAGTCCAGAGACAAGCGTAGCACATGAAACACAGCACATAAACTCCAAGGAGCAGAGACAGATGTAAAAACGCCCCATACTTTTACAAAACTACTTTTACAAAACCACCATCAACCAACACACCCATCCAAGGGTTATTCCCAACTGTCAACCGAACTCCAACTCCCTCACAACCCAGTTATCCATCCATGAGATCCCGTACCTTTCGCAGCTCAAAACCATCTCAAAACCAACTCATATCCCAGTCCAAATCCCTTGATTTTACATCCATGTACATGTACATTTGGCACAGCTTACATCCCGTCCCGACCAGCCATAAAGACCTCTTCTCCCGGTATCTCCATCAGATCCATCACCCCCTACACCACAACCTTCTCCCATCTTCCCACCTCCCTTGTAACACAACATAGACAGCGAGCGACAAAGAAGCTAATCCTCAGCCCCCACCCAATCCAAAACCGCACACAACACCTCAACAACAACCACCGCCCCCCTCGCCGCCATAGCCATGACACTCTCCACAAGCAACACAGCCATCCACACGGCAGCAAACCCCGCCTCGCCTATACTGCTCAGGCCGCGGAGTACACGAGCCAGAGCGACTGCGACGGCTACCGCGGCGAGGGCGTTGTCACGTCTTAGGCGGGCTCTGCGGAGTCTGGGGCTGGTCGTGGTTTCGACGGTGGTGGTGATGGGGCCGGATCGTAAGCCTGTGGCTAGGTCTGTGATTGTGCGGGGGGTGGTTGTGCTGCCGCGGTGGTGATGGTTGGGGTTAAGAGCACGACTGTCCCATGACCGTCCCGACCTAGTCACGCGATACCCACCCAGTCGAAACCCAAACCCACCACCATACCCAATCTCGTTACTCTCCCAGTTCTCTCCATCATCTTCCTCTCCCTCATCCTCCCTATCTTCAATATCCATCCCCTCCTCCCCATCCCCCACGAGTCAATGCCCCCCCTCCCCCTCTCCCACCGTCACCATCCCCGGCCCAGGCATACCCATCCCATGTTCACCCGCCGCCGCTGAACCAGTGACAGAACCAGGCATCAAAACCCTCTTATTCCTCCTCATCAACGAATACAAGCTCTTCTCCAACTTCTCCGTCTCCCGTCTCGACACCGCCAGCGCCTGCTCCGCATCCTCCAGCGACATCAACGGCACATTACCAAACGGGCCCGGCGAAGTAAAGTTCAACGCCGCGGTCCCCCCCGGTCCTCCCGGTCCGGTGGCCAGGCCTGCTACGTGGGTGGTCGCAGCTACGGTTGGTGTGCCGGTGCCGGGCGCGGGAGGGGGTAAGATACCTGAGGCTGAAGGGGACGGCGATGGGGTGGTTGACTGCTGGTAATGTCCGGGATGTGTGTGGTGGCCGTGGTGGTGGTGGTGATGGTGATGGTGGTGGTGGTGTTGGTGCTGGCGAGAGGATGATGAAGCGGCCGCGGCGGCTGCAGCAGCAGCCGGACCAAAGACTTCCTCGACAGTCGGTAAATGCCCGCCAACGGCACCAGTGACATCAACGTCCAAGTACGGCCCCGGCCCGCCGACATGATCAAACTCCTCTACAAACGCGCTCACAGGACCGGGGTAACTCAACTCCGGGGGCGCAGGACCGGCATCGATGAAATCGTCATGCGAAAGCGGAGGCAGATGACACGTCGGCGAGTCGGCGCCGCTACCCCCAAAACCGGCCATGCCGCTCATACCCGCAATACCCCCGTACAGCCACGGCGCGACAGAGCTGAGATTCGCAGCTGCCGATCCCCGCGGGTCGGTGGTCCAGGTGGACATGGCCTTGGGCAGGCTCATATCACGCGAGTTGAGGTTCAGCCGCGGCAGCACGTACTGGTTGATGTAGTAGATGGCCTCCTCCCGTTGGATCTTATTCACCGGGTCGGAGGGGTAGGCGCCAGGAGCTGGTGGGAAGTAGCTGGGGGGGCCGTTAGGTACGGCGCGGCCTTTGATGAGGCTGAAGCCGCCGCCGGCATCGTGGCGCGCGGAGACAAACGCGGCCGGGCTGGCGGTTTCTTCGGCGACTAGCTGTTGCAGTTCGAGGAAGCGATTTTCTTCCTCTTCGCGCAGGTTGCGGATGCAGTCGCCGTTGGGGGTCAGTAGGAAGCGCGTGCCGTCGATGGTCTTGCGGACGGGCTCGCCTGCCAATAGCGCGGCCTGGTCGTCTTCGGTTACGATCGACTTGGTTGGGATCATGGAGCTCTTGGCCATCTGCTCGCGGAACGCGGCAGTCGGGGCGTCGTTGCGCAGCCAGTCCAGTTGCACGGCTACCGACTGGAAGAACGAGATTTGCGCCAGGCTCTCGGGGAGGAGTTCGGCTGCTTGGAGCTCGTGCAGCACCGACGCCGGCGTGGGCAGCGTGCGGGGGATCGATGCGTCGAAACCCTTGTCGAGCTTCTCGTGGCCTTTGCCTTTGCCCTTGGCGTCGTACCGGCCATTGTGCAGTGGAAGCTCGTCCGTCAAGGTGGTTGTCTCGTTGGCCGTTGACCGGTACGCCGAGGACTCCTCCTTGACCTCCGGGGTCTCCTTACTCGGCTTGCCCTCTTTGTTCTCTTTGCTCTCCTTGGTTTCCTTAACCTCCTTGGCCTCCTTGACCTCCTTAACCTCCTTACTCTCCACCTCCTTCCCCTTAGCCGGACTAGCAGCGACGGCACGCGGTGTCTCAGGACGATTCTCCACAGCCGCAGCCGTAGCCGCAGCCGCAGCGGTCTTCCCAGCGGGTTTCGCCTTGCTCTCCGCCTTCTCCTTCTTCTGCTTCTTCTTCCGCCCCACGATCGGCCCAATCTCCACCGGGGCCTCCGCCTTGACCGGCTGTACCGCGATGCTAGCCGACTCCTTCTTCATTGCCTCCTTGCGTTGTTTGCGCTGTTGGCTCTTGGTAGTCGTTCGCACGGGAGCCGATCCAATCTTGGACGACGCCAGCGGCGGCGGCGAGTTAGTACGCGACGCCGAGATGGACGCCGACATGAGCGATGCCGTGTCGGAAATGAGCTCGCTGGCGGGCGTCTCAGGGCGCATGGCCACTGATCGCACCGCAGCTGCCGACAGCACGGGCGTGGCTGGTGTTTCGTGTCGCGGGGTCGAAACCACACGGAGCGTCTTGGGAGCCGCCCGGGCGAGTGGCGAAGAGACAGATACTGGGGTCGCAGCAGGTAGAGCGGGGAACGCCGAGTCGCGGTCCGTTGTGGTCGACTGTGGCTCGGAATTCTTGACGGGAGACTGAGACGCTTTGGTAGCGGCCGCAATGTTGAGAATACCTGGGACCGGGCGTTTCTCCGTCTTTTTCTCGGCGGTCTTTTCGAGCGATTTCACCGGTGACTTCGCAGGGGACTGCTCAGCAACCTTTGTCGGCGCCGGCTTCGGCGTCTCGCTCCGTTCGGGGGCCGGAGTTGGAACTGTGGTCGGCACAGGGGTCGCTGTTGATGATGATGCTGTCGTTGCAGCCACCGACTGTTCCTTTTCCTTCCCCTTATCTTTCGCTTTCCCCTTGCCCTTATCGAAAACCTTTTCAGCAGCCTTCTTCCCAACCGTAGCCTTGGCCTGCCCAACAGGCGTAGGCGTAGCTGGCCGAGCCTTGGGCGAGTTAAGCGCCGGGAAATCTTCATCCTGCAACACCTTGGCCTTGGCCTTTCCAATCTCCTTAGCCAGCCCCGTTTCCACAGCCAGGGCCTTGACCGCCTTCTTCGACGATTCAGGCAGCAACACGCCGCCAACCTTCTTCGCCAGCGGGCTGGACACGGCCACTGGTGTTTTGGCAGGTACCTTAGGAAGCGCAACAGGCGGTGTCTGGTGTCCCCCAGCTGTGATAGTCGTAGGAAGAGACGAATGTGAAATCGCGGGCGACGGACGGCTGCTGGGAGTAGAAAACCCAGGAGGCACCGATGGTGTGCCAGACCGGCCTGTTGACAACGACGTCGACTCGAATGCGCCCGGGGGGTACCGGATGTTGGTATCGATCGGTTCGTCGGCCACCAGCGCTTCGATGCTGGATCTTACCTCTTCGAGCGAGGGCAGTTCGTCATCTACAAAGAAACAACCCGGATTAGCCTCTTGTACAGATACAGGCATATTGCACGTGTGTACGCGACGAAGCTGTTCGAGTAAAAGCAAGCACCAAGCAAAAGACCAGCAACACATCTCATCCCCGGTAAAACGAGGGAGCAACACGACCCGCCAGCGCCACTATGTACACGAAGGAGGGGCTTGGTTGGGGTTACGTCGGGGCTCCCGTCATCGTCTTCCCGGAAGATGTGCAACGCGCAACGCGCAACGCGCAGAGAAGAGGCCCTCTAGGGTGTAATGATGCATGATGCTCTATTATGACCACCGATGCCACCTCAGTTCAGCCGTTCGTTCAGCCCCGACGATGCAGAACCTGGGGCCCAGTTAACGTACATGGGGAAAACTCGAAGGAAGACGATGAGAGAGCTTGCCTGACGTGACCAAGTCGACAACCCCGGGGGATGTAGAGGCAGCGGTTTGGGCTGGGGGAAGCAACACACCCGAGCTGGAGTGACCGAGACCGAGTCTCGAGTATGCAACCTCCCCCGACCAAATAAATGCCCAGTTCCTGCTGACCCTAACTCTCCCTCTCCTCGTCCCCAACAGTGGAATGATGGAAATGCAAACGACGCCAACGCAAGGAGGCCGTCCCTCTCAAGCCAGACCTTGTGCAATGCTCCTCAACCCGCCTCAAACAAATGTTGTGCCTTGAATGAACCATCTCCCTTGCTCGTGGCCGCTGACGCCGTGGTGATATATAGCTTGACAAAATCAAACATAAAAGGGAGGAAACAAGATTAAAAAGAAAGAAAAAAAAAGCAAGAAAGGAAAGGAAAGGAAGATAGAAGAAAAGAAAAAAGCGCAAAGTAAGTCGTGTTGCCCCCTCCCTTAGGAAAACAAATCATGCGTAAAAACAACATCGCAAATGCGGCATTCGCTAAGGATGCCATGATCTCCAGATCTCAGGATCCGAGGTTACCAGGCCCGATAGCCTTGGTTGTACATGATGCTCGGGTTGTTGCTGTACCCACCTTGCGACTGGCCCCCGAACAGCCCCTGTCCGAGCCCGGCATTGCTCTGTTGCTGCTGCTGCTGCAAGTGCTGCTGCTGCTGCTGCTGCTGCTGAGACTGCATCCTCGCCTGCAGGATACTCGGGTCCGCAAGATCAACTAGGCCACTCCCCCCAGAGGAGGAAGTGTTAGCGTGTCTGTGCTTCTTCCCCTTCTTCTTCTGCTTTGAACCCAAGTCTTGGAAGGCTCCCGGTTGAGAACCGTAGAGCGATGCCAGGTGGCTCGAGGCAGGAGCTGGGACGGTGGAAGAGGTGGAAGGTGGGTACTGGTGCGGGTGCGTATGCTGGTGCTGGTGCTGGGGCGGCTGGGAAAAGGAAGAGGAAAACATGTACTCACGCTTGGCGGCGTCGTGCGCCTGCTGCTGGCTGCCAGCCCCCCCGCTCCGGAAGAGCCGCAGCATCTCGTTGCTGTCCTTGGACGCGCCGCCTCCAAATGCGCCTGATCCAAACCCGTGCTGCCCAAATACGCCCGGTGGCGTGCCCGTCGACTTAAGCCCGGGCGGTGGGCCCGGCATCGATCCCGCGTAGTACTGCCCGCTGGGCTGGCTGTGGAACGACGTCGGCATCATCGACGATTGCTGCGCCATGATCCGTGGGTTCGCGGCTAGCTTGACCGACGTAGCCGATGCTGCCTCCCGTCCTTCGTTGGCGAAGCTGAAACGAGAGCCCTGTCGGTTGTGGCCCCCCTGACCTCCTTGACCCTGGAACAAGTTGCCCTGGCTGGACAAGTGGTCGCCGAAGTTGCTCGGTTGTCGCATAAAGGCGGGCTGCTGCGGTGTCACGGTGCGGCTGGCACCCAATGAGTTGATGCCCGAGGTCGTCTGTCCAAAGGCAGAGCCGGGTTGGCCGAAGAGCCCATCGGTGCTGCCTCGTTGGATGGGCGGCTGGGCGCCTCGGCGAGAGTCGAAGCTGGGACCATCGCGGCCGTGGTCTCGGTCCTCGGGCTCGCCACCCAAGGCAAGGCTGCCGCTGCTCTCAGGTTCGCCTTCCGATGGCTCCCGAACACTGGCCGACTGCGGGTCTTCTTCGCTGCTGTTATCCTCGGATACCCGAAGTGCGCGACGACGCATGCCCCCACGAACGTCGAAGAGCGGGGGATACAGAGTGTTGAATTCTTCATTTGGCAAGTCACCCCCAGGCTTCGGCCATGCGAGCGAGCAGCCTTCGAGTGATTTAAGAAGCGACCTGAGGGCATCCTGCGGGAGACGCCGGACCTTTTCCGTCGCCGGGACCGAAGGCTTGCTGGCGGGTACAGGCGGGGTAGCGCGGGCGGCGGGCGAGGGGCCAGCTGATTCCGCGGGCGCGTCCTCGACTGCGGATTCGGCGGTCACCGGCAGCGAATTCGTGATGGCTGGGCTGGGTGCTGCAGCGCTGGTGGCATGGCTCCCTCGGCGGCTGCGGACTTGCGGGTTGCGGGCCCAGTTGGCGGAAGCTGGGAGAGCCGGGGCGTCACCGTTACTTGAACCATCTTGGCTAGAGCTCCTGGCCATAGGTTGGGCGATGGCCGGGGACGGCGATGGGTGAGCCTGCTGCCTTGAAGCGGAGCGCGAGGGACCGGAGTTTTGTTGGATAGGACGCTGCGAGTTAATGCTGTTCATCGAGGACAGGTCCTGCCGGCTGTAGCTGTCTTCCTCGTCGCCCAGCTCATGCAAAAACATGCACTGCCGATTGGTACACTGCTCATGACGCAACCAGGCCGAGCAATACTTTGTAGTTCCCAGCTGAGCCCTCAGCACCCTATCCCCGTTCTGAGACCCGTTAACCGCTTGGATGCACCGAGTAGCGTCTTCCTTCCTCTCGAACGTCACGTATACACCAAGGGATTGATTTTGCCCGTCGGTCCCCTTGCGGCTGCTGATCGATATCTTGAGAATGTTGCCGTATTGGCCGAAAAACTCGGGCTTCCGTAGAGTCTTGAGCAACTCGTCTTCGCGTACTGTCGGCGTCAACCCGGTCACGTAAACCAGGTTTTTCTGAACGACCCGAACTCCGACAAGGTTCTTGCGGTTCTCTTTTTCGGCTTCGCGCTTTTGTACCTCTTTTTGGCGTTGCTCGGCGGCGCGTTTTTTCTGGTTCTTTTGAATATTCGCGCGGAATTCAGCAACTCTGTTGCACAGTCAGCAAGCAGGTGGCGGCAAAATACGAAGGAAGGAATGGAACAAGAAAAAAACCACATACTCTTCCTGTGTGACAACTTTCCACTGTATGGTTTTTTCATCGTATGGGCGCCGACATGCTGGACAGAGCCCATTCATGTTCGTCCGGATATTGTTGAAGCAAAACTGGCATATCTGCAAGCCGGGGTTAGTACCACCATCGGGTCCCAAGCTGTGGCAGAAAGTCGAAGCCCATACCTGATACCCACATGGACACGGTCGGAAGTTGCGGTCTGAAAGATCGAACTCTTCGATGCAGAGAGGGCTGGGACGATTCAAATTAGCATATTGAGGCGGGGCAGAAGTGTGCTTTAAACCATCCACAGGGTACAAAATGGGGAAGGAAGCTCATACCAGCAGTCCTCCTCCTCGTCGAAGTATGTGTCTTGTGGCGCCATGGCTGCGGTAATTTGCTCGGCGGACGACGGCGAGGTCGCGCGGGGGAAGAGAGTCGATTCAAGTCGAGGAAGAAGTACTCGGAAGAGCAGGGATGATGGGTCGCGGCCCTGGACAATGACGGTATTATGGGTGGTGATGGAAGAAGTACGTAACCGGAGAGAAGGAAAAATAAAATTAACGATCCCTTTGCTGAACGCCTTTGGAAATGTACAAGGAGGAAATAGGCAACCTCCGCAACACTTTTTCTTTTCGTTGCTGGAATGGGCGGAGGGGAGCGGTTTGCGAGTTGAAGGAAGAATGGAGGCAAAAGCAGAGCCTTCCAGCAAAGAGTTCGAAGAACGAGCTAGGCGGTTTTCGGTCTAGCCCCATACCGCACGTGTCGTGCGGCCTCTGGTTGGACGAGAAACGCGAGAGAGCTCTTGGCCACAAGGAAAGAACCCCCGAATCTCCAGGGGACCTTGGAAATCCCCAGATTATTAAACCACAAAGCACGGCAACAGGATGGGGATTGCTAGGAAGCATACGCAATATATGCCGGAGTTAAGATATTTACTCCTGGAGATATGCGCCAGCCTATAAAACCCCGCCTCACAAAATGGTATTTTTCTAGAAAACTAGACCCTGTGCAGACCTCGACCTTAAAGTATCACGTGATATTCCCGTGAGTGGGGCCGCACTTCGAGGGACCAAGCTCCCGAGCTCGACGTCAATCCGAAATCCAACCCGCCCACCACGCCTTCGATCGAGGCCCCCGGCTGATTCCCGAGCAATTGGCCACCCACCAACCCACCACGATCATGGCCAGCAAGGTGTGCAGAAACCGGGCTCTGGCCTCCGCCCTGCGGGCCACCAACCCGACGGTCAGAGCCCGCAGCGAGACCGCGGTGCGGTGTTTCGCGACCACAGCCCGCGCCCAGGTCAACCTCCCGAAGGATGTCCACAACCCCCGCCAGGCGCCCCGTCCAAAGCCCGCCACCACCACCCTTCAGGTGCCCCTCGTTAACCCGGCCGACAAGTATGAGTCCAAGGCCGACAACCTGCACAAGTACGGCTCGTGGCTCATGGGCTGTCTCCCCAAGTACATCCAGCAATTCTCTGTCTGGAAGGACGAATTGACGATTTACATCTCCCCGGCGGGCGTCGTCCCGGTGTTTACATTTTTGAGGGGTATGAGGATATGGAGAAGAAGCAGTGTCGGGGGTGCTAGTTCACGCTAACGCATCAGCCAGACAACACCGCGGCCGAGTTCACCCAACTGACCAGCGTTACGGCCGTTGATTTCCCCACTCGCGATCAGCGATTCGAGATTGTCTACAACCTGTTGAGCGTCAGGCACAACTCCCGCATCCGCGTCAAGACGTACGCCGACGAGACGACGCCGGTGCCCAGCGCCACGGCTGTGTACGACGGCGCCAACTGGTACGAAAGAGAGGTGTACGACATGTTCGGCGTCTTCTTTGCGAACCACCCCGATCTGCGCCGTATCATGACGGACTACGGCTTTGAGGGCCACCCGCTGCGCAAGGACTTCCCGCTCACGGGGTACACGGAGATTCGGTGGGACGAGGAGAAGAAGCGGATTGTGACGGAGCCGCTGGAGTTGACGCAAGCGTTCCGCAACTTTGAGGGCGGTTCGAGCGCATGGGAACAGATTGGGCCAGGTGTGAACAAGACACCGGAAACGTTCAAGCTACCGACGCCGAAACCAGAGGAGAAGAAGGAGGAGCCGAAGAAATAAATACCGGGGCTGTACATATTCTGCCATGCAAATTCTGCAATTCTTTGGTGCAGTGACCAGGAGACTTGGTTTAGACCCAGGGGAGACGAGATCCTCGTGTATATTGGGTTGAGAAGAACCCAACCTTGATCCAGCCTACGGCGTAGCTTTTTGAACAACCTTTGGGCCGTCAATGTCCCCTGCCTAGTCCACGGACGCCGTCTCCCTTCTCTACCCCCACCAGCCTGAATGCGTTCAACACAGACAGTGAAGGAAGCCGTAAGTACTCATAGATCTGAGCAGCTTACGACATGGCCTAGCGTTAGTTCTGCTCCTTATAACCCGAATAACGCCGTCTCCAGGCCCTGGCTACATATGCATATCTTACCATCCTTATGATCTCCCGTCATGACATACCACTAAATCCCAGTCCCATTCTCCCAAGGCACATCTCACGAGCCATACTTCTTCACGCCGCGATTATGTCCCGTCATCCGCGATCCAGTCTCATTGTGCCATCCCTCGGAAGTAAGTCCCAGTTCACTCGATAAACCCTGATGTTCTCGACTTTCTTCCGGCAAGGCAGCCCAGTGGCTTAGGGTGGGGTTTTAGGCTCTTGATATCAGGGATAACAGACTTACCGTAGCCACAGGAGGTGCGTAAGCCCGAGTCTCCCCTATGTATGGCACCTCATGAATTGTTGTTTTGTTCACTTCCACTAAATCATCTTTTATTTTAAAATTGTTTCCCAATCTTGATTTCTCGAATTTCCTTACTGTTCGTCCCAGGGATACGAATGTAACAAAATAATAAAAGGAAGCATAAAGAGAAAACATGTTACAACATACACCTTTGTTGAGGATGAAATTTATAGCGATGAAGTTCCTCCTATTCCGTAGAGCCACGAGCGCCCGTAACTCCAATACACCTAAACCATCAGCCGCTGTCATGACGCGTCCTTTGACTGAGTAGGTAGAATATGACATTGCACTTAGAATTTCGCCTAATGACTGTCCTTGGAGAGATTCCAGCTAAAACAGATCGCTCCGCTCAACCACCAGATGCCAAAGTGCCCTCATCCACCATCGCATAAAACCACATGAGATAGGTATATACAAGACCCAATCTATTTACAACCAACACGCCGCCAAAGCAGAAAAAACGTTACCCTTGGACCACCGCTCACAGCTTGCCTCTATACCCCTTCGGTGCCAGGTTAACATTGTACTCCAACTCCAGCGTCGCCTTGGAATCCCCGCTCAATGGCTTGAAATCCACCACCAAATCATCCTTGACCGCAAACACAGTATCACTCTTGATCCACGGATCATCACTCGGATACAACTGCGTCGTGCATCCCTGGAAATGCGGGTGCGTAACCATAATATGAATATGCGCTGGGCGCATCGGGTGACGATCCATCATCGTTAGCAACTGGAACGACGGCCCGTCCCTCGGCAGCGAGTACGCCGTCGGGTGCAGGCAATACAGCACATAGCGGCCCTGAGCGTCGGCGCGGAACTTGCCCCGCAGATTGTTGGGGGTCTGGTTGTCCGGGTCCTGGAAATCGTATTTGCCGTTGGCAGAGGCTTGCCAGATGTCGAAGACGGCGCCGGGGATGGGTTTGCCGCTGGTGATGTCGCGGATCACGCCGTGCATTTTGACTACGCGTCCGTTCTTGGGCACGCCGTCTTGGTAGATGATGTCGCCGAGTTGGCGGAAGGGGGCGTCGGGGGACCAGAAGGGGCCTAGGATGGAGGAGGAGGTTGGGTCCATGCCGGACTCGGAGATGATTTTGTGGGCGATTTCGTCGACGAGGCTGGGCAGTGTTAGATATGGACGAAGAAGGTATGTATGAACAGCCGTTGTCAGCCGGCTGAGGGAGAGAAATGTGCTTACGATTCAAGCCCGAGAACGTCGCAGATCCGGTGCGTTTCGTTACGCGTCTTGTTGCTCTTGACGTAGATTTCGCCCAGGGAGTTGACATATTTAACCCCCGCCATCCACTCGTCGATGGTGAGCTCGGTCTCGCGGGCAAAGTCGTGAATGTGGCGGATGAGGGCACCCAGCACCTCGCGGTTACGAGGGCTGGTCTTGGGCCCCATGCCCTCAACCACCTGGTTGGTGAAGTTGGGGTCGAACCGATGAGAAGGCTTGTCCGGGGCCATCGTGATAGATGATATGTAGTATGATATGTCGTGGTTTAGGAAAAGAAGTTAATGTTGTATATCAGGCGGCAGTCCACGGGTTGTAGATGTCGGCTTGCTGTGGCTTTTTGGGTATCACAGGTAAGATATAAAGAAGCAGAAAAAACACACAGAGGCGAGAGGTAAGAAGCGAGTGAGGTGTTTCATCCTATATAGAGCCGTGAACAGCACGCCTCTCCCTTCCCTCCACTGAGATCTCGGCTGGTTGTGCATTTCGGCGAGATGATAGGCTCGGAGTAACCATGTGGCATCATTTCCCCCGCTGTGAACAATCGGGGCGCGGTCACGGCAGCTTTCCCCTTCCCCAGGTCAACACGGCGGGAGTGGGGTTGGAGAAGATGGCGAACCGGGACAAATTTAGCCCTGCGACGCATCTCTTCCAGGGGCCCTGGACCCCAGAGAGTCAAGGATCGCCCGACCCCAGAGCAGCCACACTTGAGCCACCTAGACGCTGTCACTGTTGCTTGATGGCAGCGGTTTGCCTCTTGCAGAAAGTCTAGAAATGTTGTGTCTCATGAGTTGTCGGGATACCAGGGAATTCCTAGGCGGCTCTTCCGCAATTGTTTCGCCGCATCCCAGTTCATTCTACGTATACCTCCCTTACCTATGCGATCATTGGATCTTCGCGTTATTCTTTGAGGCGACGGCTGCGGAATCCACCGTCCTGCAATCGTCAAAAACCTGCGTCGGTTTCCTCGTCGCGCCGCGATGCTCCGGTGATAACGGTCGGCTCTGTCCATCGCTGAGGAAGAGCCTTTACCCGTTCGATCCGGCTGTAGCGCTAGCAGGGGGCCTGGATGGTTGGTGCAAGATGGCGAAAGACCTCCTGCGGCTAGGCGGTGCGGAACGCGGATGCTGGGGGGCGGGAACAAGGTTCTGGAGAAGGCTGTTTCTCGGATGCGAACAAGTGGCATGCGGGCACCAATGCCGAAGATGAGAAACGAGACATTGTGTGTTGTGTGGAGCGCAGAAACGAAGTTGCTGCTACCCACTAGAAGAAATCCCGACAAACATTGATCTCCCGGGGGCGGCTACCGAAACCCCACTAAACATTAAATCCCCGCCTACCCGGCGGCCGAGCAGTGCGACGAGAGCAGTGAAGCACAGCAGTGGCGCGCCAAGAGGAAAAGGTTCAAGAGAAAATCTGGGCTGGGGCAACAATGACACGGGGAAAAAAGATGCCCATGGTATCGGGTACTAGATTCAATGTCATTTTCTAGAGCTGCATCCATTTTCCATCACACGAGTCGCCTCGCCCATCGCGGTTGCCTCGTTCCTAGGCAAAGCTCAAGCGCTCCTTCCTCACAGCCCTTCAAAAGCTTTTGCAACTCGGCACATTTCCGGCACCGGAGTCCGACGTCATTGGCGGCCATGCCCCTCCATCATTTAATGATAGGCACCTGGACCCCGCCAGGGGCCATCTTCACGGTGCAGTTCGACGATGAGAACCTCACGCTCGAGCTCGTAAAGCGCACCGAAATTCCCCACGACGAGCCGATATCATGGATGACCTTCGACGTACGTCCTGCGATGCCAATTGGCGCCCATTGGGGCAGCACTGCCCCGAATAACAGCAGTTGACTTACGACAGACGGGGATGGATACAGCACGCGAGGAAGAACCTCTACGGTGCGGCCATGAAGAAGTGGTCCAGCTTTGCCGTCAAGAGCCCGACTGAGATTGTCCACGAAGCATCTCACCCCATTGGTGGTGATCGTACGTTTTTTTTTTTTTTGCCGAATCTGTAGACTCCAAACCTAAACCAGACTGACAAGATGTGTCTCAGCTCTCGCTAACAACGCCGACACCAACACCCGAGCTATCTTCCTCCTCGCCGCGCAGAAGCCCCCGTACGCGGTCTACGCCAACCCCTTCTACAAACACGCCGGCTTCGGCAACATCTTCTCTGTCTCCACCACCGGCAAACTCGAAACCAACATCCAAAACTACCCCTACCAGCCCAACACCGGCATCCACGGCATGGTTTTCGACCCGTCCGAGACATACCTCTACTCGGCCGACCTAACCGCCAACAAGCTCTGGACGCACCGAAAGCACCCCACAACTGGCGAGGTCGAGCTCGTCGGCAGCGTCGACGCCCCCGGCGATGGCGACCACCCGCGCTGGGTCGCGATGCACCCCACGGGACAGTACCTGTACGCGCTGATGGAAGCTGGCAATCGCATCTGCGAGTATGTCATCGACCCCGCCACCCACTTGCCGGTCTATACCCACCACAGCTTCCCGCTTATCCCACCGGGGATCCCCACGCGAGACAAGGCCACGGGTAAGGGCCTGTACCGCGCGGATGTAGTTACGCTCACGGCAAGCGGGCGGTACATGTTTGCCTCGTCGCGCGCCAATAAATTTGAGCTGCAGGGCTATGTAGCGGCGTTTAAGTTGCGGGATTGTGGGAGTATCGAGCGGCAGATTCTGCTGCAGCCGACACCGACTAGCGGGGGTCATAGTAATGCTGTGTCGCCGTGTCCTTGGAGTGAGGAATGGTTGGCGATTACGGACGACCAGGAGGGGTGGCTGGAGATGTATCGGTGGCAGGACGAGTTTTTGCACCGTGTTGCGCGGGTGAGGATTCCGGAGCCGGGGTTTGGTATGAATGCTATTTGGTATGACTGAGGGGTTTAGGTTGTTGCTTTCATGACATTACGAGATGGATGTGGGTTCCCAGAATCTGGAAGAAACCGAGTCCAATGTCAGTGTCTTACAACTATAAGATCTGCCATAGGTCACATCAGAACATATCTTATGAAGTTGAAGTGCGAATAATACGGCAATACTCATCCCAAAGACTTCAAGATTTCACGGCAAACTAGGCCTTTTCCTCACGAATTGTAAAGCCCCCCTTGTTTCTCAAACCAAGAAATAAAATAATACTACAGTTTGAGAAGATTCAGGGTCAATTTTAAAGTTGATTCTCGGTCTTTTGGGGGTTAGGGTTTTGTTGTGTCTGTTCCATATGCAAAGCGGAGACAACTTGAAGTTACCATAGCACCAATAAACGGAAACTTGAATCCTGGCTTGGGTCGCTCCGGCAGTTGACCTTGCTGAAAAGTCACTTTACTTGATATCCTCCCGTCGGGAAGTTTCATGTAAATCCTTGAAGATCAGCCATATGTATTCTATTATTTTCGAGAATGTAAATTGATCAGTGATAGGACTGAAATTTCGTAACATAGCCTGAAATACCCGGCCAAGCAACCAATTGGGGCAAAAGGGCAAGTTGTCATGCGTTGTGGAGACACAATAATCCCTCTTTGCGAGACCGGACGTCACCGTCATCGCAGCGGGCCCTCGAGGAATACGCAGGAGCAACTGGAACTTGACAAGTGAGCGTAATAAACCTCAATACAACCTTGAATCAATTACCGTTTGGAATTTATCCCTCACATCCAAAGTTAATGTTTTCCTTTCAAGGACCTTCAGCGACTACCGAACCCAGACATCGACCTAACAGGCCCAGTTCCGGCCGACACAAGAGGCCCAACCCACGCTTATCATCATCATCCAACTTCTTATTATTCCTTCTCTCCCTCGCCGTCCTCACACTGGCAATTTTTACAGCCAATACCCCCCTCCTCCCCCGTCTCACTCTCATCCTCAACCATCTCACCACCACCACTACACGAACTCTCACCACAACCAACCCCACCACCCCCACTATCAAAATGTCTACCACCGCCCCTTACGCCCGCGAGCTCGAAATCGCTCAACTAGCCGTCCAACGCGCCGCCATCCTCACCAAGCGAGTTTTCCACGAAAAAGCCAAAGGCACCGTCTCCAAAGACGACGCCTCGCCCGTAACCATCGGCGATTTCGGCGCCCAAGCCCTCATCATCTCCGCTTTGCGCGCTAACTTCCCCCACGACGCCATCGTCGCCGAGGAAGAGGCTGCCCAGCTGCGCTCCGACGAGAAGCTCCGCTCCTTAATCTGGGGGCTGGTCAAGGAGACCAAGCTGGGGGATGCGCACGCCGAGGAGGAATTGTTGGGGGGCGGGGTGAAGGATGAGGCGGATTTGTTGGAGGTGTTGGATTTGGGACGGAGTGAAGGGGGGCGTGTGGGACGTGTGTGGACGCTGGATCCGATTGATGGGACGAAGGGCTTTTTGAGGGGTGGGCAGTACGCGCTGGCGCTGGCGTTGTTGGAGGATGGGGATGTTAAGGTTGGGGTGTTGGGGTGCCCGAATTTGCCGGTGGATGATGAGGCGCCGTTGGCGGCGGATATTGGGGCTAACCAGACGGATGATGAGGGACGTGGGGTGATTTTTTCGTCGGTTATTGGGCAAGGGGCTACGAGCCGGCCGCTAGGCACGGCGGGGTTGGCGGAGAGCAAGCCGATTCAGATGAAGGAGGTTAAGGAAATGGCGAGTGCTAGTTTCTGTGAGAGTGTTGAGTCGGGACATTCGAACCAGTCTGAGGCCGCGCAGATCGCGCAGAAGCTGGGTATCACCAAGCCGAGCGTGCGCATGGACTCGCAGGCCAAGTATGGTTCTATTGCTCGTGGGGCTGGGGATATCTACCTGCGTCTGCCGACGTCTAAGACCTACCAGGAGAAGATCTGGGACCATGCGGCCGGCGACCTGATTGTGCGCGAGGCTGGTGGTCAAGTTACGGATACTAAGGGCCGCCGGCTCGACTTTGGCGTCGGCCGGACATTGGCCGAGAACAGTGGTGTGATTGCTGCACCCGCGGCCGTCCATGGTCAGGTTCTAGAGGTTGTCCAGGAGGTTCTGGGCCTAAAATAGGTGTTGCTTTTGACATCTTGGTCTCGTTCATGATTTCTTTTTATTTGTTCGACGGCCATATATTGTACATACATATTCATATGGATGGCAAGAGGGCACATTTGCAGCCATCTGCCATCTGTACCAAACAAAAGTTGTTCTTGGCCGCGGAGAACAACACTGCTAAACCTACAAACCCAACCGCTGATCCAATCGTGACAACTCGGCCGATTAGCCCCTTATTTGATCTTCTTCTGCTTCAGCTTGATCGTCTCGTCATTGACAAAGATACCCTTGCCCTTATACGGCTCCGGCACACGCCAGCGGCGGATATGCGCCGCGAACTGCATAATCTGCTCCTTGTCGATGCCCTCGAGCAGCACACGGGTCGGCTGCGGCGCGCTGGCCGTCATGCCCTTGGGCAGGCCCATATCGACCGGGTGCGAGAACCCCAGCTTGAGGCAGACAAACTGCTGGCCGGGGTACTCCTCTAGCTTTGGGCGCGGCTCGACCGTGGCCCTGTAACCGATACCGACTAGTCGGAGTACGGCCGTGTGGCCTTCGGATACGCCCATGATATGGTTGTTGAGGTATGACCAGGTGGTTCCTGTGGTAGGGGGGTTAGCTTGGTTGGCTGAGGGAATAACGTCGGGTTTGGGAGCAACAATGGCATACCCCACATCTCCCTCTGGTTTCTTTGCTCCCGGTCCTTCACGCTCAGCTCGACCCTGCGTCCCTCGGTGTCATGGTTAACGTTGATGTAGTCTGGGATTTCGAGCTCAAGTTGACCTAGAATTGGACGAATTAGTCTCCCGATCTAATCCCGTTTTCCTTTATCCCGCCAATCTCTCCCATATCTTCAACAAGACGCTCATCAACTCACCCAATGGCCCCTTCACCGTGATCGTCCGCTTATACGTCTTGAGGTACGAGGTCACATCCTTTTTCATGAACAGATCGCCAATTGCCACCTCCACGCCTGGAGGTACCGAAAGCGGCGTCCGCCCCAATTTCGACCGCCGGGAAGTTGTCGCCGAGAAGTTGCGCCGGGCCGCCGCCGGCGTTTGCGACCGGAATGCGGGGACCAGGAAACCCGGTAATGTGACGGTCGAGGGGGACGAGGAGGCGGTGGTGGAGGGTGCTACGGCTCGTTGCAGGGCCTGGCGCCCTGCCCTTTGGGCGAGCATCGTCGGTGTTGTCGGCGCGGGGCGAGGGCCGGGGTCGGCGGGGTGGTGGGCTCGGGTCTGCGACAGCGACGAGGTGTGGTGGAATGCGATGCTCTCAAAAAAGATCGAGAGTGCCAAGGCTACAAGGGTTGTGGGTCTGGTATTGATTAGTCATCCATCAGGGGTCGAGGCAACTCAACACCAAGATTCAACTCTCACAAGTCACAGGTAGATGGTTTCACAAATTTCGTTGTTGACACCGTAACTGATGTTCATGATATCCAGATAAATTAAGTAGGTGGTTCTTCTTTGACTGAGTCGTCACGCCCTTTGTGCAAGACGCGACTCATAGTGCTACTCGACCAAAGAGCTTCTTGTGGCACGCAAGTCTTAACTTCGTTCTTCTCCGCGTACCTCCGCCCCGGATCTTAACACCTTCAACATACTCCCGAAGGGTTGCTAACGAAATTCCCCATCGCAAAACTCCAACAATGGGGGGGCATGGGTGCTTTGGTTATGATCCTCGCCCGGTTCCCAGCCTGTTTTAAAGCTGGCGGCCTGAGTTACAACACAGTTCCCGGTTCACCACCCGATATGCTTGTGACGGGCCAACTTTAAGCCAAATTCAACTTCCGACACAAGAATCGAGAAATCGAAGCCGCCTCGTCACAAATCGCACACTCGCCCCGGGTTGCGCCTTCCCTTTCTGTCGCAACTATGCCCTCCAAGCCAGCTCAAGATTGTTCCACAACCACTCCACCACCCCAATATTTCTTCTTCTTCCAAACTCCCACACAATCTTCTCCCTTTCATAAGAACTGCTCCCCTATCCACGTACCGATCAACTACTACCAACAGGCATACTACTCAGCAATATCGTTACAACTCGCTAGGAGGCGATCGACCCTAAACGGTCAAGATGCAGGCTTCAATCCTTCTCCTTGCTCTCTGGGCGCCGGTTATCACCGGTTTATCATGGAGGAACGATAAAAGGCCTGGCCTCGGTAAGTTGTACCCGACTGAATCCATTTAGCTGCTGCTGACCTACGCAGTCAAGGCGGACTCGGGAAAATCCTCTGAGATTGTCCAAAACTCACGACTCCCCGATATCTACGCCGTTGCGCTCAGTGAGCTTCAAGAGCTTGAGTCTGAGCCGCTCTGTCATCGCGTTGCCGCTAGGTTGCTGGTCAACAACTGCCAATTGGTGGACGGCAAGGATGAGGCCACCATCTTGACGGATAGCGGGCGCAAAGTCCGCGATTTTGTCGACTCGTACGCTGCCAGCCTCGCGATTTGTGATCTCGAGCGCGGGGGCTTCACTATCCCCAAGGAATGCGCCAAGCTTCGAGAACCCTCGCTCGCCCAGATTGCCATGCGAGACGACCCTCAACTCCACGTAAGCCCTGCTGAGATTGGGCTGTGTCTTTCGGCCCTGGCTGCATCGGATGCTGCTTGGAGCACTTGGGTCAGCTATCGTCATAAGGCGCTGCGATTTTGCGAGGCGGCACGAGTGGATAATGAGAAGGGTGAGACTTTACATTTCATGGCCTTACACTTTGTTGTGCATACAATGCTGATTTTCTCTAGCTCAAAACATCCTCCTGTATCAACGGTTGACGAAAGTGATTGCTAAGCTTACCGACGGGGTCGAGGCCGACCTGGAGAAGCGCATGCAAGACCTCGATGACCGTGCGAGACAGTCCGTCCAACAGCTGGAACAGCTCACGCCGCGCATTGAGCAGCTAAACGCAGGGCTGGCCCGAGTTCACAACTATCTCTCGGAGGATCTGGAACTTGCTCTGAAGAAGACGGCCGAGTTTTCTCACGGAGGACTCGAGCATGCGGAAAATTTGCAACAGCTTCTGGCTGCTCTGATCTCCAACGTCCACGATAGCAACACTCAGCTGGCGTCTGCTCACCAACGGTCGGTGCGGCAGGCATCACAGAGAATGGACAACGAAATGGGCGCCTTGATGGCGGTTGTCTCTTCCGCCATAGTCTCGTCCACCTCTCTTCAGCAACAAATTGTAAGTATCTTTTGAGCAGCTGTTTTTCGAGTACTGTTTACTAATTGTTGTTCAGCAATTATCAGACATGCAGGCCACCACATTCGCCCAACGCCAAGATATGCTTGAAGAAGGAATGGACCGGCTCGTCACAGCGACCGAGAAGCTCTCGACCAAGTTCGATGAGCACTCTACTCTGCTCAAGCAAGCCAGTAATATTACGAACGACATTCTCGACACACTAGAGGAGACAGCCGCGACGGCGTCCTCCCTGAGCGAGTCCTTTTTCTCTCGCGTTACCACCCACAGCTGGTGGCCGTTCGTCGTATTCCCCACCGCTTCTCTGGTGATGGGGTCGTATGGTTTGCCGCCGTCGATGCTACGAAACATTGGTCTCCTTGCGTTTGGCGAGGCCGTGGGATTCACCGTTTCGTGGTATGAGCACATATCGACGCAACTTTTCGGAATGGTGGGAGAGGTTGCGACGAATGCAACCGTATCTGCGCTCTGATATGGCGATGGCTTCTTGCGTTGTTTGCTGCTTCAAATCATTATCATGGTCCGAGATATCATTAGGAGCGCGGCGTCCGGAGTCTTCAAGGGTTAGAGAGGAAGACGGTTGCTTTGCGTTAGTTTGCCGCTTCGGTCATCATTATAAGCATGGTGCTGGAGACATCATTATGGAGTTTGGGGTCTGCATGGTTCATGGAGAAAGGTGCTCAAGGAGTTGAGACAATCAGATTTGGGGGCATAGAACAACAGGAATGGGAATCTCGGGGGTACATCAGCTTCATCTAGACGGTGAGCGTTCACACCATAGCATCAGTTTCTTCGTAGTTTCGAACAATGACATTTGATGCACATCCAACAGTTCATATCCAAACTTAAAAAAATGAAAATAACATGATCAATACCACGTGCTAGGTATGCTCTGTTACAATCGCATGCTTCATAGTGATGATGCGATGGGTATCCTAGGAATAAACCAAAATCTGTTTCCTCATCCCGGCCGTCAGTCGTAACCCTCTGCTTCCGTCATAACCCGTGTTATTTGCCGCTTTTCCCATTTCTTGTCTTTCCGTCTCGTCTGGCGTTTATTATCTTTCCTTCCCCCCTCTCATTTCTTATCCGCCACTTATCCATTTCCTCATTACCTACCCCCCCCTCCGTTCTCTCGTTACTGAATCGCCCTTCCGCTCTCTCACGGTTTACTCTCATTCTCACCCTCCCGTTCCCGTTCCCGTTCCCTATCCCTCCTCTTCCCCCTCAACTCCTTCCCAAGCCGGGCAATCAGCCTCTCCAGAATCCACTCCGCTTCCTCTTGTGAACCCATTAGGGGACTACGGGCGCCGACCCAGCTCCAGGGGGATTGGTCGTTTGTTTCTTTGGTGTTTATTTTGTCAGATTCGGGGTTGGGTTGTGTGGTTTTGGGTTCGGCTTGTTGTTTTGCGGGGGGTTGGGCCTGGGATGGGGTGGTTGGTGGTGCTGTTGGGTTGGTGGTGGTTTCAGACGGTTTGCTGTTACTTCTGTTACTGCTGCCGCTGCTGTTGTTGCTGGTGCTACTGCTGTGGTTATTGGAGGGTTGGGCGACGTTGCCAGTTTGGTCTAGGTCTTGCTCCCACTCTGTATTTACGGTACCATCCTCAGGTATATCCACTCCCCTTTCCCCCTTCGTCTCCTTCGTCCCCTGCTTCCCCTTCACTCCGTGCTTTCCCTTATGCGAATGCCTATGCGCATGCGGAGCAACACGCCGATGTCTCCCCGCATCCGCCTCATCCTCGCCAATCAACCTTAGGTACCACGCCCATTCGTGGAAACTGTACTTGCGCGGCGGCTGGTGCTTGAGGTGTTGCGTGACACGGCGGATCTCGTCGATTAGGGTGATGTGATAATCGTGCGGGGAGTCGGGCAGGGCGAGAGGGAGTTGGTCGCGCTCGCGGGGGATGGAGTTGGTGTGTTTTAGAGAGAGGCCGTGGGGGTGGTTGTTGTTTTGTCTGGGGCCTGGGGAGGAGGTTGTTTTGGCGAGGTGGGGGAAATTGGCTCGCGAGCGCAGATTGTCTCGATCTTCTCCTGCCTTTTCCTCTTCGGCTGCGTTGGTTTCCGCCCGGGCTTCGTGACCTTCTTCGAACTCTGTACGCCTCGCTCGCTTTAGCTTTCCCGCGGCCGTTTCGGCGCTCTCCGACTCTATGTCCGCTTCAGCCTGGTGCATAGTCTCTTGGGCCTCTTCGTCGCCCTTGGCGTTCCGAACATTGTTGAAGTCGCGCTTGAGGCGCTGGGACTGCCCGAGAAACCCAGTGGGTTCGCTCTCGATGTCCTCCTTAAACAAAACACCGAACGACAGCGTCCCGAGCAGCTTCCGGAGATCCTTCTTGAACCCCTGCTCGCTGGGCAAAATAGTCACCGTGGCAATCTGGTCTGTGGCGTCCCGAATTCCCTTGACAATGGTGTCGCCCGCATTAGAGATCAGAACAGTCATGGTGGGCAAGGCCAGCAGCGCCCAAAACACCCAAAACGATTTCCCGGCGTTGGAGATCGGCGTCACATCACCATACCCTATCGTGGTCAAGCTGACAAAGGAAAAGTAGAAGCCGTCAAAGTAACTCCACTGCTGGTAGCGCTGCTCGCACAGCTGAAACACCTTTGCCCCCACGAGCCACAGGACGAGCCAGGTGCTGGTGGACACCCCCATAGCAACCCAACGGCGACGGTGAGCCGACACCTCCTGGATCTCGCGCATGATGTTGAACTCACGCTCGCGGCGTTCAAACTCGGTCAGCTCGGCAGCGGCCGAGTCGGCGGCCCGAGCGGAGGATGGCTTGGAGAGCGGGGAGTTGTCGTCGATGATGGGGACGAGGATGTCGTCTTGCCCCTTGCGTGTCATCCGACGCAGCGTGCGCCGGCGCTTCTTTTCCATCATGCGGGCGCCGAGCCGTCGCTTGCCACGGTCGAGCACTAGGCTGCGGATGGACCCGATGACTAGACCGAGGCTGATGATCCCGATGAACGCGTAGGGCAGCAGCAGCGCCCGGCCGAGCGTCGTCTGCGCGTACAGGTCGCCAAAGCCGACGGTGAACAGCGTCACGGCGGCCCAGTACACGGCGTCGAGGTAGGACCAGCCTTCGATGGTGGAGAACACGAGCGCTCCAACTAGGAGATATACCAGGAACATGATGGTCTGCAGCATCAGTGTCCGCTGGCTCGACGTGAGCAGGAAGTCCTTGGGATATTTCCCGGTATGTGCGCCGAGGTAGGTGATGACCATGAGCGAGGCAATCACAAAGTACAGGATGGCCGAGTAGATGGCGTAGTAGAACGCCTGGGACCAGACAAACGGACCGTCTAGCTGGAGGGGGCCCGAGCCTGTGCCCGTGAGAGCGATCAGAGTGAGCGCCGAGACGTACCAGCCGACTATGGTGACGGGCTGCGCGATGGTGAAGCTGAGACGGCGCGTCATGTTGAGGAGCAGGGACATGTTGGCGACGATGGCGATGAACAGCTGGATGGCGTTGATGGCCGTCAGCCAGGTCGGGTCCATGACGTAGGGGGCCTTGGTGATATCGGTCCCAGGTGGGAATCTCTGGCGCCATGGCCGGACGAGGGCGCAGATACTGAAGGCTGAGGCGACAGGGCCGAGGGTGCCCGCGATCATAGGGAACGCCGATGAGGCGAACCACCAGCGGCTGTTTGGGAAAACCAAAGAAAAACGGTTAGAAAATGTTAGTGGTAATCGATAAATGGATTGTAACCAACCTCGGCTTCAGGTGGCTGAACTCATTTTCCGACGGCCCGGGCACATGCTCCCCGATCTCGTCGCTGTATTCATTCATGGTGTTGCAGGTCTATGAAGGTATCGATGTTTTAGGTGAGGGTCCAAGTCGCCAAGAAACTCACTCGATCGCTCTAACGACCGTGAGAGAGTCGTCGTCTTGGCTTCTCATGCTTAGACGGGTTCCAAAGAGATGGTTCGTCCCATGGTTGGAGGATAACGGCCAAGAAAGGGGATAAAAGGGGGGACAACAGGAACCAGGGAAAAGTTCAAAAGTCGGGATGAACTTTCAGGGCATCCTCGCAAACAATGGGTTTGGATGTTCTGGGGCGGGCCCTATGACGTTGACACAGCACCCCACGCGCTGAAAGGCGCTGACAGAGATCTGCCCGTGGTGCTAAAGGTGATTGGTTGGACCCACCGCAGCATGACCCGGGACTCCCTGACGCGCTAAAACTTTCTCGGTAGCCGACGACATTTCAATGTCTCATCGGGCATTTTTCATTCGATGGTCCTTTGTCAACATCATGCAACCATAACCACGTGTGGAGGAGCATCTCTACCAGAGAGGAGGATACGGCACCATGACATGAGGGTAAGAAAATACGGTGCTTACATATTTTAAACTACTTTTAGTGTGCGGCTTTTGGGGATCTCTAGGGTATGTTGCATCATGTCGCGATGGCTGCGCTTGTCCGGAGTGCGGCTCATCGTCCGACCCTGGAGATCGCCCTGCATCTCACCCTGGAGAACTCACGCCCGGTTTCTGAGCGCCAATTCATCCGTCGAGTATGTAGAAGTTCCGTGCGGGTCTGCGGGTAGTGTTCTGTTAAGGTGAGATTCACAATGGCCACGTTTTGCTCTTCTGTCCTGGCAATGCGTGACCTGACTGCGCATAGCCTTCACAACATCTCCCGCCATAGCCCAACTACCCCCCTGGTGATCTTTATACCACCCTTCTCGCCGATCGAATCGGGCTACAATGCGCCGCTACCCCGGTTTTTGGATGATCATCCAACCGCGGTCATCAACTACCGGTGGCGGCCGTCTGAGCCACGAGAGCCGGATGAAGCACAGAAGGGACTAGAGTACCACGACTTACACAAACCACCAGGGCGCCACGACCAAGGAGGCGGCCATTGGCCCGAGGATCCCTTACCCTGGCCTATCCCCCTCCACGATGTCACCATTGGATACTCATGGATCAAAAACAACCTCGGGTCCGGCACCTACACACCGAGAAAGCCCCGGCACGCCTACGTCTACGGATCCTATCTCGGGGCCAGCCTCGCTACCGGTCTCGCTTTTACCGAATCCCACTTCCCCCACCTCCTCCAGCCCATGACCATCCGCGGCCTAATCGCCCACAATGGCATTTACAACTGGAGCATGTTCTTACCCGACCACCCGATCCATGAGAAGAAACGAAAGCGGCGCAATTCTCCCGACGGTCTCGAATATGAGCCGATCGAGGAACCGGGCGTCTTTACCGATCTCAAACACCACATGCCAGCCCTCTTCAGCGAGCCTTCCAACCTCTTCGACCCCTTTGCGTCAGCCTGCTACTTCTTCCACACCGCCAACCTCTACGTGCCCGAAGATTTCACCACCCCGCTCTCGGACATTCTCGCCTCGCTTAGCCCCGAGATGAACGACGCCATTGATGCCCTCGCTAGCTCGACTTCCCTGAGTGCCTATGAAGGAGACGGATACGACCACGATGAAGCGGAAGAGCACATCGAAACAGCCGACGAACTCCTCCGCAAAGCCAGCCTCTTCGCCAAGAAACAAAAAGCCCCCCGCAAGAGCTACTTTACCTTTCCCCCCCAAAACTCTGGCGTCCGGCTACCATCAACCTTACTCCTCCATTCCGCCCCCGTCTCCCATGACGTCGACCCCACCACAGACACCAACCACGAACCACAACAACAAAATTCACCACAATCAACACCCAAGAAAAAACCACCCCCCGCAAAGCCCCTCAAACCCCGTCCCCCCCGCAACAGCTTCACAACCCAAGCCCTCGAACTCGGCGGTCTCATGATGCGTTCCATGGACATGTACGAGCCCATCCACATCAGCGGCACGGGCTTCTACCGCTCCCCGCGACCGGGCCCCCCACCCGACTGGCTTGTCAACGAAGGGGATGCCGAACACGGGGGGTTACCAACACCCATGCCTTGGGTATCTACTACTTGCAGTAGTCCTAACGGGGCGGGTGGGGTTGGACGACAAGGAATACGGATAGGTCCGGATCCGGATCTGGGACCTAGTATGGAGGAGGGCTTGGAGGAGCAGGAAAGGGAGCGGTTGAGGGAGATTGAGAGACGGGTGCAGAGTTATGAGATGAGGCCTGCGGTGGGGGTTTCGTTACCTACGTTGGGGAGGATGAAAGAGGGGGTGGATGGTGAGGTTGGAGGACATGAGTCGGAAGTGGATTTGGGGCTGGAGTTGGATGAGGAGGCGGAACAGGTTGTGGCGGAGTGGTTGAGGGAGAAGATTGAGGAGGATTTGAGGCGGGATGGGAGGGGGCGGGGGCGTTGAGGTGATGAGTGCTGGGGGTGATGTGAGAAAGTGGTTGTTGGAAAGGGGGTGAAAGAAAATGTAGGGGTGGTTGTGATGTACTGTAAGATGTTTGAAGTGAAATGGAGACGGGAGAGCGATACCCGGATGAAGAGATGTGTACTGTTGTTGTGCGCTAGGAATATATAATCTTTTCAAGCGGGACTGACATGCTTCTTGTTGTAACTATAGATAGGCAACGCTTCAAAACGCTAATCCTAACTCTGAAAACGCTGATCCTGACTGTAACAATGCTTGCCGAGATAGTTACGCTCTCCCCTTCCCCAACATCTGCTTCTATTCTCGGCACCACATCGGTATCTGGTCGTTCGCGTAGTCCCAGGACTGTGGTACCTGAGACCCCTGGATACCTGACGTGAGAGGCTTCCGTAAATGGCCAAATCGTCGGCATTGCCAGCGATTGGCGCGGGGCTTCAGTGGATGGCCACATCATTATATCTTGGCACCGAGGCTACCAGCTCGACTTGCAGCTCACATGCACTCCTATGGAGGAAGGACGTGCTGCTCATGATAGGTTTACCTTGTACTGCCCGCCCCGGCCCAGTGTCTCATGCACCGGATCTCATCACTCACACTTGAGTATTCTTTTACCCAATGTTAGTCTCCACCCCTTCTCGAAGTATTAGTTAATTAATATCTTGTAGGCGTTTCATCCCTTGTAATTCTTCCGGGGCAGCGCCGCGATGCGGCTGCTCCTCCTCAGCGGTACTTCTGTTACTGCTGGCGCTGCCCGGCGCTTTACAGGCCGTGCAGTCGGGGGGTCCGCAACCGTCGCAGCGCCTCTCTTAGACGACCGGCGTCTGGTCGGCGACTCAGCAGGCTGTTCAGCAACTACTGTCGCCGCCTTGGCCGAAACGCGCTTCTTAGGAAGTTGTTTAGTAGGTGGCTCGGCAGGCTGTTCGGTCGGCTGCTCGGCAGGCTGCGCCGCCCGAGTTGAACGTCGCTTCGCAGATGGTGGCTGCCCCATCGCAGTCGGTGCTCCGGCAGCAACCTCGTCGCTGTGATTCTCAGCTCTCTCCCGCTTGCGTTTCCATGGCCGAGGTGGGTCCGGCGGCACACCGCGAGGCCGTTTACCGAACGCGGGTTGGTCAATCGGCGGTAGTGCGGCGAGCTCTGCTGCCTTCTTTGCCGCCTCGTCTTCCCACAGCGCGATCAAGGCCGGGGGTGGGGGGTTATCGTCGGCAGGCAGTCCCCTCTCGGCACGCATCTCCGCCAGCTGTGGCTCTAACGTATCAAGGCGTTTACGGCTATCCCGCACGAACGCGTGCTTCTTCGGATTGGTGACGATTTCAAGAAGGTGTTCACGGAACTCGAGGTGCAGAGCGTAGGCGTCGACATCATGCGCATCGGGAAGGGGAGGTTCGCTAGATTCGGGCGCGTCCTCCACTCGGCGATCAAAGTTCCGTTTCCTCCAGCGAAGAAAGCGTATCCAGTCGCCAAGCTCTGTAGTCCAATGCCCACCCTCATGTCCCGCCATCTCGATAGCCTCACGCGACTCCCACTCAGGATTGATTGGGTCTGGAGGAATGGAAATCAGGTCACGCGTCGGGCGGCCGGCGAGGGAGACAAGTTCATCCCGAATTTTTTTGGCTTCAGCAAGATAGAGCTCGACACTTGGCCGTGAAGGGAGATTTCTGCGAACGGGGAATGGTGAACCCAGGGCGTCAGCGGAGAAGCCACCAGAACACCAAGCATCACACCACACCAAAACTGGTTGCAAAACCTCGGACGCTTACCTACGTCAATCGCTTGGTAAGGGCATCAGGGTCAATGATGCTCTCGCGAGGCTGCACACGATGTACAACGCGCGGCAGTCGCGCGGATTGGTCGTTGGTTTGATCCATGGCCGATGTTTGGATGCCGCATGCATTGGGCGGAGGATGAGGAGGGTTTGATGCTTGATGTGTGAGAGAGTCGAATGCGTTGGCTTTCCAGGCTGTTTGGCTTCCAGCCCGTTGTGCAGGTTTGGCCCAATTACAGCACTGACGCGCCGCGGCAGCGGCGAAGCTGTTGACAGCAGGGCAACAACAGCCAACCATTTGGGCATCTCTCATCGGCTGCAGGGCCTGTAACGTCTCAGATAACCCTGTTCGTCCCCAATGGCGGCTAACTCGGTGGTTTGGTCCGAGACAAACCGTTTAGGGTCATGTCGGGCCGTTTCGGACCGTAACGGGCTGAGTGCCCAAGCAGATGCAGATGTTAGGCCAACCCGTACTTCGTAATGGGCAAACCACACCAAAAAACACGGCAGAGTCAGTCCTTGGACAACTTACTTTTCTACAGAATTGAAAAAAAGATCAAAAAGACTAAATGAAAAGAGTGAAAAAAAGACGAAGAAGAGTAAATCGATCAAAATCTGTGAATATTTGATCGAATGTTAATGGATTGGACCTGAGCCTTAGACTTAAGGTACCTAAGGTCCTAATCTGTTTTAGTCTGCCGCTTTTTTTTTGGCCACAGCGAGCCACCATGTTACAGGGCAGTAGTAACTCTGCCAGCCTTGCCTCGAGCAGCTTGCTCCGGACGGCCCAACTACTCCTCGGGCAAGAAATACAAGGTATATAGCGGTTCAGGCACCCGCCCTTTCTTCTCCTTGTCGTCTCCTCTCCTAGCATAACCATAAACAAGTCAACAGTAGCAACAGCTTTAGAAACAGCAACAGGATCTTATATGATTCCCACATTCCAATTCAGCCCCAGTACTGCCCCTCCCCGTGGACGGTGGACTCATACCATGGAGTATCGTCTTTCCTCTGGTACCGTGATTGAGCCATCCTCGGCCATCTTAGTGATCGACCCCGTGCCCGGTGTCACAGAGTCGGAGCTAATAGGCCGCAACGAGGGACGTGTCGGCCACCTGGTCGACGACGCCCTTCTCTCAGGTGCCACTGATCACGGGGATTCCCTCATCGTTCTTTCCCTCTCTCATCCGCCTCGCCTCGGCGAGCAGTTCGTCTTGGGCAGCGACGCCCCGACAACTGACATAGTCCTCGGCGTTCCTGGCCGCAAGGTCAGCGCTCGTCACCTCAGTTTTGGTTTTGACGAACAGGATCGTGTTATCATGCTCGACACCTCCAGGCTCGGCACCAGCGTATCCTACAACGACCAGCCGCTCTATGCCCGCCGTGGCACTCCCGGCCGCCCCTTTAGATGGGTTCTCCCTATCGGATATGAAGTTCGGGTCGAGATCGAGCCTTCCTTCAGGTTCAATATCCGTGTCCAGGATCACAGCTCCCATCTCGAAGAGTTCCGCGCCAAGCTCGAGTCTTTCCGCCATGAATGCCGTACGCGGGTCCCTGAGGTGTCTAATATTGACCTCGACGCAGACCTCCCGGTCACCGCCAGCGCCTTGACTCCTGCCTCCCCCGGCAGCGGCTTACCCAACTCCGCCGCTACCACCAATTTGGAGACCCCCGACGACAAAAGATTGCCTGGCCCCGAAGTGTATGTCGAGGGCCCCATCCTTGGCCGCGGCGGGAATGGCACCGTCAACAAATTCTACGCTGTCCGGGATTGGACTTGCTATGCTGGCAAGCGAATCGCGCATGACGTAGATCTTGAATATGAGGTTGACGTGCTGAAGAAACTAAGCCATGTTTGTGCTCCCTACTTCCGTCCCCCCGCTGTCTTGCCTGTAACTGGGGCTAACAATATGCCTCCCTCCCAGCCTCGAATCGTCCGCTATGTCGATACTTTTGAAGAAACTCAAACGCCTCTCAGCACTGTTCTCATCATGGAGTATTGCGCTGAAAAGACGCTCGCGCACCAATATCGGAAGCGTGAGCTTCAAATGGAGGAAACACTTCTTGTGCTTCAGCAATGCCTTGAAGCCCTCGTCTACTTGCACGAGTCGAACATCACCCACAGAGACATCAAGCCTCAAAACATCCTCTTCCGCTCCCGCAACCCTATTGACGTGGCCTTAGCCGACTTTGGCTGGGCCTCTAATGCGGCGGGATCCATGTCCACCGCCCAAATAGGCACCATTACCTACCTCGCCCCCGAAGTCCTCGCCCACCAACGATATCGAAACCCAATCGACATCTGGTCGCTTGGTGTAGTTGGCCTTGAATATCTCGAAGAGCTGCCGGACGAGGAAGAATGTGAAGATGAACTAGACTTCGCGATCGAGATCTCGGGTTACGCCGAGTCCTTAGCCACTGACTACCCCTCGCACGGTCACCTACTCCTCCTGAGCCAGATGCTGAGTCGGAAGCCTGCCAAACGGCCAACAGCCGTGGAATGCTTGAGGGCCGTGTCCGACTTGGTTGCCCAAGCCACGCCGCCGACCACACCGTCACCCCTTAGTCCTTTGACACGCGGGAGCCGTGAGCCCACCCTCAGTGACAGCCAGGCCACAGTCCGCGCCCCGCGTAACTCCCAGTACACACAGACGACCGTCCGCCGCTGGATCGACAGAACCAGCCCTCGCAACTCCAGGGACAACGGCGACGACTTAGAGGATGGAAACTCCAGGGACAACGGCGACGACTTAGAGGATGAAAACTCCCGGGGCAACGGCGACGACCAAGGGAATGGCAACTCTAGGGATAACGGCGACGACGACAGCCGCAATAGACGCTCGGATGTCCCTCCGCCTGAAACGCCCCAGCCTGCGAGCAGCGTTGTCCGGTTGGCATCACCAGAATACGAAGAGAACTACAGCCTTGGAGCTGGGCAGCCTGAGCCTCAAGCCTCGTCCGTTTCCGCCGTGCCAGCGGTCTCGGCGCTGCGGAAACGCAACCCCGATAGCTCAGGCTCAGGGCCAGGTTCGAACGGCTCAGATCGGCACGCCCGCAAGCGCCAGGCCACCTCCCAGAGGCTGTCCCTAAGCACTGCCAAGTAACAGCGAGGTGGGGAAGAGTGTCGGTTGTATTTGAGTTGATTAGGGGGTCCTCGCGTGGTCGGTTCGATGGAATTTGACGATTATTACTAGAATAGCTAGGTATATAGAAGCCGGATATCTATATACCTAGTTATAGCATTCTGTATTATTACTTGAACCTTGTTTTAAACTACTAATAATTTGAGTTGCTCTTGTTTATTGTTTTTCACTTTTTTGGTTTATTCGTTAGCTCTTTTTTCACTTTTTTGATTTAACTATGCTTTTTGTCTTTTTTCACTTTTTGGATATATGTTTTTTTGTCCTCTTTCACTTTTTGAGTTATGCTTTTTTGTCCTTATTCACTTTTTTGATTTACATAGTATTCTTTTTTGTCTCTTTTCACCTTTTTTGCTTTTTCTTTCTTGTCTTTTTTTTTTTTTGGCCACAGTGAGAGTGCCTCATGTGCCGCCAACGAACAACCACCATGAGTATTTGCAGTGCTGTGCTTAACGCGTCAACTAGCAAAACCTCGCACAGCTCCTGCAAAGGACGCGTGCATTTGCTTCATTAATAATTAATGCCCTTAAATGAGACTCAAATTGCAGCTTGGCTCGCAGAAATTACCACTTCATCGCCCTCGCAACAGCGCACTTGACAGCAAAGCGATCGGGATGTGAAGCCGCCTTTCAAACGCCGCAAGCTGTCTCTCTCTCACCCGTTGACCCCGTCAACCATGACGTCCCGAAGCTCATCGCCGCGTATGTGCAGAGCTATCAGCATGGACATCAGTGAAGTTGATGGCACATCACTCCCGCCGCCGTCGGATGTTTCGGGCAGGACATCGCCGACCAAGGCTCTCATGCGGCTCGAGCTCGACCCCGCGGGCATCGACTCGCGGTTTATGACGACAGAGGACAGTCAGATGCCTCAGGCTTTGGTCGCCTTGGTGAAAATTATGCGGCAGGTCAATGGACAGGTCGGCGTGGTGCTGAGTAGTTGCAAAATTCGCGGTCCGAGTCCCACTTCCTACCCCGGATGTCAGCTAACCCCCCGCCGCAGACGACGATTCCCGATCCCGATCTTGAAGACTTCTATGACCACGTATACTGTAAGGATGTCGCGATGGACTCTCCCGCCACGCTGCATGAGATGCGGAAGGTCGTGGACGGCGCCGCAGCCTGTCACATGGATGGACAAGCAGAGAGTGGTTGGAACAACCTGGTGCATACACCTCTCTTGGACGCCTCCCCCGCCCCCGCTTTCCGTCCTTATCGGTTCATTGACTTTTATCCATGGTATGTCAGTCAAGTCAGCTTGCTGTGTCGTACTTGATGCTAAAGCAGACAGTATGTCGGCATCAATCCTTCCTGAATACCTGCCTCCCACCGCCGGGAAGATGGTCGACTACGTCATGAGCGTGGAAGCGTGTGATGAGACCCCGGGGGACTCAACGGGGACAAATGTGCTGGCCGCAATAGAGGAGCTGAGGCGCCAGCTTCCGGCGAGCGTAATCAACCATACAGACTTCACAGCTGTGCGCAACCGGCCTATCGCCGTCAGCATCGAGACTAAGCGCCGAGGTCGCGGGCAAGAGGCTGCTGCAGATCTCTAGATGGGGACCTGGCACGCGGCTCAGTGGAGGAGGAGATCAAATCGCTTCCTTTCCTCCCAAGTCTTACCATTCACGGCCACCAGTGGGCGTTCGTGGCGAGCACGTTTGCCAACGGCAAGACTGTAAGTTGAAGTCTTTCATAGCCCGTGACTGGGCTTAATGTGACTTGGGCTCAATGTACTGATTCTCGCCCAGACCTTGTGGATTGTGGACTGAATGCCCAATCGGCTCTACGGTGACATTACTGGGCACCTTTGCCATTGCCGCCGGTATCAACCATCTGCGTCTCTGGACTCGGGATGTTTTCTGGCCCTGGTACAAAGGCAAAGTCTTCAGTCCCGATGCTCTGAAGGTAGCATCTCGGGGGCATGCGGGCGATGATGGGACAGAGTAGTGGAGATTTCACTGGAGTGGACATATTTGGTTTATCAGATACCCAACTCGACCCAAACCCTTCCGCCTCTCGCTCCTTTCATGGCCTTGTCCTTCGAGCGCAACTATCGTACACAAAGCCCAACATCATTACTCTTCGTCGGAAGGGCGATTAAAAGCCTGCATGTGGACCTGCCGCAATGCCATCAACACATGGGCCAATGGGAGAGGATACCGCTTCAAAGTCTGCTCGACCGCGGCCTGATCCGCGCTAACACCTTCCGCCGGGCACCCGAGAGTAAAGATGCCGAACCATGCCGCCTGCAGGAGCAGCGAAATATACTCTTTCTAGCTCCATGTCATGCCAACCAACACTGGATAAGCTTGCTGTAGCAAGCTGTCCTCGCCAAGTCCTGATGTTTGTGGCGGCCGGGGGAGGAACCAGAGCAGACACCTGGTCTTTGATCGCGCCGAAGAGACCTTGGCAACTTGAGTAGCGGGAATCGCCGTCTTGGCTTGGCGATGCAGATGGCCAGGTTGAATGACGGGCCGGGCGGGCGGGCTCGCAGCGGGATCGGCCAGCGTGAGCGCAGATCGTCGATATTGCAAGCTCCAAGCCGCAGGTAGTAAGTAGTATATTGTAAGTATGTATGCCAGGCGATATCATTCCATCACGTCATGCTTCCCGATTAGCGAGGCTTCTGGGGCATGATCGAGAGGTGAGGGCTCTCCTCATGCGATCGATCCTGGTCTAATCCCGCACACAACCTGTTAAACGCCGACATGTCCCCTGGAGCAGCCGTATATTGTTGCCATCGTGGTACTGTTAACGTTAAACAATATTGAACGAACCTGCCATACATACGCTGGAGATAAGGGCCCCCAAGATGAACCGCTGCGTTTAGGGTAAGGAAGGTGAGGGATCCTGCCTCGGCTGTTAGAAGTTGCAGTGCCCAAGAGATGAATGAGTGAGATGGATGAACGAGACATGACGGCCCTCCTCATCGTTTACCCCCGAGGAGCCTCCTATGGGGTGTGTATCTTGTCTCTCATCCCCTTGTCTTGAAGATGCTTCTGGTTGTTGGATAGTAACTAACTAGACGCCTAACGTTATTGGCCCAAGCTATTTCCCTTTTCGGACTCAACAAGACGAAGACGACGACCGGGCTCAATTACACTACTTCCTACCATAGATTCCGAGCTCAAAACCCCAAATCGTGCAAAGCTGGCTTTCATCTAACATCAGTGGTATAAAAACAAAACAAAATGGACCCAAAAACCCGTGCTGAGTGTAATATTCAACTCTCAAGTCCGAAACCACTCAGAAACATCCCTCTCACCACATTGGACGATTGGATCTCATGCTGGCTGCACCGACCGATCGGCACGGCTTCATCGGGATCTCAGCCGATGACGTCATCCCGGCATCCCATGCTCAACGTTCAACCCACCTTCTCTCAACCGAGGATAATCTCAACGGTCAAAGCCGGCCTCCCGTTTGAGCCGCTTAAAGCAGAATTAATGAGAGAAAGCGTCACGTGCATCGAGAGAGTGATTCCGAGAGGGGATTTCAAGAATTCAAGGATTTCAAGATTCCGGTCCTTCAATTAACTAATGGTGTCTCTCTCTTTGAACCGGGAGCGCTGTTGAGAGAGCCTCCCCAAAAAAGTAAAAATAAAAGTACCTTGTGTAGGCGCGTAGGAAGTCTATGCTCCTCCAAATAATAAATAAAAAGGGAATCTGAACGTCGAGGGATGGAGCCTCAGTCCCCACCCTTTCTCGATGCAAGCGAGTCAATACCCCAAGCCTTCACCCACGATCACGATCACTCCACCGCTCAACACAACTCGGCGGGAAGCCGGTTATGCCGGGCGTAATCGAGCCCCTGCCCAAAAAGCGAGCTCACGCGATCCAACCAAGTTCCCAACATTCATAACCAAAAAAAAGGGACAGATGTATCGGGGGTATCTCTAATGCCTAGTCCATGGTGCTGCAGGGTTGTCCTTGCTGCTTGGTCCCATTGCAAGTCATTGCCGCCCCGAGCCGGTCGGTGTTGTTGATATCCCAGAGCCATGCCCACTACCATCGGAAGCTATCACCCGGCGTGTTGTAAAGCGCTGTCCCGGTTGGGATCCCATCGGCCGGTTCTGGGTTGTTTTCGATTTCGGTTTCAGTTTGGACATGCGGGGGTCAATTAGCCCTTGATCGGCTTGGAATTTGAGGGACCGGCTGTGACGTCTGGCGTGCCGCTCCGGGACTTGCTGGGGTTTGGTTCGGAAAAGAGCTGGTGCTCATCGATGTACTATGGCGTGTAAGTAACGACTCAGTAAAAAGGGGTCAGCGTGCAACGTGAACATACCTCGACGACGGGGTCTGGAATCAGGTACCGGACACTGAGGTCCTTCTTCAAGAACAGCCGGACCTTGGTGGAGCTGATATCGTTCTGGATGACTTGGCTGATCACCCAGATGTTGTCCTCATACTGCCTAAGCGAAGCGAGAGCCTCGTCGATATCGGTCCCGGAACGCTCAACAATGAACGCACCGTACTGCCCAAGAATAGTATCCAGGTCTTGTGGTGCCCAGAGTCCGGGCTCGCCCATAGACATGACGAGATCGGCACCGGCAAGGAGCGCGATGCGCGCCTTCCTCCTCTGGCCATCGGTACCCTCGATGCCGCCCAAAACGGTGTTGATCTCGTGGTCAAAGTGGCGCAGGACCTTGGCGGTGGGCACGTATTGTGGCTCGCCCTTTTCGTCGCTGTTGACCGTCTCGAACGGGTCGACCATAAGCCAGGCCGACTGCTCGACGGCCCGTGAGCACATATTGACCCGGTGGTGACCCGGGGCCAGCCCCACCTTCTTGTAGGCGTCGCTGACCTGTCATCAAAAACCCGTCAGCATTTGTTTCAACATGTGATCCTATGCAAGCTACTGCTCGCGGAACCAATGGAAACAGGTACATACCGGCGACAAGTACCCAGCACAGACCTCAAAGTCTGTGTTGAAGCGGATAAAATCACCCGCCATCTCAAACATCCGGAGATGTAAAAACGTGATTGCTAATCGAAGAGAGTCTTGTCAGCGGCTGGAGAGAAAGGGTCTTGACAGGGCCTAGTACGCACGAGAGAATGAGCCGCAAGCAACCAGTACCAGGGGCGTCTTCCCGACTTGTGTCTGTCGCAACCTCAGTTTTTCCGTTGGGAAGGCATAGGGAGCCTGCTCCCCATCGGGGGTCGGTTGTTGCGCCGTGGGCGCCATTGGGGTTTGGGTGCCCGAATCACTGGTTCCGGAGGTCATCGTGGGTTCGTTTGGCTGGGAACCGTCCGTGATGGGATATCGAAGGGAACGTGGGTGGATTCGTTGAATCGTACGAATACAGTGCTGATCTGGTTATGCGCCTGGGGGCCAACCGATCACAGGCGCATGGACCGAGGAATGCGGGGCACTGCCGTTCCTGCACAGGAAGCAGGTCGGAGCCGACCGGGAATGCAAAGTTGCGCGGTCGCCGAAAGCCGGCGCAGCGAGTTTGCCAATTGGGGGAGGCCGCAGGGAATGGTGCAATCGCTAATGATATCGTCGGTTGGCGAGAAGGAGAGGGGGACTGCGCGGTATTTTATCCAGCAGACGGTCTCTGCTGTCAAGGTTTGGGAGGTTGAAGATGACAAGGGTGGCCAGGCAGAGGAGGCAGCAAGCGGGATGGGGGGTGTCGCTTCTTATTAAGCCACTGACGCGGGGGCTGAATGTGCAATGGGGGTCTGTGTTTTTTAGCGGAAAGAGGGAGAGTAATCAACTTAAAGCTTGTTAATGTCAAAGCCACCAAATAGAATTTCTCAATTGACCGTCCCCGGAGTTAACAAAGCTCCATTCGAACAAAAAGGCGCAACCCACTCTCTGATGCACGCAATGTGTGTTAGTTATTGGCAACCGCTTGCCCCGGCCTGACTGACTCAACGGGCAGGATTTCGCCGGCCCAGCGGCCTTGCGTTGGTTTTATTTACTGTTTCACAACCCTGTGTCTCGACAGAGCGCGCCTTTGTTGCACTGAACGCAGCACAAACATCAGGAGGCCCCAACACCAAGTACAAACCTAACGTGTGTGGAGTGGTAAATCGGGGCTTTTTCAGTTCCAAACCTACGCTTGTGTTTATATGGTTAGAAGTCATCTGGAACTACTGGGCGGTCATCTCCCCATCGTCGCGGACTTCCAGAGGAGACCGAGCTATCATCCGAGACCCCAAGTGGTACTGTACAACGGGATTGCGTAATGAAACACTTGTCGTCTGTAACACAAGGATATAACTCTTCAACGCCGTTCGTCGAGAGCTCCCGTCCTTCTCTCAACGCTCGGATTTCTGCAGTCGATGCATAGAGAAGGTGAGTGAGACCAGTTCTGATGGGGAGTGGGGGTTTTGAAAAATACCCCGCCAACAGTGCTGCAGTCACAGCGGCCCCCCACCTGGGCCTGGGCCGGGGCGGCTTCAAAGCTTCGTTCCAGTTCCTGCGGACACGAAGTTGGGCAAGTGTACTTCGGAGAAGTGTCGGAATTCGGCAGCACTTGGTCGGATTGTAAGTCCGAGGGGCCTGGAGTGAGACCTCCTTTTGTGACATTGAAGAGAGTTAATCCAAACTTCAACGGTGAAGGAAAACGTAAATGAAGAACTAAAGGTTACTTGCCTTACATAAGCAAATGTGCCTGGTCGAGCACTGCTCGCTCCCCCGATTTCGGAAGGCCTAAACGCCCAACATGAGCAGCGGTCTGGGATAAAAGCACCACGCCGAAGAAGAGTGGATCTCAAGAAGGATACCTTGCGGATAAACACCAGATTTTCAACTAATTATAAGTACGAATCAGAAGCTATTCATGAGCGTCTCCGTTGAGGAATCCCCAGGACCCACGACACCGAAAACCGTTGCCGGGCCCACGATATCACCCCCGGTCCAAACATACCCCTGAGCCCCTGAACTCCAAACCAGACTCCAAACTAGAAACCCTCAATATTCAAAACTCTCAAAAACAACCTGTTCCTCCCCAAGCCAATCCACCACCGATCTCAGCAACGCAGGGCTCGCACAAGCAAAATACTTCGTCCCCCTCACAATATCCCTAGCCTCCAACACATCCTCCCTCGTCAACCTCCTCCTCTCCACCTTCGCACCCAGTTCCTTCAGCTTCTCCACCACATCCTCATCAACATTGTTCTTGTCCCCCGTAACAAACACCCTTGTCACGCCACCCAACCCTTCGATCCTCTCAAACGAATCCACAGCCAGTGGCAGGTCCTCACCTCGCAAGCTCCAGAGCACTTCAAGCCCTTTATCTTCTTCTTCAGACCCCGCTGCAGAGCTCAATAATCCAGGGGCCTGAGCCAAAAGCGGCGTGATCCCAATCCCACCGGCAACAAACACCGCCTTGGTACGACTGTCGCTGTCCTCCGCACTGGTGGCACCCACTGGTGCAGAACCAGCAGAGGAAGAAGTCGGCACCGGAATCCGAAATGCCTCCGCCCCGCCTATTCCTAACACCCCAATCTCTAACGGAGCAAAGGTCGCGCCAAAGCGCTGGGAGAATAGTAGCTTGGTCGCTGGGCCGTGGAGGCGGACGGTGAGTTGAACTTTGACTTCGTCTTCCTTCCCCTTACCGGTGTCGTTCTCTTCCACGCTTGGCGGCGGCGGGGGGTTCGAGATGGTGAACGTCCGCACGTAGTCATCGTTCAAGCTCTGCGGGTCATCCTCGCGCATATGGCTGTACCCCTGGTCCAGCTCAGACGCGAAAGTGAGCGTGATATGTTGGCCGGGATGCCATGATCGAGGTTGTGGCTCCCGGTTCTTGAGGAGGAATGTTAAGCGGGCGATGGTTGGAGTGAGGATCTCGCGGTTTGTGAGGGTGAGTGTTGCGGTTGGGGAGGAAGTCGTCTCATCTGTGGCAGCTGCTGAAGACGGGGGAAGCTCGGTGGCGAGTCGTCGGACGGGGGGGTTATATGGGGATAGTTCCCCCGGCGTGCCGCGGATCGGGAGCCCGTCGTGGACGAACCGGGCCGCGTGGACGGTGATTTTGACGGCTAGGTTGGTGTGCGGCAGGAGAGCGGCCGCGTCGGGGCCGACGAGGAGTTGGGTTGAGCCGGTCAGGTACAGGATGTCGGAGGTGGTGTAGTCGGGGATTGCAATGCCGGCAAGCGGGTTGTTGTGGAGGTTGCCGAGGGTTTGGTAAAGGCGGTTACCGGAGTATTCTGGGTAGACCAGGGTGACGCTGTCGGGGGTGTTGCTGACTACGCGCACGAAGCCGGCTGGTCCGCCGCGGTGGTTGGTGTCCATGGTTTGGCCGTTGCTGGAGGATATAAAGAACATGTCCGCTTGCTCGATCAGCGCGAGGGCGCCGGTTGGGAGGGGGAGGGAAGATGAGATGAGCAGTGGCGAAGGGATGTGGGCGCGGATATCTTTGATGTTGAGATACTTGGGGCAGTTTCCCAGGCTTTCTTGGACGTGCATGGCGAGCTGGGCTTCGGCGACGGTGTTGCTGTCGGACTTGCTTGCAACAGACCCGACAACCATTTTGCCTGCCATTTTAACCCGGTCTCGCGTCTCCAGGTCGACACTGAGAGCGCTCATCAGCTTGATGTTCTCAGGCTGATACACCTCGCCATCGACTGCCTCTCCCAAGAGAGCCTGTATCACGGGGTCATGTGTCTTGTCGACTAAACCCTGCACGCCTAGAATTCCTTCTGCCACTGGCCGCGCAAACCCGCGCTCACCGCCCCAGATGGTTGTCCACGGTCGGCCTTCATCATCCAATGTTCCGACAGCTACAAGCGGGGAGACGGTGACTCGGTAGCCGTAGGCTGGCGGGAAGCCGTGGTTTGTGGGATTCTGACGACTGGAGGTCGGCACCTTGAGAAGCTTATGAACGGCTAGCTCTCCAGAGTGCCACCCATTGCTGTTATCAAGCAGTGTTGCCATGGTTGGTGGGCTGTTGTAACCCAGAAGGTCGAATTGGGACGCAAATCCAAAGTTGTGGAATTGGGGTTGCTGACTGTGGTTTCCAGTACCAGAGCTTGCGAGGCTAAGAAACAGAAGGCATTGCAGTAAAGGGTTCATGGGGTATGATGATTCATCGCCGACACCACAGTGCTATTTATCTTGAGGAAAACTATTAGCATTTTCTCGGTAAACCTGTCGTCATGTTGTTGTTCACTCAGACGATATAGAAGTCTGACAAATCGCTGACATCAGCTAGCCTTGTCGGGAGAAAGGCGCAATGGCCGGCCATGCAGCTTGACAAATCACCGTCTCGAATGATGCGGATTTCGCCCAACTTGACCTCCGTACCGGAAAATAATTCCTACGAAGTCCAAAAATACCGCTGTGATACAATGGAGGAGAAGAGCGTGCGAGGTCAGATTAGCTGAGCTCGTCTAACCGTCTGCTTGAATCGCAGTAGGTACTAGAACTTCTAAGAGACGATATCGACTTAGGCGACTGTAAGTAATTACATGTGCATTGGCGTATGCGCGGCACTGTATCATTTGACATGGTCGATCTGTACTTCGAGATGCGCTTTCGAGCCTCAGAGGAAGGTCCACCTTCCTTATTGAGTCCAGCCCTCCCCACTGCATTATCGCCGTTTAAAAGTGTAACTCCCGACTTTTATAGTCCGTCATGAGGCCCCCTCCGCCAATTCCGGGTGCGCTGCCCTACTGTCCACAGCCTGTCCTTCAAAACGAGCTCGAAGCGTCGTAAGGAATCTTGCTCGCCAGAGGTTTCGGTCTCGTTAAAGAGGCACCTACAATGGGGGTGAGAACCTCGATTAAGCGACAAGTATTCCCGACTTCGCCTCATTCCAAAAACACACAGCGCCCCTGATATGATACATGCGGCCAGACTAGAAGAATGTGCCTAGAATCCCTGATTGGGCGGAATCGCATGCGGTGCTATGCAGGCGAGGCGTTATTGAGCAGGCTCTCTCTCGCAGCAGCGCAGGGTATCTTCCCCTCACCCCTTCAGCTTTTCATTCTCCAAGGCTCTACCTGCCACCACCGCTCCCGGTCTCCATCCCCTTGCTCAGTTCGATTGGCTACTCAACCCTATTATAGGGAAGATTTTCAGCCCATGACCGACCCCCTCTCTGTAGCTGGCTTAGTTGCTGGCTTGCTGTCATTAGGTCTCCAAGTCAGCGGCGGCATCACACAATACATCGACGCCTTGGAATGTCGCGAAGCCGAGATTGCGTCAGCGAAGCGGCAGAATGACACTCTACAGACCCTACTACAGGTCGTCAACTCCTCCCTGATACCGCTTCAGCGCGAGCAACCTACTGTAACACTAACTGTTCAACACTGTGTCGACGTCTGTAACGATGAACTCAAGAAGCTTGGCGAACTAGTCGTCAAGCTTGCTCCTCAACCACCTTCGCCGAGTGGGGTTGATAGCCAAAGGAGCAAATGGAAAGCCCATGGCGACAAGCTTCGCTACCCTTTCAGTCGTCCAAAACTCCAACAACTCGAAGACAGACTGCGTAATGCTAATGCATCTCTCCAATTAGCGTTACAAACATTGGAGCTGTGAGAACACTTCACACCCAAATTGTATGCCGTGTGGGTACGCATGCTGATATACCTGGTAGAAGCCTGTCACAAAAGGGGATTAAACAGCTGGCTACTATCGAATCGACGTCTTAAGCCCTGTCTACTGACCTCTGTCATGTTCAATTAGGAATCTCAGCTATCATCGCACCTGTAGGTGGGATTCAGACGTCTCTCGTTGGGCTTGAAGGACGGCTGGCGAACCTGGATGTCAGCCTCGATACACGTTTCAAGACGTTGAAGGACGGCATAGTCGACACAGTTGTCACAGAGGTAACTCAACAACTAGTCCACAGGTTACAAGTAGCCGTCGGGGACTCGCAAGAGGTTAAATTTCCAACTCCCAAGTCACAGTGTCTCATGTCACATTACTGACGTTATCCAAATTAGGTCACACTCAGAACCGCCGCCGGCCGGCTCCTTGCCAAGCCAGGCGCCTGTAGAGATATCTATAATGCAGTCGATGCCGTCAACGCAACGAGCACTTTCCATCATCGACTCAAGACTCAACCAGGTTTTCCAACTAGAACCAGAAGTGTATCTTTTGAAGATGCAGGATTCTCGTCCCTCACTGAAGACTTCGTGTGTTGCTGCCCTTCTTCTCGTCCACGCCAATTTGGTAAGAGGTACTCGTGGCACTCCTTCAGCATATTTTCCGAATCAGTCACTGAAGAGCACGCCTCCTATTGCCCGATGGCCCCGGCTGTCGACGCACGCCGTGCCACGCGACGCACCGTGAGATACACCGGACTTGGACGACTTCTTAACTCGGTGGTTCAGATGACATTTACAATGAAGTATGGGGCAGGTGGCTGCAGCATAAGCCCTACTTTCACGTATCGTCCTACCGTGGATGCGACAATCGCTCCGCAATTTATCTTGGTAGAGTGGCTACTGAGAATACACCACGACATCAAATTAACACACTTGGGACGGGACGAAAGGTCGCATCAAGTGTTCAGATCGGTTCTCGCAATGATTCTCGAATTATTCCGGACTGGCAGAGCATCAGTTCTTGCCGTCGATGAAAAGAACCAAAATCTGCTTCACCATTTAAGCGACTTCGTAAGTCTCAGACGCATGCGCGAATGATACCTTGATCTTCCCAACGGTGCAATAAACATTGACCCGGCCACGACCATAACACTAGAACGCTTTCGACAGCTATGATCTCTCGACAACTAAATCGCTGGTTGAGATGATGAAGTCTTTGATCAAGTACGGAGTCCCAGTAGGTGATTTGGATACTTATGGGGAGTAAGTAGGGTCCAACAGCCGCAAAGTCCGTCACCGTAAATATTTCTAAAACCTCACTCTAGGACGCCGGCTGCCCGTTCACTTCGGTCACAGTATTCCACGACTAGTGTCGAGTACCTGGCCTCCGAGATGATGGAGCTGTGGGAGCCGGATTGCCTTCCGATTTCTTGCTTTGGAGCCCCACATGTGAACTATCGGGTTTCTGGAGCTATTTCATGGAGCTTTCTCACTACATCTCAAGACGTCGCTCTCGGTTTGTGGCTCAGTTCCGTAACAAGTCCAAAATATGACCTTTCTTGATTCAGGCTAACATGGGATGAACACATCTAGCTTACGGATGTGGCCCCTTAAGCCTCGCCGTTCTTGCTGGCGACGTACCTCGGACTAAATTCATCCTGCAGCGTCACCCCGCCGCGATTAATGAACGGAATCACTTCGGACACAATCCATTTCATCTCGCAATAGCCAATCCTGCTTGCCTAGACATCCTTACCCAGGTAGGAGACCAAGGGGGACTTAACGAAAGGGACCACAACGGAGTCTTGCCAGTGGAGGCAGCAGTTTGGTGGAGTAATCAAAGCTGCAAGCTGAAACCCTTAGATCCCAAACAAAGGGCGAACAGTCCATACTCCCGTCGCAAAAAATGCCACCGGTGCCACTGCGCCCATAGTCTCGTGATCCTTTTGAAGGCAGATTGCGAGATTCCCACAAACGATCGTTGGTTTAGGTTCTTCCAGGAGCTGCTCAACCATTGCTGCCATCGGGGCAGACTGCGGTTTGTTCGTGCCATCAAGAACCGGCGCGAGAGACTCAAGCAACTGGCGTTGTGCAACCTCCCAGATACCGACGCTGATAGGCTCGGGCTTCGACGAGATACCGTCCTTGACTCTCATGCAACGGAAGTGGCTTGTCTTTTAGAGGGCCGCGGTGTTCATATCCCAGCAGCACTCGCTATTGCCCTTCCTACGGCGACTCGGAACGATGAGGACTACTCTGCTCATATCTACCACCTTATTTCAAACATCAACGATGCGCAGCTCTTCTTTCAGTGCGGCTTTCGGGATACAAACATCTGGGTGACGACGGATCCCAGCAAGCGACCTGCTTTTGCGTTTTTGGATCTTCCTTATCTTCGCTGGCTTCATAACCACGGGGCCGATCCGCTCTTCAGAATCCTGTCATTCGAAGATGGCAGAGCTTTCACCAGCACTCACTTTATATTTTGGAAAATCGGTGAAACCATATATGAATCCCGGCCAGAATTAGATTTCCAAAGTTTGGAATGGGCCCAACAACTGCAATTCCCAGACATTGCTGATAACTGTCAATGCAGATGTGCAGCCGAGGGATGTACTCCGCTAATATATCTACTCAAAGGGCTGAGCCTCCCGAATGGTGTTCGCCGTTCGTGTATCCGCACGAGCGACGTTTTCCTAAATAACATGGCGAGCGTGACTGATGAGCTGCTGAGGATATCCGGTGGCAATTTTGGGCACCGGCACCTAATGGCCTTGTTGAGATTCGCAACACACGCCATGCTGGATCTCCCACACACTTGCTGCAATCCACGCGATCGATACTACTCCGCGCCGTGCCGATTCTCTGCGGAAGACGCTGATGAAATCTATCAAGAGCATGTGCCCGAGTTTCGACTGTTAGAGGACTTGTTGGTGGGTTGTGAGGAGGATTTGAAAACGATTTTATCAAGTCCTCAAGGAAGGGATGGTCTTGTATCTTACGTGGGGACCACCTGGTCTGAACGGGTTAAAGAAGCACTCACACGCCTTGACGATGATAAATTATCAGAGGAAGAAAGAAAAGGGGCCGAGGATATCGGTGTTGTTTGGGGGGCCCCCCCACCTCGGAAACCGTACAGGGGTACCCCACCGCCACCATACCTGGACGCCCTACGGCAAGCTGTGATAAAACACATGGAAACCGGAATTCTGGAATACGACTCGTGGGTGTCCAAGATAGGCATCTAGTAGCTTCTAGGCAAAGCCCGGGAGATTGAGAGGGGCTGGATCAGATTGAGTAACGTTGGAGACGATGTTTGTTGGTTGTTCTGGGCGAAGGGAACCGGGCAGTACGGTATTATGTCACGGTTATGGTGGAGGGGACTGGTTCTAGATTTCTGTTTGATGTTCAAATACCTGATGATGAGACCGCAGCAAGATATTCTTTGACACATACCCCATTGCGAGTCTGGTAACGCAAATATTCTACGGCCATTCGTCAGGATCTAGCTAGTGCAGACGACGCTGCCGGGGAAAAGAGGAAATGGAACAAAACAGGAAATAGGACAAAAAAGGAAGCAGAGTAAAACAGGAAACAGAACGGTAGTGATACGACAGCGATTGAGCCGGCGAGGGACCTGACGACCGCCAGGGGCGACACAGTTACGGCAAGATATAATGAAGAAGTAAGAGATTGTATCGCCTCAAATACATATACTAGGTAGTCGTGTAAGATTCCATTTGTCGGAGAATGTCGCATACGAGCTTGAGAACTAGACATGAGGTTATAGTCACTGAATAGATCATACGACGTCAAAGACACGCAGGTTCTGTAACTTCGGGTGGAATTGCATTATGATGTTCCCATCCAAGCTGCCAACAACATCTACGGATATCTATTTACAACAATGGCCAAAAATACATCTCGAAAAAAAAAAGAAACAAGAAAACTAAACCAAAAAAGCTTGCAGTATCCCACACCCTATCTCTCACCGCTTGCTCGCTGCATGCTTCATCCAACCATTCGAAGCCCATTCTCGTCCCGTCGACCAAATTCACCCAGCATATTGAACCCCGATAACGCCGTGTACCCAAAAAAAACAAAACGAAGAAGCGCATCCAGTCCCCACCATGATATGCATGCAGTCCCAATAAACACAATGACAGACCCTCCCGCCCAACATGTCGTCGTCATTACATACCATCCATCACCATCTCATCGTGTAGGTAGGCGTGTTGTTGCCCCTCAGATCCCATTCCCAGCCAGTCAGAAGGGTCCAGGCCCGAAATCAACCAACAACCCCTCCTTCCCATCCTTTTTTTCTTTTTCTTTTTTCTCCTTACTAGCCGTTTAATCCCCCAACTCGCCGCTGCTCCCGCTTGACGAGGTTGTTACTGTGCCGTGCACATTCTCTCGCGCTACGCTGACCAGGTGGTAGATGCCGAAGGCGATCAGGGCTAGCACGATGAATAGGATGATGATGATCACCGCGATCACGTCGTTTTGCTTCATTTTGGGTGTGATCGGTGGTGGTGACGGCGGGTGGGAAGAGTGGCACCCTCGTGGGCGAAGAGTTTGAGTGTTGGATGAGGTGAGAGCTAACTAGCTGGACTCGGTGGCTCGCTGGGCGTGAGGCGTTGAGCAATGGCGTTGGGTTGAGGTTGGCGGGACGAAGGAGGTTCGTGTGGGTGGTGTCTGTCCTGAAAGTTTGGCACCGACGGCGAGGGTTTGAAGCCGGAAGCCTGCGTGGGCGTATGGGTTGGAGCTTCACGTCAGACGGCGAAGTGGTTTTGCGTCAGGCCGGGACAGTTGGAGTCGTTCAGAGATCTGTCTGATGTTAGTTACCGGGCACAAAGCTTGTGGAGGCAAGTTGCGAGGAAAGGATTGGGAACAACTCACTGTATCAAGCAGCTCGACGTCGGGCTGAGGGCGGGGTTCTAGGTGTTGTCGCAAGCTCAAGTACTTCAACAGAACATAGAACACAGCACGTCGTTAAGTCGTAACCAAAAAAACAATTCCCACAAAATATCGTGAGATCGTCTCAATCGCAAACACAAATCGTAAGAGTCGCAGTAACAAGCGCAAGAAGTTGGGCAGCCCGCCGCGCAGCGCGGAACTGCAGGCACACGCAGTCAAATAGGATCGTTGCCCCGCCACCTGATTGTTCTGCAGCGAAAATGTCAATAAAAGAGAAGGCTGGGCTCAGCAGCGCCAGCGAATGCGTGGGCTTGGCGCACCAACCCCTGTAGGACAGGGATTGTTGGTGGGGAATCCGATTCCCAGCCTCTTCGGATTGTATCGTCTGATTGGCCAGTCCGGGCTTTGGGACCAGGGGCAAGCAACCGCGGGTTCCAGAATCCCGGAGTCGACATGCGCTGTTGTCATGGCTCGCTGGCTGGTGACGAGGTTGAGAAGGCGGCGTGAGTTGTTCAAAAGCGACGCAAGACCATCTCTCCGTTCTGAGGGTCACTGTGTAACCGTGGGTTTGATTTTGACAGCCAGCTGGTAAAAACGAACCTATATCGAACTAACTATCACTATTTCATATTAAAATAGAAGAAGCGACTGCGGCCCCAGAAACGCCGGCTTCCGGTGAGGGTTTCCGCTCACCCATCATCCCGAAAACATACTTCCCCTTCACAACCCAACGCAAGCAACCCAAAACGAAGGATGCCCCAGGATAATTCTCTCGCAAGGAACTTTCAAGAAGCCATTGCCAAAGCCATCGCTGTGTTAAGTTTTGAGGGTGACAAGCTGTTGCAAATCAATGGCCCATCGAGCTCCAACCACAGTCGGCTACGTTACTCCGGGGTAACCGTGCCCGGATCCCTCCTTACAACCTTCACATGGCGTTCGTAAAACTGAAGCATCTGCCCAAGGGTATCAGCCATTGACATCGACCACTGCGCCGAACGGGAAGCAACATACCTTCTGTGGGCATCTCTGGTAAATCACACTGGTGGAGTGTTGTGTCTTTTGCCCATTCTTCCAGGTCAAGTACACCGTCAATTTCCCCGAATCCTCGTCCTCGCACGCGTCGAGGCTCACGATATGGTCTTCCCAGCTTCCTGGTGGCGGTTTCCATGTCACTGCCTTCGCGCTCGCCGGTGGCTCGGAGTCTGCCGGATGGTCCCGTCTTGATCGTTTCCCGGCCGCCTGGGGTGTCGCCGATGTTGGCCGACCGCGCTTCTTTGTCTTAAGCGCCGCGGCGGTGTCTTCGAACAGTTTATCCCGGCCGCCGATACTCAGCAGGTAGTCGTTCAATGCGTCTGATGCGTTTTCGCTGGAGACCTGGGTTAGCCACGCAAACCTGACTTCCAGCAAGCTGGGGTGTCTTACACCAGGTTCTCCTCCGGCTCCCATGTCCGGTCTGACTTCTTATCGTAGCCCTCCCACTTCACCTCGAAGAGTGGTGTCCCCTGTTATTGCCGAAGTCAGCCCCTAATCTTCGTAGCCCCTCCCCACCCCAATCTATCCCTCACCTTATCAATCATGTGCGACATGATCTTTTCGACCACATAACTACCACCTATGTCAGCGGTTTCTCTTGCGCGCGCTGCCTCTTCAAGCCTTCCCCTCGTAGAAAGAGAGCCTTACACTTCCTCCTCCAGATCCTCGTCATCCTCCTCCCCATCTTGGTCGTCCTCGCCCGCATCGCCGTTCCGTTTGTCTCCCGAGCCCGATGCATCGTCTTCTGGGGGTATTTCGGTGTATTTGACGTCGGGGCGGACACGGCCGCCTGATTTGACTGCCGAGGTCGCGGACTGGTGGTCCATTTCGACGTCGGACCCTTCGTCGTCGCTAAAAGCTGCAAATGTGGAAACTCGCGGTTAGAGCCTGAAATTTCGTTGGTGAAGAGCAGGTGTTGAGGCTGGGAGGAAAGTTGTGAAACAGCGCCGCGGCTGATTGGCGACGCGACGCGTTGAGTGGTGATCAGGATTCCAACGGTTGTTGCACTTACCAGGCGGCATCTTGGTGAATTGTGGGGGTCATCGGGTATATTATGCTTAAGGGAAAATAACAATTGCACGTTGCCAAATCCACGAGCTTGCTAGCTGAGCACGTTCAAAATTACGGCAAGGCTTGCAGGCGTGCTGAAAGTCGTGATGGCTTCGCGAACACGGAAGGGGAAATAAACGGGGCCGCGGCGGAAACTCTTGATGATCACGTGAGACAGTGCACAGTTAGGGTTCGGGTTAAAGTTCCTGGTTGTAAGTCCCTCTATTTGTAATGTTCGGCTTTTCCCAGGAAACATAACTATGACAACAAGTTGCAGCACTTAGACATCGGCTAGATTTTTTAGTACCTTGATCTTATGGTTCGAAGGAACTCCAAGCCAACAATACCGGTACTCTGCCCTTCTAAGTGTTCCTGGATGTCGTTTCTTTTGGTGCATGAATAAGCGATACAACTGTGAGCTGCTATGTAAGAGTAATTCACCTCATCAAATAAGGTTAGCGGTCCAATTATTCAACCCTCTGGCCCCAGACTCTGGATAGAGCAGCTGGTGTACATAGTACGTCCGGTCTGCTGCAACGACCGTACAAGGCCGCTTCTCTTATCAACCACAGATGTTCTGCCCACCAATTAGGCAAATAGTTATGTTGTTTCCCTTCTGAAAAACCTTCACAACCTTTTAGATCTGCCGATTAATGAGAATAATTCATCCCACAAACACTAAGAACATAGTGGTGCAAGCTGGCGCCTTACTTCCCATATGTCAAGGTCCGCCAGGACGAAGCCCAACGAGCTTCGTTAGTTCCGAAGACGGTGACCATAAAGGAACCCCGCCTCCGGAATATATCCCAATCACATGTCCGGGCCCTCGCAGATTCATGCTGGCGGGTATGCCTTCCCTTCAACAGGGGTTCAGATCCAGTCGGCTTTGCGAGCACCTTGAAGAAGCTTGACATTGTGCGCCGTTACCGTTGTTTGTTTCACTCCTCCTCGTGGCGAGCCGTGCCGCAACCTTAAATATCCTGGTGATGGACTGTGGGAACCTTGTAAATTGGAATGGGGGCGAACGAAAAAATGGGGGAGCCTCGTGGGATACGGAACTCTCCTTCGTTCATTCGACTCGCAGCTTCTGCATTTGATGTGTTTTCGCCCGTAAATTTCCGGATGTACCTTCCAGTCTCAGGTTGTTTGTGGTTCTTGAGCTTCCCTTCCTAAAAGGTTCTGCCGATCATCAGTTCATATCAGATTGGAGGGGCATAATCGACTCCGAAGGAAAACAAAACTTCTCCAGGATGTTCTACGTCGACTGTCAACCGGGCTATAAGCGACCTCTCTCAACGTCATCTCCGGATATGGACCTGTCGTCCTTCTCCACCAACACGAAGAGCTTTTGGACCCAAATACCTCTGTTAGAAGAACACAGTGGAAAGGACGATAAATCTCGTTACATTACTTCGTACTGTCCTTTCCTTTACACTACACCGGCACTCGCTTTGCGGTTCACGGTTCTCGGGATCTCCCCGCTTCTCCACCTCCCACCTTTGACCGCCGCTGTGAGCAACACCGCACACCGACACTAGGGACGGTGAGCTCCACGCTGGCCGCCGCTTCGAGTTAACGCTGCCGCTAACTGCCGCTGCCGCGTTCGGGTGCATCCGCGCAAGGGAAGCCACTGCCCCAGTCCCTGGCGCGGAAGTTCTCCGATATCCGTTCATTTGCTCCATTCTTCCTGATTCTCAGGGTCCTTTCCTTCTGCGGGAGCGCATGAGCAAATGCGAGGAAGCCTCTCGTATCCAATCCGGCAGCAGTCCACTCCGCTGGGACTCACCCCCAGACAATTCGGCGGAGCTAACGTTGAAGCTAAGCAACTTCTTGGGTTCGCCAAGAAAGGAGCCATTGGCTCGGGGAGCCCCCTCGATGAATCCGGTCCCAGGCTCCCTGGGGGCGCCCCCAGGGGCCTTTATTTGATGATCTCGCTCAGCTCGAAAGGGGTGTCGGGAGCTGTTTGCAGTCGAAAAAGAAATACGCCGGTCTTGCATCGGCTTATTCCCCACGGCCATGACATTTGGAAAAGTGCCGAGAAGCAAGAGTCGTCCTCGACAACGCCTCGCGACCGTCCCCTTTGCTGAGGGATAGCAGCGGGGATCCGCCTGTTTCAGGCAAAGCCGGCAGGGCAGACAGGCGATAAAGCAAACGGCGGGAGACGCCAGCACCCGGGCTGTTCAACACCACGACGCAGAACTACGCTCAATCTGGGCAGAGAAACCACGCGTTAGCGAATAAGTGCTCTGATCACCCACAGCTTTCCCGTTCTTTTCTCTAGCTGATCGCAAACCGTCCCGCTTTGTGGCAACAGCAGCAACATGTCAAACACAGTTACGGATACCTTTGGCGGACCGCAAGAAGCCCACATCAAGCTTGCGGTCCAGGCCGTGATCGGCGCCAAGGGATTGGCGGGACCAAACACACTGAACAGTGAAGATTGATACCAGCGAGTCAGGGGACCGTCTTCCGCTGCTGCGTGACACATCGGATTTCTTTGTCCCCCCCAATCTCACAACGCCTCAACGGCGAGGCGATTGGGGGTGTCCAAAGACGTTGGATCCCATCTGCACCATCCCGCGCGGAGGTGAGCAGTCTGAAATCGGATGAATAAGCGGGATCGAGCAGCAAGACAAGGGGCAACCTGGCACTGTCTTCTCTGCGAGAACACGCAACGGATGCGACGCTGCGGCAAGCTGTCACTTTTTGCTCTGCTTGCTCTCTCTCTGCCTTCCTCGTTCATGACCCCCGGGCGCCCAGAAGGAAGACACGAGAGAGAGTGGGCAACGTAATGTTTACGTCCGTGGGAGCATGGGAAGTGGAAACCACAATTGGAGGGTCCCCAAATTGGGGTGGGTTGTCAAGCCCAGGCCCCCAGACAGCGTCCCGTTTTCTGTCCCCGGGGTCTGCTCCGCTGCTCCGCATTCCGTCCTCCGAGCCGCAACTAGCGGCTGCATCCTGCAAGCCAACAACGTCGCCTCAAAAACACACGCAACCCGGCTCAGACTCTGCCACTCACCGGGACCCTGGCTTCCTTAAGACCTTGTCCTTGTTCGAGGATGTTACCCAGTCGGGAAAGGGGGCCCTGATATAACCACTCCGTCTGGGTTTGGAGGTGAAGATGGCAGCGGGAGAAGCAAAAATGGTCCACCTGCCCATCACATCTCGACACTTATTAAACCGCGAGTTCCCCAAGAACCACTCTTTGCAGCGGCTCCGTGTCAACCTCCTCTGGAACGGCATCGTGCCTCTCTCTCTCTCTCTCTCACACACACACACGCTTTTCTCACTGTCACAAGTCGTAGTTGCTGGTGAGTAGCACTGCTGTTCCTTCCACTCGACCCCAAGTGCCCAGTGCCAGGCGGCCTTCTGATTCACCGCATCGCCTCTCGGCACGGGATTCGGCACGCCGCATTCGGCCCGGGACGCGAGGACGGAAGATGGAGGAGACCCCGAGCCAAACCTCGGAGGCCAACGCCACCAAGGCCGTCAAGGACAAGAACTGCCCTTTCTGCCAGCAAGCTTTCACCTCTTCGTCGCTGGGGCGTCACCTTGATCTCTACATTAGGGACAAGAACCCGAAGGCCCCAGATGGAGTTCACGATGTAGACGCCATCCGCAAAATTAGGCAAAACATCACGCGACGGCAGCCCAAAGGCACAGTGTCTCGACGGGCTACTTCGGCTTCCGTCACACCCATCACCTCAGCGAGGAAGAGTCCCGTTTCCGGCGATGCCGAATCCACCTCCACCAAATCACCACTTTCGCAAAGGGACATATCCCAAAGCGGGACAGGGCTGGGAAGCAAATACCCGTTCAAGCCTCGGTGGGAGGCAACTGGTGTCATCAATGAGCTTGGTCTGCCAGAAGGCGGTGTGGCCGGGGAAGCGGACCAGGATGATCTGAACCGAGGCACAAGAGCTGGGGCATCCCAACGGTCGGTGAGCCGGCAATCGCTAAAGCAGCAACTCGAGATGAGACAGCAGATCCAGGATGCGGAAGACAAGTCCAGGGCGGCCGAGTTGGCTCTGAGGGAGGTGCTCGGCTCATTGAGAGCCGCCAAGTAGGTTGACTGACCTGACATGGGCCTTTCTCGTCCCTCTCGTTTGGGACTGGCCATGCTGACTTCGTTTGACAGACAAAAAGTCGATTTGGACTCGACTCCCTTCGATTTCGACCCCTTCTCGCTGGACTTCCCGGCCTTGACGCTGCAATGCTTGGAGACGCCCCCGACGCTCTTTGCCTCCACGCAGCACCCAACACCAACCTCCTGGTCTATCCTACCGCCAGGGCCGAGCCAGCTTGAGGCACTTCATGCGTACTTCCAGCTCGAGTTTAGGCGGTGGAAGATTGCGTGCAAAGCCGCCACCACCGCCATCAATGAGGAGCTGACCTATCCTCCCTCCTTGGGCGTCATGAAGACGGACTCCGAGGCGGATGTCTTGCGGGCAGAAAAGGCGGCCGAGCAAATGGAGAAGCATGTGTATGACCACTTGGGGGCCACGTACTCGATCTGGAACAGTCTTGCGCAGGAGCAGCGTGATGAACTCTGGCGATTGGAGCTGGCGCGTGGGGTCGGCAGGAAACGGAGGGAAATCGAGAAACTGAAACAAGGGCAACAACTACTCCGCCAAGAGAACTCGCACCTCAAAGCTCAGATTGAGCAGCTGACTCGCCTCCAGCAGCCGCGCGAGTTCAAGATTGCGCCGCCTTCGACTGTTTACGTCGACGAGAAGCTGATGACGCACATGTTAGAAGAGGCGACAGGCAACAAGAAGCCCCTTGTCGGCTGCAACATTACCGACCGCCACACGGACCTGAGTACCGTCGTGTCGTCGGTCATCGACCGGTGGAGGAATGTGATCGTGTCGACGCGCTCGGCAAGCAGCGGTCTTCAAGCACAGCGTTCGCTCGACGCTGGGCCGAGCCCCCGGGGGTCGATCGGGGATCTGTCCCCTACGTCCCATCAACGGGGCCTGCAGCTGCCCCAGCGCTCTTTCTCTGCGCGCAGGAGTTACCCAGCCTCGCGGCAGCTCTCAATCGCCAGCATCCATGGATCAAGCTATCCTGCCTCGGCCGTAGCCTCACCGACGTCGGCTCTTACTCCGCGAATCCCAATGACGCCAGCCATCGTCAGCGCGGCGCCCTCGATCAGCATTAACGCCGACGATGAGGACGAAGCCATGAGTGACCAAAACGCGGAGTCGGATGCTGAAGCGGACCCTGGCATCGAAGCCGGAATAAATCCTGACGGGAGCAGCGCAGCAGGGGCACTTGATGTTGATGCCGACGCTGTTGCTGATGTTGATGCAGATGCGGATGGAGATGCCGACGTCGATGTGGACGTAGACGTTGATGTGGATGTGGATGCGGACGCGGATGCGGATGCAGATATGGACGACGGACCGAGCTATACCGACGCTCAACTTCACTCCATGCAGCCTCTTCAGGCCGTTCAGCTGATGCAGCCACTCCAGGCGCTGCACCAACAACAGCTCCAAGAACAGCTTCAGCAGCAGCACCAGGAGCAGCTACAGCAGCAGCAGCAACAGCAACAACAGCAACAGCAACATCAGCTTCAGGAACAACTCCAACACCAGCAGCTTCCTATGCACCAGGTTGTGCCAATGATGCTGCCAGTGCAGCAGATGAGTCAGTTGGAGGTGTCACGGACGCGCCAACAGATGGGCGGCGGAAGACGCAGTAATACGGACGACGGCACAGCTGGTTTTGTAGGGCATGTCCAGGGCCAGGCGCCGGGACGGGGCCGCATGCCAAGCTGGGCGTAAAGTGGAAGGGAAGAAAAGGGGATCCCAGGACCCAGGAGGCTCGGGCATTAATAATGGTCTGCATTGCATTGGGGATGTACATATTGACTTGGACGAGGAGGAAGGGACCTCGTCTTGTGGCGCCTCTGGGCTTGACGGCCAGGGCGCGCCAACTCTGGGAGGATGTGTTGAAATATCGGGATTATAGTAATGTTTAGAATATAGAACAAAACCTCACGGCGGGCGTGTTAAATTACCTGGATCCTTCCATGCTGTCTCGTTATTTGTGAGTAATTGTCGTTGCAAGGGCGTAAAGGGGTGCTTCTGGGGGTGTTGGACGAACGAGTCATCCACGCAGTAACGGTAAAGGGGCAGAATGTCTGGCTGTAGGGTTGGTTGGCCGTAGGGTTGGGGTTAGGGATAAACCTGTGCCTCCTGACTTTGACCTGCCCCACCTTGCACTGTTTGCTGTGACTCAATTGTCGACTCGAAAAAAATAACCCCGCTGTGGGGTTCTTGGTTTTAATTCACGAGGTGCCCTGCTCTTCTTGGGATTTCGGCAAAACGAAAACCAAACTTTTTACTTCCCCGTTTCCGGAGGGAGCAGAATTGTACCCGGTGTTTGACTCACCACTCTAACTAACTCCATTGGCCCCCGGCCCTTTCGAATTTCCGACGAAAATCTCCCAAGAACAACGATGGCCGACTCCACGAACCCCGCGGCCGCAGCGGCCACACCCGCACCCCCCACCGAAGAAGTCGCCAACCTGCACCTGGACGAAGTCACCGGCGAGCGGGTATCCAAGACGGAGCTGAAGAAGCGGCAGAAGGCGCGGCAGAAGGAGGCCGAGAAGGCGGCTAAGGCGGCTGCTGCCCCGCCCAAGCCGGCTGGCAGCGGCTCGGGCAAGCCGAAGGGTGCGGCGGGGGAGGAGGAGAAGGATTTGAATCCGAATCAGTATTATGAGATTCGGACTAGGCATGTTAATGAGTGTATGTTTTGTTTTTCTCTTTCCCTTTTCTTGGGTTGTTGGGAGGGAGGGAGGGGGGAGTGGGTGGTTGGGTTGGGGCTAACAGGTTGTAGTGCTGAAGAACCCCGAGACGAACCCGTACCCGCACAAGTTCCAGGTTACGTATGATGATTCCAAGTTTACGGAGGAGTTTGGACATCTCAAGTCGGGCGAGACGGCGGAGGATAAGGAGATTCGGATTGCGGGCCGGATTTATAACAAGCGGGCGAGCGGGTCTAAGTTGATCTTTTACGGTATGCCCTTCCTTCCCTGAGAACGACATCCGTCTCCCTACCGCCTAGCGAGGTAGAGAGACTGTTGAGAAAGAGGCGGAAGACTGACGTTCTCTGTTCCTAGACCTCCGCACATCAGCCGACACAGTCAGCATCGGCACGCACCTGCAAGTGGTCTGCCAAGCGCAGCTGGTCAAGGAGGGCGCGGTGTCGTTCGAGAAGCAGCACGAGAACATCCGCCGCGGCGATGTCATTGGCATTGTCGGGTATGCGGGCCGCACGAATCCCAAGAACCGCGTCGCGGAGGGCAAGGAGGGCGAGCTGTCGATCTTTGCGACGGAGATTACGCTGCTGAGCCCGTGTTTGCATATGCTGCCCAGTGTGCGGTTCCCGTTTTCGGATGGGGAGCAGAGGTATGTTTTTGCTTGGGGGGTTACTTTGAGAGGCTGTGACAGTTGTTGACGGTGGTTAGGGCTCGTATGCGGTATCTGGATTTGCTGTGGAACGACAAGAGCCGTGAGGTGTTGTGGCAGCGCAGCCGGATGGTGCGCTTCATTCGTGACTGTGAGTTGGACTGTCCCCGAGGGAAAGTTCATAACTGACGCGTGTAGTTTTCCATGAGCGCCGGTTCATCGAGGTGGAGACCCCGATGATGCACGCTATCGCGGGTGGTGCTACTGCTGTGAGTTTACTCGACTTGCCCAAGGGAGAGGGAGCCAACTTGGACTAACTTGATAGCTCCCCTTCGTCACCCACCACAACGACCTAGACATCGACATGTACATGCGCGTGGCCCCTGAGCTGTTCCTCAAGAAGATGATTGTGGGCCAGTTCCACAAGGTGTTCGAGCTCGGCAAGAACTTCCGCAACGAAGGCGTCGACCTGACGCACAACCCTGAATTCACATCCTGCGAGTTCTACTGGGCGTACGCCGACGTCTACGACGTGATGAACCTGACGGAGGAACTCGTGTCGTCGCTGGTGAAGGAGCTGACGGGCTCGTACAAGACGACGTTCACGACGCAGCACGGCGAGACGTACAACGTCAACTGGGAGGCGCCGTGGCGCCGGGTGGAGATGATCCCGGAGCTGGAGAAGGCCACGGGCGAGAAGTTCCCGCCGTACGAGGAGCTGCACACGGACGAGACGAACCAGTTCCTGAGGAATGTGTGCAAGAAGATGGGGGTCGAGTGCACGCCGCCGCTGACCAACGCGCGCATGATTGACAAGCTCACGGGCGAGTTCATCGAGAGCACCTGCGTCAACCCGACGTTTATTCTGGAGCACCCGCAGATGATGAGCCCGCTTGCCAAGTACCATCGGTCCAAGAGAGGTCTCTGCGAGCGTTTCGAGGCGTTTGTGTGCAAGAAGGAGATTGCCAACGCGTACACCGAGTTGAACAACCCGTTCGACCAGCGACTGCGGTTTGAGGAGCAGGCGCGCCAGAAGGACCAGGGTGATGACGAGGCGTATGTTTTTGCCCCATACAACGAGGCGAGATGACAGCGAGACTAACGTGACGCAGCCAACTTGTCGACGAGAGTTTCCTGAACGCGCTCGAATACGGCCGTACGTTCCCTTAGCTACTGACCTATCGAAGAGTTGTGACTGACTGGTTTTAGTTCCCCCGACTGGTGGCTGGGGTCTCGGTATCGACCGTCTTGCTATGGTAAGTCCATCCATCCTCAATGGCAATGAGTCGGACATCGAACTAACAGAGGTAGTTCATCACCAACAACTACTCGATCCGCGAGGTGCTTGCGTTCCCGTTCCTGCGGGAGGAGAACAAGGGCACCAAGGAGAAGTTTGCGGCGGAGGTGGTGGATGTGCAGCCGCTTCCGGAGGAGGGCATCCGTAGGTGATTTCTTCCGAGGGTTTGAGGTTCTTACGCTGACGTTTTGTAGCCCACAAATAGATCATCTCGCAAGAAAAGATGAGGATAGGCCAGATGTTAGGTCATGAAAATGAAGCGAGAGGGATATCCGACGAGACGAATTCTCTCTAGACGGACTTCCGAGTCCGAGTGTTGTATCAGTTCAGCTAAGACACGAGAACCCTATCGATGTCAAGTTCTACACAGCGTATCGATATCTGAGTGACCCCCGAGTAAACAAACTCAATACACGTGTAGGTTCTGCCCGTCTGATTCGCGCCCTGGCGATATCTCGTGTCGTCCCTATGTTTGTGGCTATGCAGGTCTTGGTGGTGACGCGGCTTCACGGTATCCGGAATGGCCCACACGGATCCCCTGTTCCAGGCTGTTCGGAGCGGGTCAACGGCTCGGCGCTGGTGGGGCTCCTGCAAGCGAGAGCGAGGTCAGTTTCGAGTGGATTTGCATGGGATTACTCATTACAGGAGAAGAGGAGTTTCCACGGGGGGAAGAGAGGAACGACAATGGGGTTCCAAAGAAATGGAGGTGGTGAGCTTTTCACAACAGTAACAATGGATTTAGAGAAATTAGGAGACATGAAAAACAGATACGGAATACACCTGCTCGGATGCGGCGTTTGCGTGCGTGTCGGATCCGTACACATTGTCCTTGCAGAGCCAAGACGGAAGGAACGACGCCCCCAGGAGGTCGCTCTCTCGGAGATAATTCCCGATGAATTCCACCTGATTTTCTTTTTTCTCGGTTTCTCATCTTTCTATCTCGACGGACATCTCAACGTCCATTCCACTCGAGTTTGAGATGGATTGATTGTTTTTTTTTACCCACTGCATTTTGATTGCATCCGTTCTTTACGTATTGAACCCCACAACATCGCATCTCATCTTGCAGCGCATCTTGCAGCAATTCGGCGCTCAACAGAGCACTTGCAGCGGTACGACCCGAGACAATCGCCAGGCTAAAAACCCTGAACCGCGTGGAAGCGCCGATCGCGCCGCGTTGGGTGGTTTAAAGATTTGGTAACCCGGGTCTATTATACTCTTATACGGATATATTACTTTGTTGTACTGGACCCCCTCCGGATTGGATTCGATTGGATTGTCCTGTATCCGACCGACGTCTGACGTCTGACGTCGTCGACCGGCCCCGGTCCTTCCGGTCTTCCCGGCCTCGACATCCCCGGTTCCGACCTCCCTCAACCACCGACTCGTTTCTCCTGCTTGCGCAGGAGAAACACAAAAAAGAAACAAACATGCTCCTCCACCAAACCATCACCCTCACCCTCAAAAACCTCCGTCTCCTCCTGATCCGCCACCCCCTGGCCACCACCCTGCGCGCCCTCATCCTCCCCATCATCATAACCGCCTTCCTCTCCTTCGCCCGCAACCTCTTCGTCCCCGCCGCCCGTTTCGGCATCACCTCCCCCGCGCACCCCGTGCGATCTCTCGCTGATGCGTTGAGTATTGCTGGGCCGGGTAGTGGGAGGGAGAATGTGGTTTTTGTGGATGGGGGGATGAAGGGGGGCGAGGTGGAGAAGGTGATTGGGGAGTTGGTACGGCAGGTGGAGGGCGTGGAGGGGGTGAAGGCGTGGAGGGTGGATTCGGAGGAGGAGGTGGCGGGGGTTTGTAGGGCCAGTTTGAGGGGGGTTACGGGGTGTTTTGGGGCGGTGGTTTTTCATGGGTCGCCTGATGAGGGATCACAGGGGGGAGTGTGGAATTATACGTTGAAGATGGATGCGTCGTTGGGGGTGGGAAAGATTGATGTGGAGAGTGATCGGAATGATGCGCAGGTTTATTTGTTGCCTTTGCAGCGGGCTGTGGATCGGGCGATATCAAGGTATTCTGCTTCTGCGGGAGAGGGAAATGGTGGGAGTGGAAGTGGGATGACGCCGCTGGGGGATGATGAAGAGGAGTACCCGTTCACATCGCTGACGGTGGAGGAACGGGCGGACCGGGTGCGGGTGATATACCAGAGCATGGTGATGAACTTTCTCGGCGTCACCTTCGTGGTGGCCGTCGTGGGCATCGCCTACCACCTAGCCGGGTTCATGGCCACGGAGCGCGAGTCCGGCATGGCCACGCTGATCGAGGCCATGACAGCCCCCGCGCAGGGAATTGGCGCGTGGAAACCCCAGGCCGCTCGACTGCTGGCCTACCACCTGTCCTTCTCCGCCGTGTACCTCCCCGGGTGGGTGGTATCGGCGCTGATCCTGTGGTCGGGGGTATTCGCGCACACGAACGCGGCGGTGCTGGTGTTGTATTTTGTGTTGTCTGGCCTGGCGATGGGGTCGATGGCGATGCTGGGGGCGTCGTTTTTCCGCAAGTCGCAGTTGAGTGGTGTGTTGGTGACGATTGTGTGTCTGCTGCTGGCGATTATTGCGCAGACCATCAGCTGGCCGAAGACGGGGGCCGTGGTGGCGCTGAGTTTGTTGTTTGCGCCGTGCAACTTTACGTATTTTATCTCGTTGCTGGCGCGCTGGGAGCAGCAGCAGTGGCCGGCGGACTTGGCGGTGTCGCCGCCGAATAGTCCTTGGTCGTTACCGGGGGTGGTGTTTTTTGTGTTTTTGGGGGCGCAGGTGGTGGTGTACCCGGTGTTGGCGGCGTTTGTTGAGCGGTGGTTGCATGGGAGTGCGTCGGGACGAACTGTCATGGAGCAGGCGCACGAACATGAACCTGAGCAGGGGGAAGGCGATTATGCGGTCAAACTGGACGAGTTCACCAAGATCTACCCACCCAGTCTAGGCCAGCGGCTGCTATCCCGTCTCTTCTCTCTCTTCTCCCGGTCCTCCTCATACCAACCCACACCACCTGTGGTAGCCGTCGACAAACTCACCCTGCAAGCCCCCCGCGGCCAGATCGTCGCCCTCCTCGGCGCCAACGGCAGCGGCAAGAGCACAACCCTCGACACCATCGCCGGCATCAACCGAGCCACCAGCGGCCGCATCACCGTCAACAGCACGGGCGGCCTAGGCATCGCCCCGCAGAAAAACGTCCTCTGGGACGAACTCACAGTCACCGAACACCTGCGCATCTTCACTCAGCTCAAAACCCCGCCCCAAGCCCGCAAGAGCAAGGCCACCACAGAACAAGACATCCTCTCCCTCGTCGAAGCCATCGACCTCACCCCGAAAGCCCACGCCCTCAGCAAGACCCTCTCAGGCGGGCAAAAGCGCAAACTCCAGCTCGGCATGATGCTCGCGGGCGGAAGCGCAGTCTGCTGCGTGGATGAAGTCTCGAGTGGGCTGGACCCGCTGAGCAGGCGCAAGATCTGGGATATTTTGTTGGCGGAACGGGGCAAGCGCACGATGGTGCTGACGACGCATTTTTTGGATGAGGCGGATTTATTGGCGGATTCGATTGCGGTGTTGTCGAGGGGGAGGTTGAGAGCTGTGGGGACGTCGGCGGAGTTGAAGGGGAGGTTTGGTGGGGGGTATCGGATTTGGGTGAACCGTCTTGATCATGACAACAACAACAATATCGACCGAGATTCGGGTGAGATTCCGGAGATTCAAGACGAGATACCCAAGGGTGTTCGGACGAGAATGGAGGGTGAAGAGACGGTGTATGTGGCCGACTCGTCGGATCAGGCGGCTGGTGTGATTCGCGCGTTAGAGACTGCTGGGATTGCGGATTATCGCGTGTCTGGCCCGACGATGGAGGATGTGTTTCTGCAGTTGGCTGAGGAGGCCCGGGTTGAGATGGATAAGGAAACGGCGTCAGAGAAAGAAACCGAGTCGGAAAGAGAAAAGGGGGACACCGAAAAAGACAAAGGAGTCGAGCTCACCTCTGGCCGACCCCTTGGCTTCTGGCGCCAGGTGTGGGTGCTCTTCAACAAACGCTGTGTCGTGTTCCGCCGCCAGTCCTTCCCCTCGCTCGCGGCCTTTGTCATCCCCATCGTGGCCGCCGGCCTGGTGATGCTGTTTGTGCGCAACCAGCCCGCCCTGGGGTGTGCCCCGTCCGAGCAGTCCTCGCAGCGCCCGGCTGTCAGTCTGAGCAACCTGTTTGACAACGACTTTGAGCTGTTCCTCGTTGGGGGGCCGCCGGATAAGTTCTCCGAGGAGAATTTACTCCGATTGTTTGGCCCACTGTACTCGGGCGCTTCCAACAAACTCTCGGCTCGCGCTACTACCCCGACAGACCTCTTCAAGAATCTTACGCTGGTGGATAGTCTGTCCGACTTCCACGATGCCGTCGTCCACTACCGCAAAAACATCACCCCCGCGGCCCTCTGGCTCGGCGACGCCCACTCCCCGCCGACCCTCGCCTACCAGTCCGGCACCGGCGCCGAGATGCTCAACGCCTGGTTCGGCCAGTGGGCTCTCGACATGCTGCGCACCAACGCCTCCATCGCCGCGTCTTATGCCGTCTTCGACACCCCCTGGGCCCCGGACGCCGGCAAATCCCTGCAGCTGCTGGTGTACATCTCGCTGGCTCTCAGCGCGGCCACGGCCTTCTTCTCGCTGTACCCGACCCGTGAGCGGCACACCCGGGTGCGTGCGCTGCAGTATTCCAACGGGGCCAGGCCGTTTCCGCTGTGGCTGGCTTACACGGGGTTTGACTTTTTTGTCGTCGTCCTGCCATCGGCAGTCGTCGCTATCGCCCTGCTCGCCGGCCTGGCACCGGGCCTGTGGTACCACGTCGGCTACGTCTTCCTCATCTGGATCCTCTTCGGTCTCGCCTCAGTTCTACTGGCGTACAACGTCTCCCTCGTCGCTCCCAACCAGCTCTCGGCCTACGCCATCACCGCCGCGGGCCAGGTCATCGCCATGCTGCTGTACCTGATCGCCTACCTGTGTGTCATCCTGTACGCCCCCGTCCACCGCATCGACAGTTTGCTGGTCGTCGTGCACTTTGTCGTGTCCGTGATAGCGCCTATCACGTCGGTTGTGCGTGCGCTGTTTGTCGCGCTGAATCTGTTTTCGACGGCTTGCGACGACCGTGTGCTGTCGGCCAACCCGGGGGGGATGTTGTTGTACGGCGGACCGGTGGTGTATCTCATTGTGCAGACTCTACTGCTTTTTGTCTTGCTAGTCTGGGCTGAAGGCGGGTTCCGTCTCCAGCGGTCGTCTCGTCATTCCCCGGAACAAGACGAAGAAGACGCCACAGCTCCTACGAGTCCGGACGACAACGACGGCCTCCGCGTCGTAAACCTAACCAAAACCTTTGGCTCCCACACCGCCGTCGACCACGTCTCTTTCACCGTCCCCCGCGGCCAGGTTTTCGCCCTCCTCGGCCCCAACGGCGCAGGCAAATCCACCACCATCTCCATGATCCGCGGCGACCTCTCCCCGTCCAAGTCCCAGTCTTCGGGCACACATAATCACAAAAAACAAAAAGGCGACATATACATAAACACCCACTCCATCACCCACTCCCCCCCCCTCGCCCGCTCCCACCTAGGCGTCTGCCCCCAATTCGACGCCCTCGACCCCCTGTCCGTAACCGAACACCTGCACTTCTACGCCCACATCCGCGGTCTCCCCCCTGCTTCCGTCCCTGCCAACATCGTCTCTGTCCTCCGCGCTGTCGGACTGACTCCCTTCCGCGAGCGGTTGGCACATACCCTGTCGGGGGGGAATAAGAGGAAGTTATCGCTGGCGATTGCGTTGTTGGGAAACCCGGCGGTGCTGGTGTTGGATGAGCCTAGTTCGGGGTTGGATGCTGCGGCGAAGAGGGTTATGTGGAGGACTTTGAGGGGGCAGGTGAATGGTGAGGGGGTTGGTGAAGGGGCTGGGGGGAGGGGGAGGAGTGTGTTGTTGACTACGCATAGTATGGAGGAGGCGGATGCTTTGGCTGGTGGTGCGGGGAGTTACTCTGCTGCAGCACAAGGGAAAGGGAAGGGGAAGGTGGGGATTTTGGCCGGGAGGATGTTGGCTGTTGGGGGGGTGGAGGAGTTACGGTCGCGGTATGGGGGAGGTGGTAACCGTTCTCAAGGGGGGAGTGGCCAGGGGGGGACTGCCCAAGGGGAGAAGGGGGAGAAAGGGGAAGGGAGAAAAGGGGAGAGGGTGTATGTACACCTGGTGTGTAAGGGAGCGCCGCGGACGAGTGAGGAAGAGGTGGCGAGGGTGAAAGAGTGGGTGTTGGCGGTGTGGCCGGGGGCAGAGGTCGAGGAGAAGACGTATCATGGGCAGATGCGGTTTTGGGTGGATGCCGGCCCGGGTCCTGCTACTGGTACTGGTACTGGTACTGATACTGGTACTGGTACTGGTACTGATACTGGTATTGAGAAAATGACGGGTGCGGCGGGATTGTTGTCGACTGTATCAGGGCTGGGATCAGGTTCGCACGGAGACTCGCCAGCAGCGACACTAACAAACCCAACCCCCGACCCCATCTCAGAGTCATCATCTCGCCCAGGCTCATCACCACAGCCAAAAGCAATCACAGCCACAGCCACAGGGTCCGACACAGAAACAGACACGATGGCACCCTCAGCTGCAGAGGAGATACAAGGGGGGCCAAAGACGACAAAAACAAGCATAGGCCCCATCGTCCTCCTACTCGAAGCAAACAAACACCGTCTCGGTATCGAACACTACAGTGTCAGTCCGGCTACGCTGGACCAGGTGTTTTTGACGGTCGTCGGGGAACATAATGTGCGTGAGGAGGGGTATCAGGAGGTGAAGAAGAGGGGGTGGTGGAGGTGGAGGAGATAGATAAGGGGGGACGGATAGGGGTACGGATAGGGGGGTGGATAGGGAGAGATAGATAAAGATGAGAGGGGGGGATGGATATATCTAACTGTGATTTCGGGGTAAATAGTGGGATGGAGACGGTGGAAGTGGATTGGTTGACGGAGTAGAAGGCGAGGGGAGTCCTGTTTTATTTGCAGTGTTGAAAAGATATATACGGGTGCATGGGGGTCGTGGATATTTTCTATGTATACCTTTTTTTTGAACTTAAGGGCAGGTATATACAGTCATTAGACATAGATGTATATTTCTCGCGTTGCTCCAAATATGTCATCTTTTCCCTTGTGTCACAGTATAACGCGTGTTTATTCTCGCAGTACAAGACAATGAGTGGTCTTTGACACATCTGAATTTATCTCATCGTCCTTGAGATTATTTTCCAAGTTAAGGGAAGTGAATTATTACCTGCCAGCCTAGTTGCTCCCCTCTTAACTATGGCTGTCAGGGCCCTACTTCAGATAGTTAGTTCGTAGCCTGCCTTTTGCCCATCACCAGAGGCTGGAGAAGGGCATCTGGAATTTGAAGTTCTTTGTACCAACGGGCTGTTCCTCAGGTCAACCGCCTTATCCTTCGTTATGCCCGCTCCCCATGGCCACCAAGGGGTCAAGGCTGATCAGATCGTGACCTTGTGAGTTGGTGTTCACCAGCCCCCACCAAAACCTCAATTCTCCAAAGATCTACAGCACACGGTTGACTCTCGGTTTGAGGAGATCAGGCATCAACATCGGTGATGCAGCAGACACGGAAGGAAAAAGGGTCCGTTGCCAAAAGGAAGGCTGTGTTGCGCCTGGAAAGAGGTTTTCTCGCTCTCGTTCTCTTTGGATGACCTTCCACTTATAGACATGATTGAGCTTCTCATTATCACAGACAGCAGAGCAAGAAAGAAGGAGTATCATCAAAACATAAAAATACAGGACCGCAATATCTAATATATGTAGCAACCATTGCTGTTACCGCGCCTTCAAGGACATGGGGGTTAGAAAAGTCCCCCACTAGATATCCCCTTTGTCGTCCTCCACACCTGCTCGATTAGGTTGAGATCCGGACTGTGCATGTAATGTCATGTGAGTGTGGAAGAACCCAATCGCATAGATATCTCCTCAAGCCCTTCATTTCCTCGTCTTTTTCACCTACCGCGGGGTGCATTCGGGGGTTCTCTTGGATACAAAGTCACGCGACAGTAGTCTGGTTGGAGGCTTCCTTCGAGGGCCCGGTATAGCTAGCTATTTGCAGTATGAACCTTAGGGCTAGATCCGGTTGTAATGGGCTATGATCACCGACGGCACCTGGCGTGCGTTGACCTTACCAATCCGAGTGCAGCACACCGGATGCAATATCCGTAGCTTCACCGCATCAAAGATGTTAGGGACAAATCCGGACTAGAGCATACCGTACGATTATGCTGTACTGTATGTACAATACCACAGCGATCATATCACATCACGCGAACTGGAGCTATCAACATGAAGGCATGTATGTACACACGATGCCTGATCAGGGCCTCACACCGAACGACACGACATGGGTGAAGAATTCAACCTCATCATTTAATCACCCGACCTTAAGCCAGTCAGTTCGCCTCCAACCTCAACCTATCTCAAACAAACAAACCCACACCAAACAAAACAAACCCCCACACCCCGAAAATTCCTAAAGAAGCCTTCCAAATCCCGCTCCTTCTCTATCTATCCGTCGTCCAGTTCTCCGACAGACAGAAGAACGAACGACATAAAACGCAGAAATAAAACAGGATAATAAACAACCCGCTCACCATAATAAAGATATGTAAACAATCCATCCACCCATCATCCAAGTCATGATGCGAATGGAAGTGAATTTATGTACAGCCACAACAACAACAACAACACAACATCCCAAGATATAAACATGCCAACATCACGCCAACAACTACAACACGTGGGCGTTATCAGAATCCCATCGAAATCCCATTGAAATCCTGTCAAAATCACCACCCACACATTCACCCACCATAACAGCATAAATCCCGCCTATCTACAACGCTTCCCCGCCCGATACAAACAACCAACCAACCAAACACAAAAAACTAATACCTCCCCCCCCTTTCCACATCCCTCTCCCACCCCCCCGCACTCCCATCACCCCCATGCCCATCCCCATTCCCATCATCATCCCAATACCCATTCCCCCTCGCCGGCGCCCCCCTCGAATAACCCCCCGCCGACCCCGGACCCGGATCCGGACCCGGGTTCATCGGCCCCGGTGTCCCCCGCCTCTGCTGACTGGATCCACTGGTACCACTGTATTCACTCAACACGTCCGCCTGGTCATCATACTCGCTTCCTTGTGCCTGTGTTTCCCGCGGCCCCTGCCTAGGTGCGTTGACCATATTCCGCAGCGAGCTGTTACTAGCGCTCGGGGTGTGATACGGCGAGTTATACGCCCGGAACGGGGATTGTTGTTGTTGGCGACTTGGAGGGGGCATGCCTCTTTGTGACCCGCTGTGGGATGACGGCATAGGCTGGGTCATGGACCGAGGTGGGGGGTGGTAAGGCTGTGGGGGTCCCCGTTGGGGGTAGGCATTGGTGGCGCTGCGGATGGGATAGCCGTCTGGGCCGACGCCACCGGGGCCGCGCGGGGACATGGGGTTGCTGCGGAAGGTGGTGGTTGACGGGGCGGGACTAGCGCGCCCGCTGGCTTGGTCGTCGAAGGGGGGCCTGTCGGGCGGGTAGGGTAGGTTGTTGGGGTTGGCGCTGTTGGCGGAGAAGAGGGATCGGTTGTCGGGGTGGGGTGATCGTGTGTCGACGCGGAGAGGCATCCGGCCGTCTCCTGAGTAGGGTTGTCTGTCGTCGGAGTAATGAGATCTCGCGTCGTCAATCCGGTTGTCTGAGTAATGAGACCTGTCGTCGTCGTGTATCCTGTTATCCGAGTAATGGGATTGGTCGTCGTACTGCGGCATCCTGTTGTCTGAGGGATACGGCAGCGTCGATTGGTTGCGGGGGCCAGGTCCCTGGCTACTGAAGGACCCGGGCGACAAGACAGACGGCGGGAGCGAAGGCACGGGTTCCGAGGTGAAATTCGCCGGGCTCGCGGTGTAGCCCCGTAGCGATGAACCGTTCGACGGCATCCGTGCCATCTGCGGGCCGGGGCCGTAGCTCCGGTTGGTGGACGACGTTGCGGGCCGCGCTGGCGGGTACCCGTTCAGGTCCAGCGGCGGCAGGCTCGGGGTGGACGCATCAGGGGACGCCATGCCCATCCCGGCCGCGCCGCCCAGTAGAGACGCATCGGACGAGTACTGGCTTGTCGCGGTCGTGCGGGTGTCGGTCCGCAAGGGCATGCCCGGCCGGCGACCGAGGCTGTTCATCTCGATACTGCCTGGCGTGCTCGGGCGCGAAGGCTTCTCGGCGAATGTGGCAAACGTGTCGGCCCGGTTTAGCGTGGGCATCTCGGAGAGGTTGTCGTCGCCGAGCACAGGGATGGATGGCTTCATCGTCATCGGCCGTTCGCCACCGCCCTTCTTGGCCGCCTTAAGCTCCGCCTTCTTGCGTTTCCGCTCCTCTTCCGCCATCGCCTTCTCAATCTTCTTAGCCACGATCTGCCGCAGCCGCTTGTTGACCTTGCGCTCGCAGAAGCCCGTCAGGCCGCCGTCTTCGCGCGGGATGTAGCTCCACAGGAAGAAGACGAAGAACAGGGCCGCCAGCAGCAGCGACAAGAACGAAAAAATCCAGATGATGAGAGTGAACACCATGCCGGACAAGACAACCACCTGGCGCGGCTCCTCTTCCGCCATGATCCGGATTTTGTCGAAGAAGTCGGACACGGACGATTCAAAGTTTTTGTCGTGAACATTGATTTTTCCAGCGTACACCGAGTACAGCGTCAACGCATTGACGACCTGGCGAGGCCCGGAGCAGAGCAGGGTACGGATCCAAGCTGCTGCTGTTAGCTACTGTTTTGAAGATTATCATGCCCGGGGGACTCACATTGAAAGCTGAAGAAGCTAAACAGGGCGATGTACTCCGCCCCCTTCTTACTCTTGGTGAGTTCCGCAAAAACCAGGAATCGCTTCCACCCGCGGCCCTCTCCCATCCGGATACTCTCCAGGCGCGCAGCTAAGCTGTCAAGAAAGCATTCCGCCACACTGCCACGGCGCATGATGGTGATGGCACGGAAGTATTCATACGCCAAGTTCGCAAAGGACAGCAGGATACAGACGGTAAAGATCCATTTCGAGATGTCGAAGTCGATGATTTGGGATGGTTCGATCGAGCCGGACCATTTGTTGAAGGCGAGCAGTTGGTAGGCCGTGAAGATATCGACGCCGTAAACAGCGAGCGAGATGAAGAGCGAAAACCAGAGATAGCCGTAGGCAAATGGTGACAAGAACGAGCCGGCCTTGAAATCATTGAGGCTCTGGAAAACAATGGTTAGCTGGGGTTATACACCAAGCCGTCTTTCCGAAACTCACGATGAAATCCCATTTCTGCTCGGGGTTGACTTGGACGTCACGACGGCGGTGACTGAGGAAACCCATCGTATGGACAACGCGAGCCAGGCGCGTACGGGCTAGCCGGATCTAAAGGAGGGTAATCGACACGGTCGAGAAGGGAGATGAAGCTGAGGTCGCAGACACAATCGATGTGTCCTCGCGGGGGTATCGTACAACAAGAAAAGAAAACTGAAGCGCGGTGATCAGAAACCGCACCGCGTACAGCACAAGTCGCTCCTCGCCTGCGAAGATGGCGACTGTGCCTAGGGTCGTGATAGAGAGTGCAGCACGCTCCCAGACTCGGTCGCTGTTCAGGAGCGAAGAGAGGAAAGAACAAAAAGAGAGCGAAACGTCAGAAAGTGGGTCGAATTGGTCGGTTCGGAAAGGCCCAGCGGTGGCCTCAACAGTGCCCTCTCCTCGCTATCATCGCGATGACGGTATTGACCGGGGATCCGTGGTGGTGGAAAATAATGCGGGCGCCCGTGAAGCAGGGAGTGGTTCCCTCGGCGCTGTGGGGGGGAGAGACCGGAATCGCGATGGTCTGGAGAAGGAGTGGACGCTCACAGCAGGAAGGGCGATGTTCCGGGAAGAACAGCACCGATGGGCTGGGCTAGGTGGATGTCGAGGGGTCGCTGTGGTGGATGTGGTGGAAGGAAGGCCTGGAGAACCCAGTTTGATCGGCTGGGTACAGGCGCAAGGCTTGGTGTCAAGTGGACCGAAGCGGAAAGGATGAGACGATCCGAGTGGGAGGGGTATCCGCTGAGAGGGGTTGCGATGGTTATTGTGTGGTGGTGGTGCTATTGTGCAATTGTTGGGGAACAATACAATGAATGAATAACCCGCTGTGGTTGTGAATCGCGTCGCGCGTGGTCTGAAGTTCACAACACAAAAAGGAGGGTATGTACTGGCGGCCTACAAAACGACAGAATAATGAATGGCTGGATCGTCAGGCTGTTTCCAACGGATCCGAAACGGCTGCCCTACGAGGTGTAAAGGGTCCAGGGAACGAGGAAGCTCAAGAGCAAGAGGGTGCATCTGCGACGGCGGAGAGGTTAAGGGGCATAACCCAGCAAGGGGCCGGGGTCACACTCGCGAGGACGGGCCCTGTCGGCGGCCGCGGGAGGCTGCTCGTATTGGTCGGATGGGGGCGTGGACGCCGGGCAGCGGCGTGGAGTACATATAAAGCGTTATCTCTCTGGCTTTTGAGTTCTTTAAACTTAGTTTATTGTAGTATCTCTTAGCCTGAATGCAGGTACCGGACCCTGGTCGTCCCTTCCCTGACGCCTTCCCGAGGACCCCTTATCCAGTCTCATGATTGGCCCAACCAAAAACCCCTTGCAGCGCTCCATCTGAATTCAGGCCCTGTGAAACACCCACCCAACCATGAGAGGAAAAATCAACCTGCGAAACACGGAAAATTGATGCCGACAGCAGAAATGCCTGTCTCGGCTGCATCGGCGGCTTGATGACCCGCACGGAGGCAGCCGGCTTCCTTCGACTTCTCGTCGTTTTGAAGACTACATAGTACACAGTACTTCGTAATGTTGAGTGTAAAAACGCGCGGGACGAAATTGATGCGATGATCGAAATGGTTCATGGCCTGTTGGAGCATACGCAAACAGCGCCTGACTTCCAACCGCATTGCAGCGCCGGGATATTGTTTGGTCGCATTTCTATTTTCGACGAATCCATGCCTCACTCGCCCGCAAACTAGCACCGCCAATTTCGAGTCTTTTGAAGACCACTGAGAATGCCTTGGGTCTGTGGACGGAAGACGAGACGGATTTGCAGTTGTCGAAACCCCAAATGCGCTGAGAGGTGGGATGCGGGCCAACCAACTTACCGCGCGCTTCTTTGGGCTACACAGCGTAACATAAATGGACGAGACACCGCGATCTGCAATGCTTTGCCAACTGGCCGCCCTGATCTTCGAGAGTCCGTTGGGTACGGGTTTGCAGCGACAAAACTGGTCGTTCGGCTTTGACCACTGCTGTGTATTCGGCTTTTTTTTGTTTGTCAGAAAAGACCTGGTTTCAGGATTGAGTCGTGGCAGATTCGCAGGCGAACACAGAAAGCAAACACCAAGATCTGCAGGTACAAGTGTAACTTTTGGACTCAGCTAACCACTTCTCGGCTCTAAACACGCACACATGGACTCCATCGCCCCCAGCATATTCCCATCTACTTCGTCAGCGTCGCCTTCTCGCCATTCTCCCCCCATTCCTTGACCAAGTGGTACTTGACCACCACCCGCAGCTCGAGCTGCTCCGTCTCAGTCAGAGCAGTCGTGCTGCCCCGTCTCCTGCTCCAGCTGTCGGCCGTCTCCTTAAGCTTGGCCTCGCCGTTGTCGTCGGTCTCATCGGGGTTAGCGAACTGGTAGGTCCGCCACTCGGTGTTCGTCCTGTTCAAGTCAGCGCTCGCTCGTCGGACCGTCAAAGAGAGTGCAGTAAAAAAAACCTGGCTCTCGAGAAAGAAGAAGACCTACCACCCCGTCCCCGTCTGCGGATCCATCCCATCATAATCCTGCGTCAAAAAGTGCAGAATCCCCCCATGCGTAACAACCGCCACATGCGCATCCACCCCCGGGTTCTTCTTCTCAAACTCCCTCCCCAGCTCCCTCAACCACACCCTCGCCGTCCTTGCCCGCGCCTCCAACCGCTCCATCACCGGTGCCCACGGACTGTCCAGGCTCAACTTCTCATTCCACCCGTCCACCACCAGCCCCAAATCCACCTGTTTCGCCCTCTCCTGTCCCTCCCCCGCCGCCTTCGCAGTCGGCCCAAACTCCCCCTCCAACACCCCCCGATCCGACCCCGTATCACACGCCCACGGCGAAATCTCCTGCAGTTCCGGAACCGCCACAACCTTGGTCGTATCCGCCGGCAGGCGGGCGAGGGCCGGTTCAAAGGAGAGGAGACAGGTGTACAGGGTGCGGCGTAGCGGGGATGCGACGAGGTGGGTGATGAGGTGCTGGTGCGGGAAGGAGGCGGCGAGGGCGGCGCATTGCTCGCGGCCGAGAGGGGTGAGGTCTGGGTCGGGCAGGACGTGGTTGGCGGCTGTGAGGTTGTGGAGGCCTTGCGCGTGGCGGACGAAGTGGATGTAGGTTGGCATTTTGGGTTGCCTTTTGGTTTGTTTCTAGGGTCGGTTTCTTTCTAGGGGTTCTTTCGTGTCTAATTACGGTTGATTGAGTAAGTACGTGAGCGAATCGGTATGGTGTGTTTGTTGAGTAAGAGCTAACTCACGATCGTTCTCGTTGTTGTTGCAATTAAGAACACAAAAGGGGACGAGAACACGAGAAACCCTCGAGTCCTCAGGAACGTGGGAACGTGGGAATGTGGAAGGCGTGACAAGTTATCTCCGAAGTGCAACAGGAGAAACCAAGAAGTTGCACCAAACCTGTCAAACCGTGGCAAAAAAAAAAAAAAAACGGAAAAGACGAGGCAATGAACGAAACACAGCAGTGTACGAAGTACAAATATCGAATACAAAGGTAGAAGAGAAATAAATCCCTGACTCACCCAGCCCAGCCCAAACAAACCTCAACACCCGACTCACCCCCCTTCTTTTCGTTCAGATTTCCCCTCATCCCAACCCATCATCCTATCTTCCTGTCAAATCGGTACCTGGAATTGCCCCTCTTCTCCACTTCCTCCTTTTGACATCCGGTCCGGCCTTGTCCTTTATCGCTTCACTAGGTAATTCAGCCACTCCGGCTTGTCAGCAGCCACCTGCAGTCAGTCCACTTGCAGTTCTAGTTCGCCCCACGAGCCCCGTACATCGTATCATATCCGCCCCCCACTCTGTAACTAACTTTGTCCCCGCTCTCAATGGTGTCCTGGAATCGGGACTTGGGCGGCGGATGGTAGAAGCGGAGTTGCCTAATGGGGTATTCCGTCGGCCGTCATTGTTATCCTGGGTTTCCTTCAATAAAACGAAAGGCAACAAGGCGGCAAATAACTCTACAAGTCTGGGGTTATGGTTAACAACAACAGCTCAACAGCGGGGTAGGTCGGTTGAGTGAACTAAGCTGTAGTGGGGGTAAATGCATGAGACTCGGTAGTTGAGTTACGTCAGCCTTCGTCTCAATCACAACTTGCTCCCTGTGACCTAACCTTCACTTCACCCACCGGTGCTTTATAGCTACAAATTAATCCCATCATCAAAACACAAAGCACAATCTCAAAGGTCAAGATTCAAACAACCAAGTAACCAACAGAAGAAACGCAAATTGTTGTATTCCTTCCCGTGAAAACGCCCAACAGAAAGGAGAACTTGGGGGTACGTCTGTAAGAAAATGCGAATCATACACTGGCTGTGCTTGTTCCTCCCGCGTCTTTCTATGTATCTGCATGCTCGTCCTCGTCCTCGATCCCCGTCATCACCCGTACCCCTTCCCACCAGAATACCCAAACCAACCACCCATTCACTCCCACACCTCCCCCGCCTTTCCTTTCACACCCCTCATCCCCACCAACCCCCCTTCTAAACAAATACCCCCCCTCACAAATCAATCAAACTCTCCTCCATAACCGCCTGTTTCGGCGCATGCTGCGGCGCCGAAGGGAACGACTCCTGCACATACCCAGCATACGCCGCACTCGGCGGCGGAGCAGCAGCAGCAGTGGGAGCCGCCGCCACAGGCTGAGGTTGGATCTGAGCATGCCACACGGGCGGAAGCTGGGTCTGTTGTGCTGCGGAATGCTGCCAGTATGGTTGTGATGGCTGTTGTTGTTGCTGTTGGGCCTGCGGTGGCTGCTGTTGGTGTTGTTGGGGTTGAGGTTGGGATTGGTGGTGAAGTTGTTGGGCTGGTAGCTGGGGTGTTTGGTGCGCTTGTGGCTGGTATGGCTGGGCGGCCACGGAGGCGGGGGTTTCCGGGAGAGAGGGTTGATAGGAGTGCAAGGGCTGTGAGAGGTTGGGGTAGGGGGACATGGTAGGGTCGGGTGGAGAGCTAGGGATCTGTTGGGGAGGTTGTTGATGCTGTGGCGGTTGCTGGGACTGCGGCTGCTGCTGCTGGTTGAAGTAGAAGGATGCGCTCGGGTCGGCCGTGGGGGTAGTGCCAACGGAATCGCTCTGCGCAGGCGCGGCGAGGTGCGCCGGGGTTGGTGTATGTTGTTGCGGGCGAGTTGCCTGGGGGGCCTCACCCCCAGCCGGGTAGCTCGGTTGTTGACCGTACGGCTGCGCAGGAGCAGACGGGCCCCAATTGCCCGTGTGTTGAGGCACCTGCTGCGGAGGATACTGACTGGCCGCCGGTGCAGCTACGGAAGCACGCTTGTCATAGCCGCCGTATTGTGCTTGCGGTGGCTGCTGATACGAGGGGTGCGCCGTCGGGTGACTATAGTCCTGTTGCCGGGGCTGCTGCTCGCCCGTGTAAAAGTTCTCTGCTGTCCCAGGAGCATTCGGCGCGCTTGGCTGTAGCGAGGGGTACGGCCCGGGCGTCTGCCTCGGCGGAGGGAGGTTATAGCCCCCAATGCTGTGTTGGCTGTAGGCTTTTGACAGGCGCTCTTCCAGCATGCGGTCGTAGTAACGCACAACAGTGGACAGCTTGGCGTGCAAATCAAGGAGCGTATCTGAAAGTTGGTTAGCGCCCACCGACTTAAACTCCACTCGTAATTCTTAACTCACCATGCTTGCTCATCGTTTCTCCATAAGTCCGCGCAAGCTTGGGCCGAAGCGTGCCGATGCTATCGTACAGTTCCTGGATCTGGGGCTCGCGCAAGATCGTCCCCGGCGGCTGCGTTTGGAGGCGATCGACGAGCGTGGAAAAGAGGTTGATGTTCTCCGCTTCTACCGGTGTGAGCTCGTAGTCGTTCTTTGGGAGCGCAAACGGAGCAGGAGATGACGAGGAAGCAGACGGGCCGGACGCCTGCTGTTTAAGTGCCGCAGCATGCTGCTTTTTCTGTTCCTCCATGTCGGCAAGCGACGCCGCAATGGCCGCCTTCAAGTCTGCATCCTCCTCCTCAACGACCTTGGTCGGAGTGTGGCCATTCGTCTTCTGCTGGCTCGCAGGTGCTGGTTTCTTGGCCGCGGGAGCGGCGTAGTTTCGACTGTGGCTCTTGACCTCTTCGAGACTCATCGCTAGCGCCTTCTTCAGGTCCTCGTCGAACCCGTCATCCACTCGAGCGTTCCGTGGCTGCATGGCCGATCCGCGAGGCTTCGATGGGAACGAAGGTTGCGTTGGCGAGCGTTCCTGGCCGACCCCCCCACCCCGTTTGTCTGTCAGTTTCGCATAACACCCATCATCCACCCGAACCGCCTGCAGAATTCCGAGGTGAGGCAGCGGCAGGGATTTGCTCGAGCACTGCTGATCGAAGCAGTTGCCACAGTTGCGGCAGTGGTGCTTTCGGTTTGTAAACGTGAATGCGGTTCGGCATCGCATGCAGACATCGGAGTCGACCCACTCGGGGGGCTAGCAATAGTTAGTTTCCCGGTTCTAATCCCCATCCGCTCCAAAACTAGCAAACGTACCGCACTGCTGTCGATCATACTGCCAGACACCGTAACCCGCGGGGGAAACTGGAAGCCCTCCCTCTGAAGCGTCCTGTACACCTCTCCGATATACCCCAATTCGTAGCGGCCCTCCGCGGCCGAGGCCCAGGACTGGATGAGCTCGAGGATCTTGGAGCGCACTTCGGCGTTGACAGTACCGGGGCCGACAGCCTTGAGCAGCGACACAAGACTTTCCATGAACTCCCGCGACGCGATCTCGGCGAGGAAGTGGGCGCCGCCATTCTTCACGCAGGTATCGGTAAGCTAGTCAAGTTAGTAGACGTACACCGAATGGGGTGGGGGAAACCGAGGTAGCAAGTCGAGGCATACGTTGAGTGCGCTGAGCTGGGTGTTTGGGTTCTTGTTGCTGATGCGCTTTTTGAGCGAGCGCATAGCCTCCTTCGGCTGGACTGTTTTTGAGCGGATGATGTCGGAGATCTCGAGGTTAAGCGCAATGTCCTCCCTGTACACGGTAGATGTCAGTGCGAGTCCCGTCGCATGCGCGCGCTGAAGGGAAAGGGCTTGGTGTGTCAGTACAAACTGCTGCTGGTAGCCTTGTCTATCTGCTCGTCCAGGGCATTATTGGCCCCGGAAGACCACCACCCCATCATCTTGAAAAGCTAGAGGGGAAAGGCAAAGTTTGCGATTGTCGGATAGGACAGAGATTAATGTCGATTGCGAGACTCCGTGCGACTGTGAAGCTCTGTCTCGAGGAATGTGCAGTTGCGGGGCGAGCGCGTGGGAGCGAGGGGCTGGGAGTTGTTGGCCGTTTGTGAATCCTGCGAATCTAGGTCTGCGATATTGAGAATGCTCCAGCGACGCAAGTCACGTCTCTACAAAAGTAGAGCCAAGCACGAGGGTGCGTCGGGAGGTGTGGTGGTCTGGTAGGTTACGCGGCGATGTTTGCGATGGAGAAGGTTGGAGATCTGATGCAGCTGCCTTGTCGTTGGTTACGTATGGCCGGCCATGGGGCAAGCAGCTTGCCCCCGGCCCGGCTAGCGGCCAGGGCGATGTCATGCCATACCCCTGTAAGTATGGCGTTGCGCTTCCGGAGAGACTGGACCCACCGGGCAGCTGTCGCTGGTCTGCTGGTGGTGTCTCAACTTCGATGCGAGTTTCCAGCTTGTTTCTTTGTCCGCCGGGCTGGTCTGAGTGGTTTAAATTACATATATGTATCTTTAAGGAAAAGATATGTGACATTTTACACTATGGTTTACAAATTGTGAAGTAGTAGTCTATGGCATCTTACAAACGAGCGTGAGCGTATTCAAGGTGCTCTGGCGCATGGTGGCGGCTCCAGCTGCAAGCCACCGCCAAGCCCCCAGAAGAGACCGAGGACGCGGCCGCATTCGTCACACTGGCGGAACCCCCCGGCCTTAAAGGTTCTCCCCCAGAACACCCCACATGACAGCAAGTCAACAGTGCCAAAGTGCGCGGGCACCTCTACGTTCAAAGTTTCCCGTCTTCCATCTGCAAACACCGCTTTCGGCATTCCGCGGCGGAAGCAACAAAGAAAATCACCTTCCCGATCAAAGAAAAGAGCACTCCGACAGCCATAGCTTTCGCCCTCCCCATTCCAGCCGCGGCCTGTTCATCTCGCCCTCAACTTAGTTTTAACTAGACCATCCCATCCTTACCTAGTTAAATTGGGGGTTGTTCTAGATACATACTCGCAAACCCACGCGTCACGGAAGCTCGAGAAACGCAAACTCTTTTTCAACATTACATAACTATTAGCTGCCGTGACAATTCACCATCATTCCCGAGCCATGAACCCCTTACTCCCGACATAGTCAACGACGCGCACCACCTACACCCCACAACCCCGCACCGTACGGGCTTGTCCAACACAGACGTTGCGCGTCCACCAACACCACCACCACCACTTTGCGCTTTGCGTAGGAACGAGGAAGCCAGAGACCGGCCCCCTAGACGATGCCGGGTTTAACAAGCATGCTGGACGATGACCCGCCGTCTGGCGGTGTAAACGGGCATCCAAATGGCTCCAAGCGCCCAGGACGCACGTTTCCTCACATCGATGATCTTGTGAATAACACCACCACCGACATCGACCCGCACGCACCCATCGACACACTCCTTCGACTGGCCCAGGAAGGGCTTAAGCATGCAGAGAGCTCGAGGTCGTTTGGCCGGCCGGACCTGGCGCTCAAGGAGTACCTTCGGACAAACGACATCCTCCTCACAATTATTCCGCACAGCAAAGACTGGACGTCCCTACGGCGAGACAGAAATAAGCAAGGGCAGGCCTATAATAAACTCTTGAAACAAGTCAAGGACGCGGTTGATGATTTCGAGGCTTGCAAGGAGCGAATACGGGAGGATAATGCGAGAACGGGTGTCCAACCGACTGCCCATCAGTCCAGTGCAGGCTCAGGGTCCGGGCCGGCAGTGGCACAGACAGGTGCCGTGAACGGTCAAAGAGAGAACCTTAGATATGTGGGGGGCAGTGGGACGAGGGAGAACGGGGTCCCAGCCTCCCCTCCTCCCAGGACCAAACCCGTGGTCCACCCAAAACCACAAAGCCTCCACGGTAAGGCAATCCGCCCCGGTTCTGCGACAACCCCCGTCCTGTCGCAAGACCTAGTGCAGAGGTTTGCGAGCTTACGGGGGGCTCCGGACGCCACCCAGAGCGCTCACACGAGGACCCAGTCGGCTGTTTCTCCCTCCAGCGTGTCGATGAACGGGGTGATTACTGGGCTGCCCAGGCCTCCAGATGCAATCTACAACCCGCCAAGGGGCACGATCACTAGCGAGACAGCGGCCCTTCCTTCCAGCGCCCCCCGGGGCATGTTCACAAGGACAAATTCGACAGCGTCGCTCAATGGAGCGAGGAATCATAAACCACAACCACAACCACCCCAACTTGCGCCAGTGAAACGACCAAAACTGTCGATACCAGACGGGGACACGATAACCAGTCAGGAGCTCTTTCGACTCATGCAGGCCGGCGCTAGGGATCTCTCGATTCTCGTCATCGATATCCGAAGCCGCGAAGAATTTGACGACGGGCATATCATGTCCCAGGCGACCATCTGCCTGGAGCCCGAGGTACTGTCGAGACACCACATCTCGGCGAACGATCTTGCTGAGAGCATGGTTCTGGCGCCCAACTCGGAGAGACTGCTCTTTGAGAAGCGCCACGAGTTTGGCATGGTGGTGTATTACGACTACGACTCCGTTCGCATTTCGGACCGGCCACAGGACCCGCAGGCAGAAGCTGTTTTGAATCTATACAACGCACTCAGCCATTACGATTTTGACGCCACACCAGAGTCAAGGGTAGTCCCGAAACTACTGCGCGGCGGCCTGGAGGCCTGGGTAGGTTTAGTTGGCAGCGGGAGTCTCCAGTCGTCGACCACAGCCACTACATCAGGGACCTCGACAACGCCGATGGTGCGGTCTTTCGCGAGCCGTCGCCGCCAAACGTACGTGACCCGACCAATCCAGGACGCAGCCGAGGCGAAGCGGTGGGAGGAGACTATTGCAGAGGCCGGTGGGATATCACCCATTCGAACCACCGAGGACTTTCTGCGCCGTTTCCCTCCGATCTCCGAGCACCGCGAGTCCATGGTCTCGTCGCCCGTCAGCCCCCCAGCCAGCCGACCGCAAAGCCCATTCCACTCGCGATTGTCCCACGAGGAAAACCTCTACACCTCGCTTCCCTCGCCGCCTATGCGCCCTCCTCCGGCAATTCCCCGCCGAAGTTATAGTGGGCTGGCCGAAGCCGAGGACAGCGCCGTCGTGATGGCGAAGAAAGCCGGGGCGCAAGCCGTAGATGGCGTCGAACGGAAACACCGTACCGGGCTGCAAAATCCGGGGGTCTTTTGCTTTGCAAACAGCTCGCTGCAAGCCATGTTCGCTACGCCGGGCTTCGCGCAGGAGGTGTGGACCGGCGCTTGGAAGGGGGTGTACAAGGTGCCTATGAAGCCGGATGAGAACCTTGAGAACCCGCAGCTACTGACCAAGTGTCTGGCCAACCTGTTTCACTGGCTCAACCAGGGGTCGTTCCAGTCGCTCGCGGCCAAGACGTTTATGGTAAGTTCCTCTATCCAGGTTACACGGGGCTTGTCTTGCCGTAGTCGTCCTCGCTAACCTAGCACAGGAATACATACACTTTATCCATGCCAAGAATGTGGATGGTAGCAGGAAGTTGGACTCCGAAGTCTTCGGCGGTTGCTCGCAGCAGGACGCCCAAGAATTTTACTCGTTCATCATGGACAACATCCATGATGAGACCAACATCCGGCGCGACCGAACCCCGCCCAAGGAGGACAAGCAGTACACGCCGAAAAACGGCAGCATTATCCAGAATGCCATCGCCTACTGGCGTGACTACTCCCAGTACAGCTCCTCACTCATCGACAAATACTTCCGCGGCCTCGAAGTCTTCATCTCCCGCTGCCAAAACCCCGCCTGCCGGCAAGAAATCCGCCTCTTCCAGCCCTGCGACGTCTGGATCCTCAATCTCGCCGGCATGGGCGATATCACCGACCTCGATGCCCTCCTAGCGAACCATCAAACCTCGGAACATTTCCCAGACCTCATCTGCGAGACCTGCAACACCCCCGGCCGCATGCGCAAAGCCCGCTTCGCCCGCCTCCCCGACCGCCTCGCCTTCTGCCTCAACCGCTTCAACAGCGCCGGCGCCGGCGGTGACTTCGGTTTCGGCAGCCGCCTGCTCCCCTCATCGTCCGGGAAAATTCACTCCAAAGTCCGTTTCCCCATCCGCGATCTCGATCTCACGCGGTACTGTGCCGAGCCAGACCCGCAACAAACCAACGGCGCGACAGACCGGCATTTTGCGGGGTCGATGGTGTACGATTGTTATGCGGTGACTGTGCATGTCGGGCCGGGGATTAATGGCGGGCATTATTACAGTTATGTGCAGGATGAGATGTCGAAGGATCCTACGGACTGGTTTAGGTGTAATGATGACGTGGTTAGTCGGGTGAAGGTTGCGGGTGGAGGGGGGAGGGTGCTGGGGGATGTTACGGAGGATATGTACCAGAATGGCAGTGCCTCGGCGTACATGGTTTATTATCGGCGGAGGGGGACGTGATTTGGGGGTTTGCTGGTGGTCTGCGGGTGATTTGCTGGGAGAGGCTGAATTTGGTGCAACAGGGGAATGTTTCTGTTCCTTTTTTTGGATTTTTTTCGAGATTTCCTGTGGGATGAATTAGGGGATCATACTTGCACTTGTTTGTCACTTGTATGGGGAGTTTCGGGGACAGATGGTTAGAAGAAGCATTAAACAACGCATCATCAGCAGAGGGACATCAAAGAGGGGGAGGACAGCGAGCAAGTTGCTTTTGCCTACGGGTATTTCTACTAGCAAGCTTTATTTACAACAAGCAGCAGCAAGCAGCAGCAGACATCGGGCATCAGACATCAGAGTTAGCATTTTATCACGATACCTCCGTTTTAGAACGGATCACTAGTTATTTGGCTTGACTCTTATCCATTGATCTGTTGATCCATTGGAACGAAATGTTATTTGCATTGATTAACTCCTTAACGTTATCGTCATCATCATAGCACAACCATGACTTGTGAGATCCATGCCACATGCCACATGTCCAATGCAGAAATGAGTAGTAGACAATGAAAAGGAGAAATGTCCCTATGCTCAACCACAACGCCAGTTTAAACGTCCCTTTTTACAGAAACCTCATGCGGATCATGCAACCCAGATTGATCAAAACTAGGGGAAATATGAGACCCAAACCGGAGATGCTCTCTTTATGCGACTCCTATTTGCCCTCGACACAAGCCTTGATCTCCTTGGCATACCGTTCGCGGATCGCCTTGCGATTGAGTTTCTGCGTTGCTGTGACCAGGCCCTGTTGAGAGTTAGTCTGTCAGTCTCGACTAAAGATAAAATCGAAACAAAAATAGAAAGAAGAGAAAGATAGAAACTCACATTCGCCGGCGTCCACTCCTCCTCAACCAAAACCACCCCCGCCACAGTCTCCATCCCACTCAACCCCTCCCTCTTCGCCACCTCCTGCAACGCCTTCAACACCACCCCCCTCACCCTCTTATCCTTATACATCCCACTCCCCCCCTCAGCAACCCCCAACTCCCCGGCCTTCTTCGCCAACTGCTTCTCATTCACCGCCACCACCGCCACCGGCCGCGGCGAGCTACTATCCCCATGCACCATCAAATTCTGCACATACGCCGCGCCGCGGTAGATCGCCTCCAGTTTCTCCAGCGCAATATACTCCCCGCCCTGGAGCTTAACCAAGTTCTTGACCCGATCAATAACACTGACATGCCCGTCCGCCTCAAACTGCCCGATATCCCCCGTGCGGAACCACCCATCAGGCGTGACCGCCTTGGCCGTTTCCTCCGGGTTGTCGAGGTACTCCCTTAGCACCGGCGCGCCGCGGATGAGGATCTCCCCCTGCGGCGGGGAGGAAGTAGCGGAGTAGTTTAGCTCCGGGAGGGAGACAAGTTTGATTTCGACGGCGGCGGGGATGGGGCCGATGGCCTGGCCGGAGGAGGTCCATTGCAGCGGACAGCCGAGGGCGCCGTTGCCGCAGGTTTCGGTGAGGCCGTAGCCGGAGAGCATCGGGGCGATGACGAGGGACATGAAGTGCAGGGTTGGGTGGGCGATGCCGCTGGCGCCGTTGACGATGAAGCGGAGGCGGCCGCCGGTGACGGCGCGGACGCGGGAGAAGACGGTGTGGTCGAGGATGGAGGCGAGGTGGGGGAGGTTGTGGGAGACGAAGAAGGATTTGAGGGAGAGGGCGGTGTGGAAGAGGGTGCGGGTGAGGGGCCCGGCGGCGTGGACGTTGGCTTCGATGCCCTTTTTGACGGTTTCCCAGATTTGTGGGACGCCGACCATGATGGTGGGCGCGAAGGTGCGCATGTCGCCGTGGCAGTTGCGCATGCTGGTGTCGGCGAGGGTGCGCGGGGAGCCGTAGCCGAGGGTGGCGCCGACGAAGACGACGAGGTTTTCGAGGACGAGTTCGAAGATGTGGGCGAGTGGGAGGTAGGCGAGGACGTACTCTTGGTGGGTTACGGATTCCTCCATGACGGTGTACAGGCCTGCGACGGCGGCTACGAAGCCCGCGTGCGTCACGGGGACACCCTTGGGCGGGCCCGTGCTGCCGGAGGTGTACATAATGCAGTAGGTCTGCTCCGGGGTTGGTGGGACAGGGTCGATGGGGTTCTCCTCGCCCAGGGCACGCAGCTCGCCGAAGGAGAGGACGGTCAGGTGCGAGTGGGCGGCCTTGAACTGATCGATCTCGGCGTCGGACACGGACAGGTGGGATTCGTTGTTGTAGATGAGCACTTTGACGGTGTTGGCCGTCTGGAGGGGCTTCTTGATCGTCTTGAATAGGTGCGGGTCAACAAACATGGCGTCGGCCTTGCTCTGCACCAGCGAGTGCTCCACGCCGGCCTCGCCCAGTGTGTCGTAGGCCGTCACGATGGTCAGCGACTGTGACGAGCACGCGTGGGCGATCGTGAGCCATTGGGGGCTGCCAACAAGTCAGCAACCGAACAGTAAGCAGCCTGGTTGAAACACCAAGCAAGTATCTCTCACCTCGTGCTCGCAAAGATATGCAACCGCTCATCCGCCTTAAGCCCCAACTTCCGCAACCCCGCCCCAACCTGCAGCACCTGGTCAAGATACTCCCGGTACGTAATGTAAGTGTAGTCCGACAGCTCATAGTACGTCCACTCCTTCTCGACCTCCGTGGTCTGCCCGTCAACCACCTTGGGCACCTTCTTCTTCTCCTTGTGCACCTGGATCAACTTGCGGCTTCCCACGGCCGGCTCGTTGCCATATTTCTCGGCGCTGCGCTTCAGCAGGTCGAAGGTGGTGTTCACGCCTGGGGCTGGGCGCTCGATCAAACCGTCTTTGGCCTTGGGGTGGCGACGCGGGATTGTCTCGCCCTCGACTGGTTCGACGTCGGGGGCCTCGATGGTGTAGGGAGGTTTCTGCACCTTGCGGAGGGGCGTTGGCGCCGCGCTGTATGTGTACGTCATGTTTCTTCGAGTCCGCGGGTGTATTTTCTTTCCTTTTCTTTAGGGTTGTTGTTTTTGTAAGAACTACTCCGGTTGCTCTAGATGTCCCCCCGGTCAACTCTTAAAAAGAGTTCCGCTGTGCGCTTATTTTATTCTTTCGTCGGCCGTGATCGTGGCGCAGAGCTCGTTGACGAGCCGAGGTTTGGCGACTGTGCACGCTCGGTGAAACCGGCCTCGGCTGGCGTTTGCACCCTGCAGCTTGTGTCGATTTTGCACCTCGCCTGCAGCTGATCAATGCCCAAAAGCCGATTGTGCGGGCCAATTTGTCTCAGTGATTATGAAGGCGGTGGGCTTTAGAGTAAAATGGTTCTCGGATAAAAAGAGGAGAGGAAGAGGTTCACAGTTATCAGTTGATGAGAAATCAACAGATTTTGTTGTTTTATACGTGTTTTTTCAACTTGGAAGGCGGGGCAAGACATGAGGTTTCGGTTCAGCGCCCATTTTCCGTTTATCATTACTTCTTCCCGATTTCCGGTATGCGGGTAGCTTAATCTAGCTGATCGTGGAAAGCTGAAAACATGCGCAAATGCCTTGTTGGCAAGTCGTCTGGCCAAAAGAAAATGACTTCAACACCTCTCAGCTTTCTCAGTCCTGGGAGCAGCACAATGACGTGGGCGAACAGCTCGAAGTGGGGTGTTGACTGAGAGCGAGGTGGGCAAGTGGGGCTGGAGGGAATGTGCCTCGGAGCTTTCCATGCCAAGCCTCTGTCAATCGCGAGGGATCCCATCGACAGTTCGGGCGCTCCAGGGCCTCGGCTCCATTCCCGGCAAGCCCCACATTACTGCTGCGCAACAACTTACCACGCATTCACGGACATTGGAAATTCGTCGCGTTTTATCTCCGTGACATGGGAAGTCTTTCCATGTTCCGTAGGGCTGACTTACTATATAGTAAGGCGAAATCATAGCCAGGACTGGCTTAACGACATTAGCCGTTCAGGCCGACTCAACTGTTACGGATGGACAAAACTGCGCGCCGACTTTATCGCCAAGAAGAACGTGGGATATACGCCCAAGAATGACGGCGGCGCACGGGTGGGTGTTGCACGGCGTCTGTCCAGCACCAGTTGCCGTGGAGGACTGCGCATGGAGTGGTTGAATGCGACGAGTTGGTGGTAGAATCGCCCAAGTTGAGCGCTTCGATCTCGCCCTGTCTTCAATGCTGCAAAGACCGACGGCATTTTACCATGAGGATGGAACGTTGAAAGGTGTGGGTGTCCTCCCAGATCCTTCCAAGCTTCCAGTACGCGCAGGCGGTATAAGGGTGGACTTCGTCAAATGTGCGAATCCGAACTTCTAGCGCTCGGTGGTGGTGCTCCCGCGCTTCTGCTTTCATACCTCGTGCCCAGAAAACGTTGCCTTGGCAGTAAATATTTCGAGCGTCCATTTCCCTGAGGGTTTGAGAGTCGTTAGCATTGGAATCTCTCTTTCAAGTACGCGGAGACATGTACAATTTTTGCTCAGGAGTCATGCTTTGCGATGTTACCGAGGTAAGCTCAATCGACTTTTTGATGAACGCATCAGCTTTGTCAAGCTGGCCATCGTGCAGGGCCGCAAGCGCGACGTTGTGGTAGGACATAGCAAACATCTGAATCTGCTCATTGGGGCGGCCCGCCCGTTGCGAGATAGACTTCTCGCCGAGTTCCAGGGCCTCTTGAACACGCCCAATACCTACGGCTGCCGTGCCGAGCCCCATGTACGAGTTAGCAATCTGTGAGTGCTTCTCATCCATCAATCCGGCTTGTACCGCGTCCAGCCGGAGGTCGAGAGCCAACTTGAGACTCTGATAGCTTTCTTCCAGCTCGATGCCCTCTAGCTGCACGCCGCCAATGACAGTCCATAGATCTGCCGGGAGGAGGCGCGTTTCATACGGCAAAGCCATAGCGATGTCGAGTCCGGTGCGTGCGAGCTTAACGGACGGCCCAAACATGCCTCGTTCGTACATTGACCTGGTTTATTATCAGCCGCCATTTCTGCACTCCTACCAGCGCAACGAGCTTCTGGCTTTGCTATCTCAAGGGTTATTTGCAGCACTCACCATGAACCGTAGTATGCCAACTCTGCCAAGTGCAGTGACTTGTAACCCGCCGAAGACGTGAGTTCGTGGTACCTCTTCCCAAGGGCCTCAACGTGGGGTAGATAGCATTGAGTGAGATGTAGAACAGACCGTTTTGAGACTGTTTGGGGAAGATGCTCCAGATAAGGTCGACGGCTGCATCGAAAGCGTTTCGGAGGTCTTTCTGGTCCATGCGGAAAATTGTGGCTTCTTGGACAAGGCGATGGACACTGAGCGTTGAGCGGTCACGGCGAATGAGAGAGTAACTGGAGACCCCTCGGAGCTTTCCATGCCAAGCGTCTGTCAATCGCTGGGGCTCCAGGCGTCCAGCCAGCCACTAACTGCACCACCACCACGGGCAAGACGGGTAACCCCGAAGCCCCTCCCAGGGCCTCCATTGGCTGCCCCACATTGCTGCTGCTTCCGCGACAAACACGCATTCGCTGATGGTGGAATTTGGTTGAGAGTTATCTCCGTGACATGGGAAGTCTTTTCACGTAGGGCTACCTTACATATGCACTAAGCCTCCCAAGAGTGCGCGTCCAAGGTGTCGGAAGAGGACGATCCCCTGCTTCCCTGGTCCTCGGGAGAAATAGTTCCATTTCTTACTTCCAGGAGTCCTCTCGCGATTCCCAAAATGGACGTTCTTTCCCCTGAGTCTCGCTCCGACCTATCTGCCGGGCCGTCCGCCCTTCGCGACTCAACGTCTCAGTCGGCCCTGTTGCAGCTGCCACCACCTGCCGGACAGCCAAAACTTTAACAGAAGTGCGCCCTTCGGTCCCTTGCGCCCCCGTTGCTGCACTCCGGCTCACTGTGACGATCCTTACCATCAACTTCTGGGCCCCAATCAGACAATCAGAGACCGTGAACACGAGGCCGATGGAACCATGTCGTTGCGCAGGCATTTGCTTGGGCTGTGTGGGTTTCTATTGCCCAACGGTTTCGACCTGCCAGAAATTGACAAGCCCCTCCTGGCCGACGACGCGGTGGCGTCGGCTCTTTCTGGGAGACCGCTTCATGACAAATTTGTCGACGTCGTCGTTGTTAACAGTAACTATCCGTAACTGGCCGATATCTCCATTAACTCCTGTGTAACCTTTTACTTTTGTGACTCTTTTCCCCCGGTTTACCTACCACCGCGTAGCTGATTCACCACGTCCTACTTTATCCGTGGTTATCTTGCACTACATTGCCTTCTATTGCGGTACCGTACCTAGTTAATTACACGATCTCCTATTTTTCTGGGTTGTTTGTTCGGTTCCGCCCGGCTTACCGCTTGGAGCGCGCCTAGAAACGCGATGGATTCGGAGAGCCCGGACGTGGATCAGGACCCGGATCACAATCAGCACCTCGACGCCACCGGCTCGCCGGATTCCGGGCACTCCACCTCCTCCGATGCAACGGCAGACACGTCTCCGGCCGAGTCGGCCATTGTGGTCGCCGTGCGCCGCCGGCCGATCCCGAGAAAGGGGCATACCAAGTCCCGGCGCGGTTGCTTCAACTGCAAGCGCCGCAAGGTCAAGTGCCAGGAAAACCGCCCGGAGTGTTCCAACTGCACCCGCATCGGCCTCGGTTGCGAGTACCCGGACGCTCCCTCACGTCTCTATGTCGCGGCCGACTCGTCGTTAGCCGCCGTTCCCTCGCCACATGCCCCGCTGCAGTCGACACCAACTCTCTTCACCGCGAGTGACATGCGCTTCTTCCACCACTTTTTAGTTTCGGCTTATCCACCACTACCCATCCGTGGCGATGATTTATGGAGGGAAATCGCGCCTCTCTCACATAATGTTAGTCCTTTTTCCTCCCTCACATACCTCCACACCCCACACACCTGGCTAACCCCCAGCAGTATGACTACCTGATGCACGCCATGCTTGGCCTCGCAGCCTCGCACCTTGGCATCTACGGCGTCCAGTCCTCCTCCGAAGCCCTCACCCACCGCGTCAAAGCCATCAACCTCCTCAATCAAGCCCTCGGCAGCCCACCCCGATCCACGGCCGAAGGTGACGCCCAGTTCGCCGCCATGTTCGCCCTCGCTTTCCAAGCGTCCTGCATGCCGGACGGCATGAACGAGTTCATAGCCATGATCAAGGGTTGCCACGTCGTCGGGTCCACCGCACTGATCACACACCCCGATTCGTTGTTTTGGAGCTTCACCCAAGAGCACTACAGTGATAGGATCCGCTTGATCCTCGGACTAGGCCCCGTGGGACTCACGCCGGAGCAGGACGCGCTCATGGACGATTTCCTCGACTCCCTTCACGCGCTCGCCCCGTTGTGTACTAGCCCGCTGGAAGTCCGCTTCCTCGCGTCGACCGAGAGTCTCGTGAAAACCACCAAGATCTCTGCTGCTGAAGGTCAGTTTCGATCTCTCTAACTCCCCGCATCCATCCATCTTTACACCCAAACTCAAACTCACACACTCAACTCTCACAGCCGTCGCCCAATTCCCCCACCACTACGCCGTGATCAACAACGCCACCCCGGAAGAATTCGCCCCCTTCGTCAACCCAACGCACTACCCGGCCCAGCTCCTCCTCATCCACTTTGTTCTGATCGAATACGCCATCGGCACCTTTGCGCTCGGCGCTGCCGGCGAGCGGTTCGCCTACCGCGAGAAATCGTGTGTGGCGTGGATGGCGAAGCTCGAGGCGGATTTGCCGGGTGAGTATCGGCGGTATGTTGAGTGGCCGGTGGAATATGTGAGGAGGGAACTGATTGGGGGGAGGGGGGTATTGGTGGGTTGAGGGAATGAATAGAGCGGTTGGCTAGGTAATCGAGGAGTTGTTGAAAGAGGCGCTTTTATTGTTGGTTGACTGAACTGGGGGGATGGGTTGGGTCTGGTCGATTTGGACCTTGGGTATATTTGGCATATAGGAATGGTTTAGCTTCATTTTGATATCCCGCGTTGCTCTTAGATATGTCTGGCAGTTAGTTGACTGGATTTCGGCGAGACTGGTAGAGTTAGGCGGTTGTTAGGGTATTTGGGACGAAGGAGCATGCAGGAAGAGGGAATATCGTGGTTGTCTAGTTTTGGGACCCCCAACCAGAAATGTCAGAGCATATAAAGCATATAAGTAGTTACCCAAGAAAGAGCACAACAACAAACAAAAAGAGAACAGAAGAAAAAGCCCTGCCGTGTGATGATTAGAAACGGCATGCCACCAGCTGCCTCATTAAGAAATAAAAAAGATCATCACCACCAAAAATTACGGGCTACACGAAGAATCCGACGAATGCGACTGCTGCTGGTTCTGCGCCGAAGGATTCGATTGCATGCCTGTGGCTGGCTGCATGGCGGTTTTGTCACTTGTGTGATGCATCGCCCTCGCATTTGCGGTTTGCACTCGAATTACCCATCTTAGTTTGTTTGTCCGATGACTCAATGATTATTAGTGTTCTGATGCAGACAAGATTTCGACTTGGCAGTGGAGAAGGTGATTAATTACTGATGAGGTTGGCTTTCAGCAGTTGGGACTTGTGAAGAGAAGCAGGGTTTGGTTTTCCCTTTGATCGCGTTCTTCATTACCAATGGACCAAATCTGAGTTTATCAAGCGTGTCCTCACATCTATCACTGTCGATCATATCGACAATTCTGTTCTCGATCCTGTCGTGATTGCGTCAATGACGGTACCCCCAATCTTATCTCAAATCACCTTGCCAAAACTTTCTGGGCCGTCATATCCTCGGACTTCAGCTGTTGCTCCCTGTTTTTTCAAATGATAAAATTGTCCTGGTCGCTTGGATCGTTCCACAGAGAACTAATGACATGAGTGTAAAAGACATTGCACCCAACCCAACATCATCCCTGCACAACTGTAGGCACACGCTTCTTCGTGCCCTAACCCATGCCCTCTCGGCGATCCAGCCCTCCGAGCCGGTCGAGGAGTAGCTAGATCAGGAGCAAATTAACCTGCTGCAACACAGTGATTGGCTCTCTAACAACAAATTGATCGAGAGTTACAACCGATTCTTAGGCAATTCCAACTCTGCAAGATACCAGTAAAACAGTTTTACGTTGGTAGGATCGCGATAAATCAATGATCAACCAGCCCCCCTTATGATTCGAGGACGGTCTTGACATTTTCAGAGGCTTGGTCTAATTCTTGGTTGACAGTCTCCCGTTAAATCCTGTGCTTTTTTTCATGAGTCAAAATCGATTAGCCGCGAAGGAGAAACTTACCATGTCGTCTGCCACCGAGGCCCAAGGAGATGGATCTTGGGCGTCAGCTATATCAAGATGTAACGATTCACGTCATGTGCTGCCGATACCCCAGAAGGCGGAGACCGTTCACATCCGCTGCTTTTTAGGTATATATTCACAATCTCATTTGCTCCTGGGGGCCTGGACTGTGGAACTCTGGCACCTGCTGTGTCGTGAAACAATCACGATGTTTGTTGTGGACGCGGGAAAGAGCTGTTCTTGAATCCTGTTTACTCCCGTGTTCCATCCTCCACCTCAACAACTTGCTCGAGATATATTCAACATCTCATCTGCTGCTGATGGCCTGGAAAGTGGATATTCAATCCCCGCCACATGGTGATGCATTCACGATGTTCTTTGTCGAAGTTAGAAGGGGTGTTTCTTGAATCTTCCTGATCTCCTTCTCGCTCCCTTCCTTCCAGAAACTTTCTCGAGATATCTTCCACTGTCATGTGCTGCTGATAATCTAGGAAATGGACCTCCGGTGCCCGCTAGATCGAGATATATTCACGGTGTTCTTTGGAGGACGGTGCTTTCTTAAACTTAAGTTCTTTTCCCAGATCCTCGCTCCCTCACTGAGAATCCGAGAAGCGGATCTCGGGCACCTGCTGTGGCTCTGGCACTCATTGTGCCGAGATACATTCACGATGCTCCTTGTCGACGTAAAAAAGAGCCTGTTCTTGAATCCTAACGCTGCGGTCACGGACGGCCCCGGAAGCAGTTCTCTGGCACTCGTAGTGCTGAAATAATATACCTAATAAACATGTCGTGTACTGCTGAAAACCCTGGAAGCGGGATATATTCAAGATGTCCTTGTCGACGTGAGAGATTCCAGTTCTTGAATCCTGTTCCCCCTCTGGCACTGGTTGGGTCGAGATATTCTCGCGATGTCGTTTGTCGACGTGGGAGAAAGCAGTTCCGGAAGCCCAATACCCTCCTCCCTCCCTTCACAGAACCGGAACGCGGATCTCGGGTACCCGCCGCATCCTTCCACCTGCTGCGTCGAGTTATATTTTTGATGTTCTTTGTTGGCCTGGGCAAGAGCCGTTCTTGAGGCTATAAATTTCCCACTCGTTCCCTTCACCTCTCCAACTTTCTCCCCTCTTCAACCACCTCTGGCTGTTCCCAGCCGAACATCTCAACACCAGCAAAGCCTTGGATCATGGTTAAGTGTGCGTTATTTTAGGGTTGTTCTAACATTGAATAGCTCACGAAGAATCATATATAAGGTAAGCCTTGGTGTTGAAGTTATTCACTGCCCAGCTTTTTCGCTTTTTTCTTTCCTAGAGATTTCGTTTGCTTCATTCCTAGAGATTTCGTCCCCTTCGTTCACATTTTCCTCAATTCCTTTGTTCCCAGAGATTTCGTTTTCATTGTTCCCCGAGATTTCGTTTTCTTCGTTCACATTTTCCTGGAGGTTTTCATTCTCAGAGGTTTCGCTTTCTTCATTTTTTCAATCCCAGAGATTTCGTTTTCTTCGTTCACATTTTCCTGGAGGTTTTCATTCTCAGAGATTTCGCTTTCTTCTTTCTAAACTTTATCGCCTTCTTCCTTCACAACTTCCTCTCTTCTTTCTTCCCCAGAGTTTTCGCTTTCTTCTTCCCAAACCTTTTCGCTTTCTTCCTTCACAGACTACCCAGTAGGCGTGAATTACTAAACCTCTCTATCACTAGACACATCCTCAAAGACCTCATCATAGCTTCCCTACCCACCGAAGAGCCGCAGATCAAAGCCGAGTCGACGGACACGCCCTTCCCGCCTGACCAGCCGTTTTCCTGGGGGGACTGCTCCGGCCAAGACATTGTTACTCGGGTTTTCGTCAAACAGCGAGCCCTCGACGACGCCCTGAAACATGCCTCGTGTATATGCGAGGTGCTCAAGCTTTTGGAGGCGGCCGATAACATGTCCTTGACCGCGGAGAGGCCTGATACTCGCTGCGGAAAGGGGCTGCTGGCTTGGAAGGATGAAATCGGTTTGTCCAACACCTACACTTCCAGAATGGGCTTGATTGATTACCTATCCATACTGACGATGATATGTCCACGATACAGAAAAGCTCCAAATCATGGCACGGCGGTTTGAGGTTCTCATCGGAGTTGCCGGGAGGACCGGCGCCGGCAAGAGTTCGATTCTGAACATGCTCCTGGGAATTCTTGAGCTTCTTCCCTCTAGCAACTCCGAGGCGGCTACCTCTTGCGCCTGTAGAGTGTCATGGAACGATGACGATGACCCGGCCGCGCAGTTCAAGGCCGAGATTGTCTTTCGATCCTACGGTGATGTGCGGGAGGAGCTTCTGCGCATCTATGACACTATCCGACAACACCGCAACCTAGACGAACAAGAGTCGGACGACGAAGAGAACGGCAATTCTTCTTTCGAGAGAATGGAGGAGATCGCTGAGCTCCGGACCGCGATCTAGGCGTCCGCAGACCAGTTTGCCGAGTCCGTCAAGCCTTATCTTGACTCATCCCAGAACTTGGAGGGCTTCCGGGCTTGGCCTTTGATTACCGAGGTGAGGCTTTTCGTGAAGGCTGATTTCCTCAAGCAAGGGCTTGTCATGGTTGATCTCCCGGGCTTGTCGGATGTGGTACAGAGCCGCGCGGACGTGGCCACCAAGTTTGCGCGCAAGATCGATATCACAGTCATCGTCACGCCGGCTCGTCGGGCCATCGACGAGAAAACGGGAGTGCAGTTGATGAGCGACTACCAGACGCTGCGCATGCAGCTCGAGGGCAAGTATCACAAGAAGAGCTTCTGCGTGGTGGTGTCCCAGGTCGACGAGATTGACTGCGACATCTTCATGACGAGTGATGTCAGGGCCAGGAGGAATGAGCTCCTCCAGGCCGATACTGCCCTCATCACCACGCTCACGGGAAAGTCGGCCGAGCTCGAGGGAAACCATCGATACCAGACTGCGGAGTTGGCTAGAGCTAAGGCGAAACTTGCGAAGCTCGAGACCAAAATAGCAACTCTTCAACTGACTGGCGGCGGGTCTCAGAAGAAGCCTATGCGTAAGTCATCACTCGCTCCTCCATCTACCTCTCGCCCCACGGAAGCTATTGCTAATGAACACGGCTACAGCGAAGCATATCCAGCAACGGCTGGCCAAAGCCTTGAGCTCCAAAAAAGAGCTCGAAAAGGGTCAACAGCAACTCCAGAAAGCCGTCGATCGCGCCGCTCAAAAGCAAGGCGAACACGACCGAGCCCTCCGCCTGACCCGGGGCCGGCAGAAATGGGAATGTGTCTGGCTGCGCAACCAACACATTATCGAGGCCATCAAGCGCGATTTCGCCCAGCGGCAAAAGACCCTCGCCCGGGGCATGAAGAACCAGAGCGAATACGACGGCTCTGTGGACGTCATCCCCGTCTCAGCCACGGCCTTCCGCGACCAGCTCAAGGGCCGCGAGCCCCTCGGCTTCATGACCGCCAAGCACACGGGCATTCCCAAGCTCCGCCAGTTTCTGGGCGACGTCACCCTCGAGAAGCGCGAGCAGCGCCTCGACGCCATGCTCAACACCCTCCGGCGTCTGTTTCGGACCATCCACCGCTGGACCTCGCCAGACGCTCAGCAGACGAACCTCTTGCTCTCCCGGGACACCATTGAGAAGGACCTGACCGAAGCCCATAAGACCTTCCGACAGGTAAGACCCCTCCACGGATACCTAACCCTGAGTCCCCGATACGGACCTATCTTTCCTCTGAACCAAGAGACCGGACGGAACAGCTAACCCAGTCTAACCAATGTCCACAGGGAATCGAGCGGGAGCTTGAAAAAGGTCGGAAGGCTGTCAAGCGAGTAGACCCGTTCTATTATACCGAAGACACCCCATCCGGCCTATCTCGCAGTCAGAACCTTGCAGCTAAGGCCGCACTCCGTTGGGCGATGAAGTTCCCTGAGAACCAGACATTCTCCCAGATGATGCACTAGAGCACTTACAACGCCATCCTCAAACGCGACGGCGGCCCATATCACACCGCCCGCGGCAGAGCGGAGAGGAGGGAATATAACTTCCCTGAGTCAATGTAAGTCACTCCACCCGCAACCATCCCTGGTAAACCAGCGTTACTAACCACCTGCTTCTAACGCCATGTCCTTTAGGACCCCCACACTGCTCTCAATCCTCCTCAACAGCTGGCACCAAGCCTTCCGCATCGAAATGCCGCAGACCGAAGCGCCCATCCTCGACGGCGTAGCCCGCGTCTGGAAGGCCTACCTCGACGAGGTAGACTCGCGGGTGCGCACCGCCGCCGAGCTCGACAATTGTCTCAAGACGGTCGGTGGCGTCCAGGATGAAGTGCGCGATCGGGTGAAGGCGGCGATTCGGGAGCTGGCGGATTGTTCCAGGGAGGTGCATCCGGAGTTTTTGGAGAGTGTGAGGGGGCATTTGAGGCCGATGTTTGCTAATGCTTTGGCGATGAGAGGTAGGTTTTTGGCTCTCAATTTCGAATCCCTCTAACAGCCTGATGGCTTCCACTAGAGCATCGCTAACTAAATAATCCAACAGGCCGCGGCCAATACAAAGACCGCCGCGAGCACCTCTACCTCAAAGCCAGAAAACCGCCGACCACATGTTCTCCGAAGGCCAAGCCAAAATGCGCTCCGCCTACCAACACCACCTGCAGCAGCTCGGAACCACCTTCCGAGCCACAGCTGCCTTCGCCACGGAGAAAACTGCCTCCGAAATCACCCTGCTCCTCGACCGACTCAGCGGCGGCAGCGGCAGCGACAGCGGCCTAACACCCTCCTCGGACGGGTGGACAGCCGAGGGCATGGACGAGCCGGCGCAGAAACGGGTGCTGGGCAGCGTGAATGGGTGGGGCCGGGATTGGTGTTTTCCGAATTCCTACAGGTATTTCGCGATATTAGCCCCAATCAAGAATGCTTAACAACATAGCGTCACTGAGATGCAACCTTGAGGGTGTTGGTTCTGGAAATGAGTTGGGAAAGAACTGGGAGCTTGAAGAGTCAGCATCGGCTACCGTGTCGGAACGTCTGCCGTGAAACATTGCCGGCTAAGGTCAAGAATTGGGGACAGTTCTCACCTGGCAAAACATCTGGCAAGCCATGGTAGAGTTTTCCAAACCAGGAGTTACAATTTTATTAAACAACACAATCCTGTTCCGCTGCCCAAATTCAGAATTCCATTTAGAGACTAGAGTTCAGGGTACACTTAGAGTTTGTCAATATTTCTTGATATTGCCCTTGAAGGAGCGCACAGAGGTAATTTAGGATGACGAAATCTCAGTTGTAATAGAATGGAAACGGACCAAACACTGGATGAGATCAATGGCATTGGTCTCTGTTGAATTATATGTGTCTGGGTGGTTCACCTCCGGTATGCTCTTGCCTTCAAATTTGACGGGTCACTGTTATCATCTGATTAATTAATTATTAATGAATAAAAATTTAGGGAAAAAAATGAAACGAACAGGGTTTGAAAGCGAGAACTGTGGTCAGCCACCCCCAGGGGAGCCTTTTCACACTGGGAGGGGACCGACTAGGTACACAGCTCTTAACCACTACACTACCAGCAGGTGTGATCCTCGTGATTTGCTTTGTTGTTGGAAACTGGTAGCACCGACCTGCCCTATATACCGTCACCTGCCTCATTTATCATCAATTGGTCCTATCCCTTGCAAACCCTTCGGTATCAATACTTGAAATCGTAATCAGACTTACATGCTCCTGATGATGTTAAAACCAATGAAGGCGCTGCATTTTAGACTGAATGTACCATAATTAGCGGACCTCGGGATATTGTTCTTGGGTGATTTTATACCGTATCGAAGTTCCCTCGATTGCCTTCGGATAGGCTTAAGGCTTCAAATAGAATACTTACCAAATGGGCGTGGTGGCTTTGGGACGGAGTCGAACTAGGGAAAGAGGTCATAAAGTCGATGGACGGGGCTATCGCTGCGGTATCCCGGCCGATTATAGTTGCGCGGAAACAACGTGTGGTGTAACATTTCTGTTATGAATTTCCGTTTCTCTTTTCTTTTTCGATAATCCTTCCAACAATCTCCTTCCTACTCCCGCCACTTCCTCGCAGCAACCCACCGAAACTTGACCCCATAATCCGGATCGCTCTCCCCCAGCTCCCCATTCCCCGCCGCCAGCGTCTCCGACTCCAGCACCTCAAACCCCGCGCCCCGAACTATCGCGATGTCTTGTTCACCCCATAACTGCTCCAGAACATCCCGCGGCCCAGAAACTCGCCGTGAATCTCCTCCATATCCACCGTCGCCAGATTAAACACAAACACCCGCCCGGCTTCAGCCACGCATGAATCTTGAAAAACATCTCCTTCTGCTCCGCACGCGGCAAGTGAAAGATAGTGAAGAAACACACCACGCCGTCGAACCCGCCCGGTCGGAAGTCGAGCAAGGCCATGTCCTCCTCAATGAACGAGGCCTCGGGGCAGTGGACGCGGGCCATCTCGAGCTGTTTGGCCGCGATGTCGTTGGCTACCACGTGAGCTCCGCGGTCGAGGAGCATGCGTGTCGTGGGGATGCCGGAGCCACAGCCGAGCTCGAGAATACGTGGTTTTTGGGGTGCTGTTGTTGGGAGGTTTTTGAGCAGGATGTTGGTGTATCGCTCACGGGGCGAGCTGGGCTGCTTGGAGACCCATTCTAGATACCAGGGGGCGATGTCATTATAGCCTCGGAGACGACGAGTTTGGGGTCGTCTAGCATCTCGACGGTAATCAGAATCTAAATTTGAAGCTGTCTATGTGCCTGGGGATTTGATCTATTTCATCCAGCCCCCTTCAGCCTCCGAGTTATGTATCGATGCACATCCATGTTGTCGTACTGTGTCTTGAACAATGTTCTTTGTTGTACCTTGCTGGAGACAACGGTCCGCTACAGCTAGGCGCATTCATCAACGGCAACGATACTTTCACATCAATACCCCCCAATGGGCACGAGAAAGCCATTCTCCTATGTTGACAGGTCTGACAGGCCCCGGAGTCGTCTTCGGTTCTTCAAGCAACTTCTCGCTCCTATCCGATGAAGAGCGAGTGTTGCATCTTTCACTCTTTGTGTGGTAGCACTTGGGTCCTGATACCCAGGAGTACTGTTCCTAGTGGTGCCCGTTTACTGTCGAACCGGAAAGGGGCGCTTAGTAGTAGCAGAACATAAACTCAAGCCAATCCGGATCATTTCCCCCCTGGTCATTGTTTTAGCATTCCATCTATTAGGATTTATTTCACCAGACGAGGAATCCGGCTTGGTCGTTTCTACATTGGGCACTGAAGACAGGAAAGTGGCAGATAGGATTAGGACAAAGAAGTTGAGGCCTCAGACCTGCCTCATCCCCACAGATAAGTAGTCGACAAAGCGTCATGCCATCTTCTATCCCTTTCTCTTTGTGCGCTCCGCATCACTATCATTACCAATATTCCCTCTTCCGTTTTCGTAACCGCCCAGCACGTAATCAACGTAAACCCCGCCCAAGTTAATGTTTCATCGCTCTTGCGTCTCCCCAGACTTCCCCATACTCTCCCACACCTGAAGACTTCACACGACCCGGTTCTTCCCTAGCTCCTCCCCAGGCAGTTAAGCTCTCTCGAATTTTCAGCCCTACGATGCAACCGGGTTGCGGGTCCTCTTCGCTGAGCCGACGAAACACCCGATTTCCTGACATGTGATTTGTTTCCCACCAAGGGTTTTAGTCCCTGTGGGGTCCATCAAGACCCCTTTCCCTGACAAACAGCACACACGCGACCGGCAAGTATGAGTGATGTCGAGCATGGGACCGAGCACGACGCACATGCTTGAAAGTCCGTTCGCTGGTGTTAAACATGTGAAATACACCGTTTCGGCAGACCGTTTTCCATCATCGCGGGGTTGGTTTGGGTGGAACTGGTGACGCTCCCGGACCTCTTCTCTTCCCCAGAGTCTAGACGAGATGGAAAATAGTAGAAAAAGGATACTGCAAAAAATAAAATAAAATGGTTTAATCCACAAAAACCAAATAGGAAACCCCTGCCCCCACCCTCCAGAATACTCGAAACTTCGGAGAACGACGCCCCAACCCCACACTACTCTGCCACATGTCACTGAACAACGCCCAGCCAGGTCAGGACATACAACATGACATCACCGCCGTAACCATCCCTTCTCGAATATCCTCGTTTATTGCTCGCAGGTGAACGACCTGACACACCCGCCTTGCCGCCTCAACGAGATGACGGCGCACGGTCAGCAGCAACGCAACAAACACCACCTAAATATCAGACCAGACCAAATACCCCGCCATTCTCAGACAAATCAGGAGGCTTCGATGTCGGGAACATTGCCACTTCCCTCGAGATCTCATCTGATGTAGACACACGTGTGCGGGTTATTCAGCTGCTGTGTGCAAACAATTTGGTGTTGTTTGTGTCTGTCTGTGGAACAGACGTTAATAATAATTACTTACCGAACTTGTCTGCTACTTTCGGACCGATCATCACCACATTGCCGCCTCGCATACAGGTCCCGAACGATCTAGGCGAATTGTCTAGGACGTATGAGGGTCGTGTGGATGGAAATTGTAAGCGTCAGAGTCAGTTACTGTTTTCTGAAACGTACGATGACCGTGTTGTGAGTTTGCCTTTTGGTGATCAAAGCGTTTGACGGCAACATGCGTTTACGGGGGTACTATCAGCGCTCAGTAACGATCAGATGGTCAGTATAGCGCGACTCATGCGTTCACCAAGATGACCTCCCATTTGGTATCCTTCTAGAGGAGGCGAGGCTAAACCGAGGTATCGCGTTGTGGCTCACGAGTAGAACATTCTACATTGTAAACGCAATATGTTCAGTCTGGGACTGTGCATGAGTTGCGGAGACTCAAGCTTCGGACACAAGGTGTATTCAGCAGCGCTAGTCTCTAAGTAACAGAACCGCGCGTAGTTCTAGAACCTATTCCCCACTGGTCTCGGGAGACTCAAGCAAGGCTTATACAGAGCTTACCAAGGTGGGCCGAGATCAAGACCTCAACACCACATAGTAAAACTGCCGGGCTAACATAAACCCCAACCTATGATGGAGACCGAGGCCTCCCGCCCAACTACCCACTCCGTTGGACATAGCACGGGAGTATGAGCGCACAAGAAAGAACGCGATAGGAAGAAACGCGAGCAGTTGTGGATACCACGCCTAGCAGATACAACAATAGCAACAGTGCGCCACAAACCCTCAACCACCGCGCGGTCGTGGCTGAAACTACGCACCTCGCCATAGTCAGGAGACTTCCCATCCGTCGCACGCCCAACTAGCTAGGTCGTCCCCCGCGCAAGGAGGAAGAAGGAGCCAGTGAGGTTTCGAAGAAGATCGAAGAAGAGGTTGTCCCCCACCCCGAGGACCAGGACGATGCCAGCTAGGCAAGGTGGCGTGGAAGCGGTACATGCCGCACGTATCAGCTACAACTGTCAAAGTACTATACTTACCTCTGGTTGTTTCCCCTCTTCTTCTTCTACCGATCTTGGAGACCTAGTCGAGTACGAGAGCGTGACAAACGCCCGTTTCACCTGATCCACAGGTCCCGATCCCCGTGCGTTGTGGGTTTCCCGACCCCTCGGGCCCCGCCTCCGGTCATGGCTCGGCATTTGTGTAGCTTCCCGGGCTGGCTCCTTTTAGCCGCGGCTGGGGTGGCTTCTTCGGCATTCGGGGGTCGGTTGTGGCTGATCTGGGGGTTTGAGGTTAACCGGCTAAGGGGGTTGTACCGATGTTCGAAATTCTTGGGGGCAAGACTAGAAGACGTCTACACGTGCAAGAATACGAGGAGGTAAACGTGCACTTATCGATACGCAAGTCTCATGAAGAATCCGAGAATCCGACTGGCTCAGTGAACGAGGAACAGCCGAGTGTGTTCGAGCACTTGGTCGCACGTCCTTTGCCCCTGACATCGTTCCCTCATCCCCACTCTGTGCGCTAGGGTGGGGCTCGTTGAAGGCTTCTAGAAGCTTTCCAGAACAGGGATTGTGTGGGGATCCGTTTCTTCTCCTCCGATGCGGGCGGAGGCGTTCGGCGAGGCGAAGTTGAGGGAGGACCGACGAAGGCCCGACTTCAGCTTTCGCGCGAAACCGTGCGGTTTGAGAACGAGGTGCGGTACAGAAGCTTTGCATAGTGTTGACAAGCATCTGTTGATGCCTTGTACTATCCCATACCGTTCTCGTTCCGTCTACTTTTATTGAATCGGCTACTAAAAATAAAAATAAAATAAAAAAATTAATAAGGCCCGACTCCTTCGCGACTTGAGTCGTCGGCTGTATCTCGGACCCTCAGGCGCACGCAATGCCTTCATTGTGGGAGACTCTTACTGGCATGGATGTGTTGTAAGTCAAAGACAGGGAGGTTTCGAGACGGTGTCTCTACAATCCGCGGGGTTCGTTTACAAGGTACGTCAGCTCTGTCTCTAAGGAACGAAGGTGTCACCTAACCTTCCGTTTTATCGCCGATAAAAAATAATAAAGCATTTATTTCCATGCGTCAATTCTTTTGTTGGGCCATGAAACCACTGAAGAAAGGCCGGCTGTGAGCTCGTTGCGGCGGTCCCCGCTTCCGTCGGCAAAGAAAAAGACTGGATGTTGGCTGTGGTGTCAATGCCCAAGGTCGGGCGGAAAGAGACCATGGTCTGGCCCCGAAAGGACGGTCAATCAGAAGGGGGAAAAGGTGGTGAGCGGGGCTCAACTCGCAATGATTTGTACACGATTCTAAGCCTTAAATCTACAGCCCTAAATACCTGCGGATGAGGCGTGGGGTGTAGGAGAAAGAGGTAGCGGGCAGCCTCTTGATAAGTTCTCCCACCATGAGGACGGCCAACGATGCAACACACCACATCTGCACCTCTCTCAATCGAAATTAAAACTCTGCGTTGGCAAAGGAGTTTCAAGGAAATCCATTGCCCAACGAGATTCAGGCAGGAGCTACCCCTCCATGTTCCCCGACTTGCAGGTCGCTTCCCGTGCTGTTGCCATGTCATGCATGAGGTTGGAAGACGTCCCTTGCGGCGGGCTAGGAAAGTCCAGCCAACCAAAAGGATCGCAACAGCAAAAAATGTCTGGTGAGTTGTTGCGGTAACTGCAGGCTGGAAAGTCATGATAAAATGCTTTAGGTTGTTTATTTTCTTTGAACAGGTAATGTTGCCTGCTGATTGGATATTCTCCCAGAACCTTGATCGGCACATGATGATGTCGAGGTACTTGTGACACCGGAAGCTGGAACGCTTGGTCACAATACGCTGGCCCTAGTTACTTTCTCAAAATAAGTTTCACCCCGCCAAAGAGAAACCATGAGCTAACGTTAAGTCGTTGTGATTTCTACTCTCATTTCTCAGCGCGAAGCTCGGGTTAGCTCGTCACAGCAATAGCTGGGCAGGCAACGTGACGACCACTCTCATTGGGAATTGGGTCGCGCTTGCCTCCAGGTGATTCGGAAGTAGGCAGTGATTAAACAACCAGTAAAAGAACTCGAATCACCCAATCGATTAAATTATTCTTTCGACCGTTAAATCACCGTTTCGCGACTTTAAAAAAAATGCCGATATTTTCTGTCAAATTGACTGTTCAACTTGTTTGCAGCGCGTGTTCCCAGCAATACCAGGGGTCACCTTGCGCTTCAAGCCCCTAAGCGCGCGACGCTAACGCTCGAGCGATTGTGGAGGGTCGCCCAGCGATGGCGTCACAGCTTGATCGATCCCCCCAGCCCCCAACAAAACCGGATTGGCATGCTGGACAACCCTGGGCAGGAGGAAGAGTTGGCGAAACTTCACGATACCTGGCCAGGAAAGGTTTGCGATTGTTTGAATCCCCCTGAACTAGTAGTGTAGTCAGTTATGCGTCAGCAAAACGCTTACCTGCTGATCAGTTCTGTCAGACTGAGGTGGTCGAGACCTCTGGATCTACTCTGTAGCCGGACATGGGAGCGCGAAAACGTTGGACTCGTAGTGTAAAACGGGAGACGCGTCGATGTCGGTCCGACGGGTGACGATTTCGGCTCCTACTCGGGTTTATTGAGAATCTCCAAAACAGCCTTTTTGCATATCGGCTCACACATGTCTTCGACGATGCTCAAACGCACTCTCTCGAGGACATACTGCACAGGAAGGCATGGGAAACACGACAATGAGATTCCCCGCTAGCACGTCGTATCAGAGGATCACAAACGGCGCGTTCACATGGGAAATGAGTCTGGGGATATCTCCACGACGAGCCGGCGCCAAGGACTGGGAATATCACACCTTGATCGAGATCGAACGGTGCAGTCGCGAACTCGTGGTGCATCCGATATCCACAAACAACACGTGGGCCGCGGCGCGTTCGCGTCACTCCACGGTGAATGGCCAGTCCAAAATGAAGTCGCGAAACTTGGCCCTTTCGTGATAAAGGTCCGGTGAAACGGCTTCTCTAGGAACTTTGATGTGCCGTACCGTCGCTGTTGTCGGGCCGGTAACCCCGTCGACGAGAACGAGACGGGTCCGGTCCCGGATGGTTATCGAGATGAAGATCGGGTTGACGGACCAAAAAAAAACTTGGAACCGGCCAGGCACCGGAAGAACAACGCTCACCGAGGCTGCTGACATCCATTAACGTTAGTACACTACTTAACCCTTGGAATCCTAGGCCTTACGGTTAGGTGTGACGGCGGGTGAGGTCGAGGGCAGGCCTGGGCCGGCTTGCGAAATGGCCGAGGTTGCACCACAACGACACCCGCACGCGTTGGTGTGTGGCCGTGGGTCTGTGCGTCTCCATTGACCGGGGGGCGTGCCGGCCGGCAGGGTGCGGTTGTCTCTGAATCGGGCCGGGGAAAGAAACGGGTGTGATAACTTCAGGGTGGACGGTGGTGGTAACGGGCACTTTGTGTTCGCAAAAAACGTGTGGTACCTGCCAAGCCCACCAGAGGTCGGACATCGACAGACTCTTGAGTGACACTTCGAGAGTACAATGACCGGCATGACCCACTGAAACTGCCTCGATGAACACAAACCCTCAGGTCACAATCGCCCAGGCCACGCATCGCCCTTCGGCTACATTCCCCGCGATGCTTGTGCTCCCCTGACCGCCGAGACATCGCTTTCAACGGTCCCGGCCCGACACACAAAATTAAATTAATGTACCCTTGACTTTTCTCTCACATGACCGTTCTCATGATGCGCCTCCACGTGGGCCACAAGACAGAGACACAGGGCAAACACCCAACCTGCTAACCGATGAGCCAACCGAGACACAACTCACCACACAAAAAACGACGAGAACGGGTAAAGATGAGCATCGACACCTTTTCCGGCCGCAAGCCACCTCATCTCGGAACCGGTAGGCTGCCTACCCCCGATAGGGAGAGGGGGAGGAACGAGGGCAGGGCGAGACAACCAGATCGGATGCAAGACAAACAATTTTGCCCATTCTAACGATTTCACTTCGCGATTTTCTCCCCCACATGGCACAACCACACACAAACATCACCCCTTTCTCGCTGCGTCAGCCCTACTCATCGAGACACAATCCGAAAGCTGCAGGAATCGATCGGGCAGCCACACACTCGACCCCTTCCAAGTGCGGTTCGATGCCCTTCCTTCCTTTCCGGTCAAGCCGAGTCCTTTCATGCCGACAACAACCAGTGTCATATCCGTACTATGTATTCAATCCCTCAGCCATGATTCGACTCGAGTATTTGTTTGCCCCCCGTCCCGACGTTATCCTTTCTCCAGCAAAACGAACGCGACTCGCTTTCTTCATCGGGTAACTAGCTTAGTTACTCGCGACGGCGCAACGCCATCCACCTCGTGTCTTTGTTTCCCATGTCTCACCTCGAGACTCTCGCCTAACCATCAGTCAGCCGAAGGCGAATTCTTATTCACATCCCTTTCCACGCTTCAATCGGGCCACACTCCGTGGACAAGAAAGCGCAATGATCTTGTTCTCTTTCCGGGGCTTAATAGGGACCCGCTCCGAGGTTTCCTTCTCTTAATTCTGATTCCAAAAAAATAATGAAAATAAAAATTAAAACAGAAAATGAAAATAGAAAAGTCCCAACAGAAGTGACGACGGTTGTGGCGTTCGCAACCCTACGCCCCGCCTTCGTCACTTTTCCGGGGTTGTGAAGAACGGGCCAGGTACCCAGCCAGCCTGCATGTGTGGTGTATGCCCGCCATGGCGTTGTCTCGGAGGGAAAGCAAGCGAATTCCACCAACCACAGCGCTTGTTCTGCGTTTGGCACACAATAGGGAGTTACTCCGTTTGTGATGAGAGGAAGGAATCTAAAAATCACACAGTACGTGTATATCCAAGCGCGTTCAGCAACAAGCAGGGGCCCTGGGCCGACTCGCCGAGGGGCGAGAGAAAGATTGCGTGGGGGAAGAGAGATGAGATTCGATACGGGATCGATCGGGATGAGAGAAAGCAAGCGAGCAAGCGAGCAAACAAGCAAGAGCGAGTTGCCGGATCGGGCCATCAAACGATTCTCGAGCTCAAGCCAACCGTCGGCCGCCCGCCACAAGACTTTGGCGTTCGAGCTTCGGCTCGTCCGGAGTACACGACCTTCTGGCTTGTAACGAGTTATCGCTGTTGGTGTTGGCCGTCGTGCAGTGTAAGACGGGAAGAGAAGTTCACGATCACAAACACCACCAGGTGGGTCGGGCCGCCCGCTTTGGGCCAACATCTCGAGGCCTAAGGAGGTCTGGGCAGGTCTTTATTTGTGTTGGCCGAAACGAAGGGAGGAAAGTGAGGTTGGAGACCACGATGTCGGTCCGTGGGCTGATTGGGAACCAGAGCTAGTCAATTGACGTTTTGTGGTTTTGACATGAACCAAAGCATGGTGATGTGTAAGCGTACCAACCAACTAATCCATTGCCGAAGTAGCCTATATTTTAAAGGCCTGATCTAGCTTTAAAATGCAGTCAATTCATTTAGATCCCCCGATCCCCAGACAAACAGATCGTGACTCCCCATCGATCTCCATGTAGGTACAGTACATCGTGCATTATCCGTACCACCCACACAGACATCAAATGCACTACACCAGACCAAGCTCAAAGCCGAGCTCCAAACGGGGCGCGATGGGCACATGCTCACATCACTGACTCGCCACCACCCGCGAAGGAGCCGCCGCCCTTGGTAGAATCAAGACGAACGTCGAGTGGGGAACCCGGGACCAAGCCGAAGCCGAAGCAAGCCCAAGCAAGCAAAAGCCAAAAAAAATGGATCGCCTCAAAAGCTAGCTCCCTTGTGTTCACATGCAATCTCATGCGCAGAGGAAGGATCGAGTAAAAAAACCTTCTTGATGATGTCGACAATGATACTAGCATTTGGATTGCAAAACACATCTCCGTACATAGTATAGTACAGCGTTGGTGTCGTTCGTTGTCCAAAGTTCATGATGCGGCAGACTGATCTGACGTTATTACTCAGGTATTGCTCATGCAAGCCACCGTCACACAAAAAGAGATGCATGTCATCGTGCGCAGATCATATCGCGCCAGGTTCCCCATACAACACGGGTACGCAGGTACATACACGCACATAATTACATGGCCGGATTAGTTAACGGGCCTGACAAGTCAAAGACATCACTGCATAGGTTTTTGCATTGGGACTTATTTTTTCATAACTCTTTTTGTATTGTTTTGACAGTCTGTTTTGGTATGCCGTTTTAAAATTTTTAGTTTTGCAACTGTGACGAGCCAAACAAGTAGACATGATTGGAGACAGTGATGAGGAACAAAGTGAATCATCCCTCAGTGCCCCCACCCATGCGTGATCCGCTGTGTCAACGCATTTTGTTCTTCTCCCCCATCGTCTCCCCATTTTCTCCTGGTCGCGGAGCCCCGCAACCCCCCCTCTTCCTTTCCCCGCCTCCATCCCTGCTCCGAGAAGTGGCATCGTAATGCACTTCCATTCCGTCGGACACGAAAAAGACCCGCGAGAGCAGAGACAGAAAATGAGAAACAGAAAACCCAATTGGGAAGCACCACCTCACGGTCGCCCGCCGGTGCTTCCGACCTCTCCCTGCCTAACCCTAACAGAATACACACTTCTTTGCAAGTGTGGAGAATAATAACATAAAAAGGAACCAAATGCAGACCGTGGTATCATGGTGACCAGAAACGCCGCTGGATGATGGACAACAAAAGTGATAGTAAAAACAAATAACAAGAAAAGGAAGTAAGCAAGGAGGCTGTTGTTTTTGGTAGAATCAACCCGCCCGATAACGCCGACCGAGTGATGCATGATGTCGTAAGCCACAGAAAGAGACTTGAAGTACGAAGGTGTATAATATACAGCAGACCTGACGGGTCTGCTCGGCGTAGGACCGGTAGGATGGCCGTTAAGAGGGAAGGAAAAGAGTCGGTCTGTAGGCGTCGAGCGTCGATGGAATGGTTGGTGATTAAAGTTACTACCAAGCCTGTGCCGCATAGCCGGCGAAGGGGTTCTGGAAGTACTTGTCCCAACTGCTAGAATTGGTGTCAATATCCTTGTCCTTCTTCATGTACGGCCGCTCAGGATATTGCTTGAGGTTTGCGACATCCGTCGAGGTGTGGCGGCGCTTAAGAACGGCGTTGGCCGTCGATGTCTTCTGGGATCGCTCGCGGAGGAGGTTCCGACGAAGCGACTCAGTCAGCTCGGTGGCAAGCATGTTCCGCCGGGTAGTGCGCGGCGAGAGCGCAGCCTGGTGGTGGATGCTGGTGGCATTGACATTGATGGGTTGCGCAGAAGAGCGAGGAATCTCGGTAATGGGACGCATCGGTGGCGCACGGGAAGTGCCCCTCTTCATCATGAGGGGCGCCTCGTCGGAGTCGTTGGGGGAGGCAACAAGGGAAGGGCCGTTGAGGGTGGCACGAGCGCGGGGAAGTGCTGACGTCGACTGTGATGCCATGTTGTTGAAGCGCTGGGCCCGGTTGTTGTTAGACATCATGAGCGTGATGAGAGAACGGCGAGAAGGAAGGTTGGCGGTCGAGTCGACGCGACGGAAGGTCATCTTGTCCTCGTTCAAAGAGCTGCTGGTCTCCTCGGCGGACTCCTCCTCCCAGTCTTCGTCGTCATCGTCAATCGCGCTCTCGTCAAGGTAGTCGTCCTCAGTATCACTGATTGCGGACGAGGTAAATGTCTGGGTCACAACCTGGTTGTTAAACGACGCCTTCTTCTGCGCGCTGTTCACGAGAGCGGCTCTGTGGAGTTGCTGCGAAGATGAGGGTGACTCCTCGACCGACGAGCCTCCGACGTGGAACATTGCGCCTCTCGGTTGCACAGGAAGTTTCCTCGACTCAAGATTGCGGTTTTTGAAGGACTCTTCGTCCGACCCAGAAGAGCCTCCGAGGGCAAACTCGGGCCGTTGCTTCTTCGGGAAGATGATCTTGGGTGCTGGTGACTCGGTAGGTTCGGGAATCGCGGACGGCGAAGGCGCCTTGGTGGATAGAGAGGCGGGACGGCTGATGGAGATCTGAGAGGGCGAAAAGCCACGGGTAACTATCGTCTGCGGCTTTGTCTCGGGCACCGGTTCTGGCTGCTCCTGCGCCTCCATCTCGTCGGTCTGTTGGGAGACAGTGGAATCGCTGGAAACACCTTCTGGAGTCTCGCAAGGAGACTCATCAGTGGTAGAGCCAGAGTGTACTGGCTCGTTGATCTCCTCAGCAGTGGGGGAGCGGGGGATGGTAGGAAGCGGCGCATCGAGAGGCATCTTGGCGTGCATGATGGAAACAACCATCTTCTCGAGCTCGTCCGAGGTGATGTGGCGCTCGCGGCCACGGCTTCGGCTGCTAGCGCACGAGTCTTGCCTCTGTATCCTCGGGCGGACGATATCGACTGGGGTGGTGTCCGCGCTGAGGTCAACGGCCTCTTCGTCGGCAGCCGATTCGATGCTACTGGAGAGCTGGGGAAGGTCCTCCGTGACAGCCCCCCGCGGATATTGAATGTCTCGTGGTTGGCTGGTGGCGTAAGAAACTAGCTCGTCTTCCCCTTCACAGCAGAAAGTCTCGCGGTTCCAAAGGCGCCAGCTGAGGTTCTCCAACCGTCTCCCTTGAGCTACTGAGTCGCGACACCTTGCGAAGACTTGATGAAAACGGTCAGTAAACAATCGCTCGCGGAGAGAGGAAGACGCAAGAACTCACCGGTCCACATGCTGAAAAGATTTGCGGGGTTGGTGGTGTCAACCTTGTGGATCACATTTGCGTCAACTTGGAGGACGGGGGCCTCTAATGACATCGGCATGTTGGCTGTGATATGCTCGAATGATCGAGCAGATTCTGAGCTGTAATCAGGTAAAATGGCAATGGTGTTCTCCGCCACCCTGACTTCGAAGGTCGGCGGTCGGTTTGTGTGGTTGGTCCCGTCTGGCCGCAGTTGTTGGGCCTGTTCTGCACCGACGTGAGGGATGCTGAAATGCGTTCGTTTTTTCCTAGTCGTCGGATAGGCTGCTGATTTGTTTCGTCTCGATTCCTCCGGCTCTTCTCTCGTTGTCGGTTTCAACTGGCCGTTGGCTGCACGGCTCAAAGACAGGGCTTATTTCCTGACTACGTCGTCCTTCGTGTGACGACTTGTGAGAGTATCTGTCCTGGGAATGTTGGATACTCGGTGTTGTTTGGAGATCTACGCGTGATGGTCAATCACCGTGTCGGCGTGTCGTGAGGTTGGATTTGTGTTGGTTGAACTCGGGTGGAAAGAAGGGAAGGTGTGGTGGGGAGCGGATGCGAAGTTCATGTATAAGGGAATTGTCGGGGCGCCGATGGGTTGACCAGGGCTAGGTGCGTGGGATGTGGGCTCGATGCGCGGTGAATAAAGCAATTACCAGGGCAGGTACCCACGACCCTCAGCCCCCCTGGCCGGTCTCAGTTCCCGGTACCGGTACAATCCCTCGCAAGTCCCCGGCGTACCGGCCAGGGGCTCAGTGGAGAGGGATTGGTGGCAAGGTGGGTGCGGTATGGTGGTAGGGGTTTGCGCGCCTCAGCAGCGCCGGTACGTACCTGGCCCAGGAAGTACCACCGGCAACCCGACCACGAACTGTCGAACCGAATCGCTGTGATTCACCTGCCACAAAATCTGAGGCGCTTCAAACGGGAGACAAGTTACGACTCTTCAAACGCGGAAGCCACGATGTTGAACGACTATCAATTGTCCCCGTTGGCGCCGCGAATTGATGAAAAACCTTTCATGAAGCGAACGAGGGAAGAGAACGGGCAGAACCTCGTCCTCGCGCGAACGGACCGAAAACCCTGAGTCGAGCCCCGCCGAGAAGGCCTTCCCTAATCGGGCAGTCAATCTTAATACTATAACCTCATGCGGCCTAGACCGCAAATCCAGACTAAGCCATATGGGGCTGCCAGCTTTTTGTGTGCGTTTCTCCTCGGGTCATGTGCGTCTCCTCGCAAACGGCGTTGCCGCCTCCCAAAACGGTTCGCACAGCGTCACACCGAACGGAACGAGGATCCCACTTTTCCGTCACCAATCCCAAACGGGCACGATGAGCAAACTCGAAAGGTCACGTCGCACTTTCAAAATCCGGGGAGATTTCCCGGGACACTGGTTCGACCGTGGTTTGCAGGCTCTGATACCTCTTTCAGATCATCTCAACCTCAGACGGTCACCAGTGTCAGGATACTGCAGCCGACAACAGATCGGGACATGTTGAAGAGTGCTTTTTTTCTCTTTTTCCTCCCTCAATTCCTTTTTTGCGTGCTTCTTATGTCTGCTGCATTTTCAATCTCCCTTCTTTCCTTCTTTCTAGGCGAAGGGAGTATTTTCTTGCTTTTGCAGCCGTCAGAGGAAGTTGATTTGGGCGCTTCTTTTCCCGAAACGGCGCAGCTTCCGGGCGTCGTCAGGAGGCAGGCAGCCTTGCAAAAGTCAGGTGCTCGGCTGCTGGGGGCGCTGGCAGAGAAGCCCAGGCCTCTGGGCCGTTTCCCCGCAAATCGCCTCCCTCCACTCAATTCGGCCCACGGTTTTGGGGAATGTTGTTGATCCGCCTGTGGTCACGGGCGCAATGCGACCATGGGTACGCAGTCAGGCACTCAAGGTTCCAGGGCTGTGGACTTCCATGCTTTGCATCCTCATCTCCTGTCCGTCAGTCAACAGGCTCACGGGTAATGCGACGGCAATACGACAATGCTGGGGCAAGCCTTGGAAAAAGACATGAGCGAGCGTTTGGTGTTCTGGGCCAACTCCCGCTTTCCCGCCCTCAACCGCTGCGCCCGACCCGATGTCCCGACCGGACGTTAACGGTTGCTTCTGCGAATCTGCAGCGATCACAGGTTGGTTCCAAATGGCTGAATCGTCGGCTGGCGCCGGTAGTCCCCCAGGAGCCCAGCCCCAAAGGCCAATTCGTTGTCCGGAACGGGCCCTGTGGTCGAATCGTCGGCCGCCCGCTGTGCTGTGCTGACACGGGTTGTGAATTCGTGACGGTGGCCAGTAAGAATGGCCCCTTCGTCAAAACGCCGTTTCGCTGTTTCGCTGGTTGGCAGTTGTTGGCGAAAGAAACGACGATGAGTCTTGCTGGGCGTTGCTGGGCGTTGCTGCTCGTTGCTCGTGATCTCACCTCTCACCGTCACAGGTGGTGAAGCACTAGACATCTCACGCCGAGCGCCGCGGCCCGCATCCCTTCTCCCTTCTCCCCGGTTGCCACGATGCGATATGATGGGCATGAATTTGCATCACGGGTTCGGCCCTTGCCCGCTGTTGGTCGCTGTTCGTCATCGAGCCGCCTTGCTGTCTTGCCTTCTCCTGTCCTGACTGGACCTCACATGGGCTTGCCGAGGCGTTTCTGCGCTGGCCGTTTACAGAGTAGACCAAAAAAAGGGTTCTCTCCCTCACATGACGCCCTCCGTGGCTCGCATCCGCGGACAAGCCACATCCACCCCACGCCGAGAACCCGAGACCCCTTGTCCGGGGCGCAATTTCACCATCCGCGAGAACAGCTTCCAGAGGCGTGCGGCACGGTGGCCAGCGAGCGAGCGTGATGTTCACCAGGATCCCTGCTGGCGGAAGCTCTCCCCGTGCTGGCGGGGGTGGTGTGATAAACACCAGCTCCTGCCATATCCAGACCACATCTCCTTCGCCGACGTCGCCGTCGACCACAAAACGCGTTCCTTTTTTCTCCCCATTCCTTTGGCCCCCCCCCCCCACCAAGCCGCGAACCCCAGCCTGTCCCGTCGGCGTGGTTGACGATGCGCGCCGGCGTTCGGGATGACCGTGGCCTCGGGACGAAAACCAATTTGCTTTTTTTGTCCCTTGGCGTCAACCGCGTGCCCGTTGAGCCCATCGCACTCGTTCCTTTCGTCATCATCCCGGCGTTTGGAAGAGTTGCATTTGTTCTCTTTCTCTTTCTTGCGGGATGAAGCCGACCTCTCATGGGAGAATGGCTCGTGAAAGGGACGGGTCTCGTGAGTGACGAAGAGTTACTTGTACGCAATATGAAACGTCGCCGACTTGGGGGTCTGCGAAAGCAAGCTCTCTCGGTCGCTGCCTTGATGAGTCCTTTCATATCATCATCGACAAAGTTACCCAAAGGGCGGGAATCTCCCCTGCTAGCCCCGCTAGTGGCCTGTCTCAATTTCCAAACCGCCGGGACGAGCTAGGGAGTTTCACCGAAATCCCCAGATCTCCTCGGCGTTGTGGTGTTCTCTAGTTCCAATCCTTGACCCGTCGTAAAACCTTTCCAACTTCCTCGCGGGACATCGCGAAAGTTCCAGGAGACAGAAAGTTAGAAAGTCGAAAAAGCCACAACAATTATCGGACATTTTTTCTGATATTCCCCCCACACACCGGGGGCCCGGGACAGTCCCCCCGCGCAATTCCATAACACGTTTTCCCCCCACGTTCATGGTCCCCTTGTCCGGCCTGGAATCCATCCCTCCCACCGCACCTCCCATCCACCTTGCCACCTTCTGTTTTCTCTCGGTCACGACATTGGGAAACCTTCCATCGCATGAAAGATGCTTTCGCTAAAGGGGAAAAATAAGGTCTAATTTTGGGCCCTGCGCAACGAACACGAGGGCCGGAGGGAAAATTGTCGCTTAACCGGGCCGCAACCAGGAGGCACGTGGCTGTCAGCCGCTTGGTATTCTCTTCATGCGACATCATATTCGGAGGGACAGGACATGAGCAAGCGCGCCAGTAAAGGCCATCGAGTTGACCACGTGAGATTCACGCGGCTGATCGTCTTCCTGGTCGGAGAACCCGTCGTCTTGGGACCTCAGGGGTGAAGTCGAAATTTGTCTCTTGACGTTATGCAGAAAACTCTTTTCCCCTCTCTCTTGTGGTCTGCCAATGGTAAGTGACGCCCGCAACGTGACAATCAAGTCACCTGAAACGGCAAAAAAAAAAAGCTCGACGTCCGCCTCTCGGAGCAAAATAACTTAATCAGGGTTTCGTCGGGCTGCAAGCGACTTGTGTGTGTCTCCTTTCCAGCCACCGTCACAACCAAGACCCAAATGGTCGGGATGCTGTTGACGTTTCGTTCACGAAAGCTTAACCCGGGCCCGAGACGAGACGGACCAGGGGGCTGATGGGGGGTAAATTAATTAAAGGACAGCGCCGACCCGGTACGCCGGAGCCCGCCGCCATGGGGTAGCACGACTTTCTGCCTACTGTGCAGCTGCCTATCAGCCTTGGGTCCTTTATTTTTGAGAAAGTAATTTCATGCGATATCTCCTCTCAGATATCTCCTCTCTCGGGACCCTTCCCCGGCGGTTTCCGACGTCCGGTCTTCTACGCTATTCGTAGACGTATCTGTGTCGGAAAGCGAGATATGAGCTCAACAGACAAACGGCAACAGGGCGCAGGGGGGGGGGGTTAAGTCCCGTCTCTTCATCGTTGTTGCTGACCTCCCTCCTTTTCAAGGTTGGCCGGTCCGTTTGGCTGGGCCGTCCCGCACCCTGTGGCGTTTGTTGGCGATGTGAGCTGTGCCGCTCTTTTTCGAACTGCAATGTCAGCGTGGACGATAAAAAAGAGTATTGCGTCCAAAGTATTCCCGTATCTAGTACTTGCCCGCGACGGCGAGGTCTTGTCAGGGGGCCAACGACGACCGACGACCGGCTCGCTTTCGCCCCCAATCTTACCTTACCTCATATCAACGAATTGGCTCACACACCCTCTCAACAGCCGCGCGTTTCAAACCACGGCCTCACGCAGGAGAACGTATAAAAGGACCAACAAGCAACTGTTTGCACACCGCCTCTAGCCCCCCGCGAACCGACTAAACCTAGAATTGAAGTTTGTCC